ACCGCCAAACATTCAAAAGTTCCGCCAACGAATTATGGCATTTAATAAGTGTAAGTGAGAGTGCAGCATGCCGGGTATTCCAGTGTCCCGAAAGTACGGATAAACCAGTAAGAATTTGCCACTTTTTAACTACACCAAGAACAATAATTCAAAAACGAATTATTATTCACAAATTGGCATTAGTAAAAATCAAACAATTTTTAAAATAATATTCGTTTTAATGTATTTTGTATTTACTAGATTAACAATTCAATGTGACTAAACAAATGTAGTCTTCATGTATAATATTATAAAATTCCAAATATATATCGAAATTATTCGATTTCAGATTTTTAAGATTTGTTTCTCAAAATATATATTATATTAATTATGCATATTAACAAAGATAAATAATTGTTGCAAATGTATCAGTGTTTTGACCTTTAAACTTTTAAAGGTATCAATCTTGAACCTAAAATTACTATTAAGTAACATTATATTTTAACCCTTACGTTTCATAAACCAATTCTTAATTTTATAGAAAAGAAATTATTATGAGAAATTAATAAATTACTTAATAAATCAATGCTCTGTTTGATTGCTTTATCAAGTCTTTGAGGCATATTTAAGGGCTGTTTACAAAGTGACTACAAAATCCAGGGGTTAGTGACCTTTGCCAATATTTGACAAAATTTCTGCCACCCTTGATTTTGCAGAACATGTAAGTCTAAACAATAAAAGCCGCCCAACAGCCACAGAAACCATACCTAACAGCAGAGCTTAACATTCTGTATACAAGCTGGAAAGCAGCATTAGAGCTTAACATAACAGAGGTCAAACATTGATGTACTGCACACCAACAGAACTGCCACCCCTTAATTTCCCCCTCCTTTTTCGAACTTTGCCCCGCTGGCAGGGGTGTCTGTGGCTCAACAGAATGCTATCGTGGCTCTGAAGTCTCGCTGTTAATGTAAGCTTGTCGATGTAAGCAGCATACCTGTAGCAGCACTGTAAGCTGGTGTTCAACCAACAAGCAATTCTTGCAATGTATTGTAATTATCAAAAGTCTAATAGTGATAAATTTTTATCACAATAAAAGATTCCTTTCCAACCCTATAAATCATACATATTTTAGATAGGGATAGATTTAAAAAATTCGATAAAAAAACTTCATTTGTCTAAATTGTAAAGGGTGTTTACATGAAGCATAATGTAAAAGAAGTAATTAGAATATTATTCAGAATATAGCAACGCAGTGAAGGAATCATTTCCGATCCTATAAATCATAAATATTCTTAATCAGCATCAAGAGCAGAATCGTTCTAGCTATGTACGGAAAAAATTTAATATTTTCAAAAATTTCAAATTTTTATAAGGGGTTACATCGTTAAAATTGTCAGAATTGACAAAAAATTTAATTTTCTAAGATTTCAAATTGAGTATGCAGATTTATAAATATTATTAAAACTAACATAGGAGTGGTCTCTGAATTAAAATTAATGCATTTTTGGTATAGTTATGAAATTTTTAAGCACCTATTTGTAGAAACATTGGTTATATCAAAATATAAATTATAACGACTAAAGGAATGGTATTTAATATTAGTGAGAAGCTTTTATTCTGTGATAGAGACATTTTCGACCCTATAAATCATATATATTCTTGATCCGCATGAAAAGCAGAATTCAAAATTCAAAATTATATAATTGTCAAAATTTAAAATTGTCAAATTTTAACAAAAAATTGAATTTTTAAAATTTTAAAAATTAGTATACAGATTTGTTAACCTATTTAAAATGAAATATTGACCACTTCGCTCAGTGTATTTCGGGATGTTCGTTTGGCAAATGAAAGTTTCGCTTTTAGCTGCCGTCTGATGAGATGTGCAGATGTGGGCCTGAGCCAGGCCAGTGGCTTTTAACCCCTTTTAAAATATTTTAATTGAATTTATTGATATTTTAGAAAAGGGCCGAGATAGAACAACCCCCAACCGCACACAAGTCAAATGCAAGCCCAAAGGAAATCCAACTGGGATTGTCGAAACTCCTTCCCTTGAATCCTTGGTCGCTCCCAAACACAAAAAAAAAAAAAAAGAAAAACAAAGTTAGTTAACTTTTCATCGGGCTAATAAAGCGTGCGTCTTTTTGGCAACAAAATGGCGGCAATGAAGACAACGACACCAAATCAATGCTCTCAGGGTCTGGGACTGGGACTAATGAATAGAAATGTCGTCCTTCAAAACTTTTCGGTTGCCATGGAAGACCAATGAACGAGTCCTCTCACCTCCCCTTCCCACCCCATCTGTGTGTGGGTTAATGAAAATCCGATTCTAGTTCCATGCCCCCATATTCACACATCTTATGCTTTCAACTTGACTTTGAGTTTTTGGCTTTTTAAGGGCTCAAGGAAGCGTGGCAGAAGATTTGCGGCTGCTCCTTGTGGAGTGCAGAACTTAAATGCGTGGCATATGAATCGTTAATTGTGTGGGCGTGCCAGCGGGCGGAAACGGATGCGGGCTAGAAGAGGAAGATATGCGGTAAGAGGGTTGAATGGAAGAACTTGGCGCTATGAATAAGTGTGCCTTGTAAGTCGGAGAGGATTTTAAGGTATTGAAATAGCTGAATTAGCAATTCAGAGTCATCTATTATGGGTTAATGGCAGTGCATTAAGATCATATTATTATTACCTATAAGATAATATTTATAACTGATCTCAAAGTATCTTGAGTATAAACTGATTATGTTTAAAGTAATACTTAAGACTTTAATAAGTTTGAAAAATTTGTATTCATTTACAACTGAAATTTATTTTTAATCTAGATACTTTAAAAGTACAAAGAACTTAACATTCTTGTACCAGTTATCATAGACCGTAATTATTACTTGTAATTATTAACCATAATCCTACTTTTAAATATATTATTTAATGATTTTTCTATTTTATAATAATTGTCAAAGGGCTGACTCACAGCTTTAATATCAAGTCATCCCAGCAATGACAAATATTATGGCTCATTCATAAAATTTGACATTAGCATATTGCATTTCCATTGCGTTAATGTGACAAAATGACAAATGAAGTTGGTGTCGCTACGCCACTCTTCCAACTCTCCAATCCTCGAGTCCTCCAATCCTCCAGTCGCATTCCCAGTCGAAAGCCGTCTGTCTCCTGGCCTGGAATTCCCGTTCCTCGAACACCATTTTATGCGTTTCGCGGCGAACTGCACTTGAATTTGCATTTGCATTTTTCGCAGCGTGGCAAAAAGCAAAACACTTTGACAAGCGTTTACAAACTCGCCAGGCAGCGCCGGCAACAAGCCAAGTAGCGCCGCAACTTTGAAATTGATAAATTGATTTATGCAAACAAAACAGCGAGAAAGAATCTAGCAGAAAGACGAAACTTGGTTGACTTTCATCCGCTAGATATTTATATATATATAAGGAGAGAGACTTCATTGGAACCGCGTGAATATGAAAAATGATGATGAGGGGGCAAAAACAAAAAAAAAACGTTTTGTATGAGAACAGATACAAAACCTCCGGCTCAAAGAGGGCCACTGCCAAAGAACATACAAAATCAATTAATAAACAATATGAATCCGGAATTGCAATTGTTTGCATGTCCGTAGCAGACCTGCCCTCTCAACGACTTTGGCATTATACGTCTACAGCTTTTATGACTATTTTTATTCGCATTGAAATGCTTCTGCGGAAAAGTCACTTGTTTTTCCAGCCATTCTTTAAGTCGCTTCCAGACCCATTGTCCTGGGATTTGATGCCATTACGGTTGCTGTGGTTGCCACTGCTGATTAACTCACAGTCCCGCACGTACCGAAAGCCAAACCAACACCGCCAAACCATATTGTCCGATCGATTTAAATTTTTCAACAAAAACTTTATACCAATTTCCACAGCTGTGGTAGCAGTAGCATTGATTAAATCATTACCAACTTGGTATCTTTATGCATGCGAATTGCATAAGGATATAATTCTTTATTTCTAGGATAGTCTGCTTACTATTCTTATTATACAGTATATATTATATTTTGTTCTATACTATTTAGTGTATGTTATGTATAATATAAATAAATATTGATCATTAAAGAGGATTCATAATTTAATTGTACTAATTTATCGATCGTTCGTATGGCAGCTTTATGATTTGGTAGTTCGATTATCATAAAATTTTACAAAAAGGTGTTGATTAAATTGTGTTGAAAACTGAAAAGGTTATAATTTTGAATTGTATTAATTGCTTGATCGTTCCTATGGCAGCTATATGAACTAGTCGTCCGATCCGGCCCGTTCTGACATACATATATCCGAGCGAGATTATATAGAAGACTAAGTACAAAGTTTTATATAGATAGCTTCAAAACTGAGAGGCTAGTTTGCGTAGTTTTCAAACAGTAAGTCATGTTTCCGAATCATAAAATAATAAAGCTTTAAATACATATGTAAGTCCCCAAAGAAAAAAACAAAAAAGTCTCAAAACACTTGTATAGAATAAACAGATAATGATTTGTGAAGGAATTCGATGTGTTGATGTGTTAAAAAATTAAATAAATTAAATAAATCACCAAAAAATACATTTATATATTTAGGTTATCGAGATTTAAAGCTCTTAGTTTTTTGTTTTAAGCGTTATCACATCACGGCCGAGTGCAAATATTTAATAATTAATACCGACACGTTTCATTAAAGTTGTTTTAATTTTTAATATATTTTAAACTAAGCATATTTACAAATTTGTTTAAGTTCACCCTAATTTTTTATTTATATAAATATGTATATATGTACATATCGTGACTTAACTAAGATTGGACAATAAGATAAATCACGTGTATATGATTATGGTCACACACCCTATTATTATTGCACGGTTTTAAAATTTAAATATATTTATTTAAACCAATAATTACTTATCATAATTGTTATTAATAACTTAAAAGTACTAATTAATCCAAATTTTATAGACATTGCGTGCTACGGCTATAGATATATATATATTGTGAATTTCAGCGATCCTATTTAGTTACGCATCTATAATGGATCTCAAAGTTATCCTATTGGCAATTTTTGTCAGTTTAAGCAACGGAAAAGAAGCCTTGTATGAGCTCGCTTTATCGGATGAGGATATATTTAGTGCTTGCTCAGATACTAAACCAGGCACACTTGACGTAAATGGCTTCCTAGATTTATCGGAGTTATTCACAACCTTGCAGGAGGACGGTATACAGGTATCCGGAAATATGACGTTTGTATGGGACATCCAACCGCAGGATCGTGTAAAGGTGGCGAAAAGCTGTTAACAGATGGCTATATGTCGATGCAATCCATCACTCATTTATGGATATTTTTCAGATGGATATTAAAGCTTTTTATTTCGATCGAGGCACTTGGAAACCAACATTCGCTATAATAAAAGATGACTTCTGCAAGTTAATGTACGATTCAAGCCAATTGTGGTACACCTACTGGACAGAACACGTTATAAACGTCGAAGATGTCAGGGATAAATGTACATATCCTGGGGTAAGTATTCAAACTCTTATGAATATATAAACATTTTTTTATTTTTAGTTTTAAGTGAAAGTAATTTGTCGATTTTACAAACTGATGATTGGTATGGTATAAAAATGATCCCTTACATTACAGACTAAAATGATCTTTGAGCCTTACCTCATGATGCCTATCTTAAACTTTACAATTATTCGAGAGGGACTTTATAAAGTCCAATTCAAGTGGAGAGGATTTGATTCAGCCGGTAAAGAGCGGCCGACGAACATATGTTTTGATGTTCTTGGATATGTGCAACAAAAAAAAATGAACCTTTAGCATTACATAATAAATTTATGTAAATGATATAGAAGTCCTATTTTTATAAAATTTCAAACAAAACTGAAGGAAAATAAAAAATGTCCATATCACAAATATGATACAAATCTGTTGAAAGTTGTAATTATTTTCGTCCGATCTGACCCTTTCCGACATATATGCGAATGAGAGAATATAGAAGACTAACTGCAGTTTCAATCAGATTGCTTCAAAACTGAGAGACTAGAAACGGACACACGGACATGGCTAGATGGATTCGGATGTTGATGCTGATCAAGAATATATATACTTTATATGATCGGAGGTGACTCCGTCACTGCGATTCAAACTTCTGCCAAAAATCATATTAAATCATATTATTAAGATTTTCAATTACAGTCTTTACTTATACAAACGAAAATATTGGAAGAAAATTTCAAAACTAACAACAAATTTAATCTCTTAAATTTTAAACTCCATACGCGGATATGTTAGATGAATAAAAATAAAGAAAGAAAACGTATTCTAATTTAAATTAATGAATTTTAGGCTTAGTTAAGATCAATTTCAAATTAGATCCTGATCGGATGGCAAACTGCAAGGATATCTAAACTTTGTATGCCCAAAGCTGGTTTTCTTTCTTGTTGGTATTAAAAATATAAACAAAATAAAATTATAATTATACGAATTTTTCCTTAAGTAGTAATAATCAAAGAATGTGTGGTGCCTTTGCATATGGACTGTCAAATTTAAACCGTGAAGTCATATAAGTCGATATGGTCAACAAATCACGTACCTCTCATGTTATTGCCTTTGGCTGCCCCAGTCTGTGTCACTGCCTTTGATTTTGGTTTTGCAAAATGAGGGGCTGTGGACAAGATGTCGAATTAATGGGCGGCAATACGCCCCGTTGTCGGGGGCCCGCCCAACTGCCTGGCATTATAAACTTAATTAAAATATCGGCAGACAGTAATTCATGGCGGCCCCCGAAAGCAGGCAATGTTTTCTTTTTAGAAAGGCAAGCGGCAAATATTTAAAGTGCCACCTCGCCACTCACACACTCACACGCAGATCCACGACTGCGTGTGTGTATTTATAGACACACCTGCCATACCCACACTCACACACACACAATGGCGCTACAATCACAGGTAACTGCTACATGTGTAAATATTTACAAAACGCGCCAAGCGTCGACAAACCGACGCCAGGCATCTTCACTTTTACCGCCAACGAGCTCGCCTCCGCTCTTCATTGTTGTTGCCGAGCGTAACTCTTTCGCAGCGACCGGGGGCGCTCCATTGACACCAAGGGTTATAGGGCACAACAAAAGGATATATTTACCAAAAGGATACTTTGATAAATCTTTACTTATGTTTATTTATGATTGACCTTCCACTTAACAATAATAATAAAAATAGACATTAATAAAAAAGCGCTGATGGTATATTTTTTAAACACATATTATTTACTTGATCATATTAATAACAGTAATTGAAAATAAGTCCCAATTATTGAAGGTTAATGTTTTTATATTTTTGAGTATATATATTTTTTTGTTTACTATATTCATTTTGGATCTGCTCCTGTGCTCTCACTCACCCACGCAGACAAACACAGGTTTATTTATGCCTTTCGATATTTATCGCTGTTGCTCTATTTGTTTTTGTTGCTGCCATTGCTGCTTTCCAGTAGTCCCCCATCAAGGATGGTACATGTATGTATGTTCCTGTTTGTTTTATTCCCTTTTATTATTATTATGCTGTCGTTTCTGTTGTCGCGCCGTTTTCAGCGAACGTTGTGTGTGGTCCTTCAATGGGTGGTTGACTCGAAATTCGAGTCACTTTCAGCTCGTCCTAGTTTATCCCTTTTTACCGACTTAGTTGATCAAAACGATTTCTATGTCATAATAATGTCTTGCCATTTGCTTGACTCGGAAATCCAAGCCGTTTACTACTCCAAAAATCTGTCATAACAATAAGCCGGAATCAAAGTGTGAATTTCAATTTGATTACCGAAATATCTAAATCAATTTCGTAATTTATTCTCTTATCAATTTGTTTGTTGAAAATGGGACACATGGGGCCATACATCAAGTTGTCTTCGTAGATGTCTCTGTAATGTCGTCGTAAAGCCAAGCAATAAATTGCACGCCATAGGACAGTCCTTCTATAACTTTATTTTTATACCCTTGCAGGGTATTATAATTTCAGTCTGAAGCTTGCAACGCAGTGAAGGAGGCACCTCCGACTATATAAAGTATATATATTATTAATCAGGATCAACTGCCGGGTTGATCTAGCCATGTCCGTCTGTCCGTTTCTACGCAAACTAGTCTCTCAGTTTTGAAGCTATCTGAATGAAACTTTGTAGTTAGTCTTCTATATACTCTCACTCTTATATATATGTCGGAACGGGCCGGATCGGACGACTTTATCATATAGCTGCCATAGGAAGGATCGGAAAGTTTTTACAAAAAATATTATAACATCTTTAGTTTCCAACAGGATTTGATCAAATTTGAGATGTAGCCATTTCAAATTATTCTACAATTTTGTATGAAATTTTATGAAAATTGGACTTATATATCATATAGCTCCCATAGGAACGATCGAGAAATTTTTGAGGAATGAGAATGGCGGTGGCTGTTGTCGGAAGACTGACAATCGCGGTGGCGATAACATTTTTAGTTTTCAACAGAATTTGATCAAATTTGAGACAAGCCATTTTATATTACTTTACAGTTTTGTGTAAAATTTTATGAAAATCGAACTACTATATCCTATAGCTCCCATAGGAACCATGGAGATGTTAATGCAATTAAAAATAATAACTTTTTCAGTTTTCAACAGAATTTAATCAAATTTGAGATATAGCCATTTTATAGTAGTCTTAAATTTTGTGTCAAATTTTATGAAAATCAGACGATTATATCATATAGGTGCCATACAAACGATCGTTAGATGTAGAGCAAAAATGCAAATCTGTCAATATATAACTGAAAATATAATATGTATAGGTGAATGATATGAAAGCAGGTATTACTTCATTGTTTTAACATTAATATATATAATTTATATTTATGGATTCCTAGTCATCGAAGTTCTATCTGAAAGGGTATATAAAATTCGGCGTGCCGAAGTTAGCTTCCTTTCTTGTTAATATTAGTACCTATTATAGCCATTTTATTGCTCTATATCTAGTACCCCGAGTATCGCCTATCAGAGTTGCATAAGCACTTAAATCAATGTCTGATCTTAACTTATCATTACAGATCTCTATTAACAGTTTGCGTTTGCACCACTTAGAGTTTTATTTCGCGTGATAAATATTAATTTTTATTTCATTTTCATTTTTAATTCTCATTTTCGGATGGCGATTTATTTACCGTCTGCCCAGATACAGCACCAGGCACACTTGACATAAATGACACACTTGTTTAAATAAATATGTATGTATATATCGTGACTGAATTAAGATTGGACAATAAGATAAATCCCGTTAAATGATAATGGTCGGACACCATGATATTATTGCGCAGTTTTAAAATGTAAATATAATATTAAATATTATAATTATAATTATAATTATTATTAATAACTTATAAGTATTTATTGCGTGCTACGGCTATAGGTATATATTGTGAATTTCAACGATCCCATTCAGTTACGCGTCTATAATGGATCTCAAAGTTATCCTATTGGCAATTTTTGTCAGTTTAAGCAACGGAAAAGAAGCCTTGTATGAGCTCACTTTATCGGATGAGGATATATTTAGTGCTTGCTCAGATACTGCACCAGGCACACTTGCCGTGAATGGTTTTCTAGATTTTTCGGAGTTATCCACGAACTTGCAGGAGAACGGTATGGATTTCTCAGGAAATATGACGTTTGTATGGGACATTCAACCACAGGATCGTGTAGAGGTGACGTAAAGTTATCAACAGACGGATAGAGGTCGAGGCAATACATAACTCATTAATGGATATATTTCAGTTCATTATTCGAGTTTTATATTTTGATCGAGGCACTTGGAAACCAACATACTCTGTGATAACACACGATTTCTGCAAGTCTATGTACGATTCAAGGCAATTGTGGTACCCCACCTGGACAGGACACGTTATAAACGTCGAAGATGTCAGGGATAAATGTACATATCCTGGGGTAAGTATGCAAACTCATATGTATATGTATATATAGATATATAATTTGAGGGTTTTATAAACAGATGAATGATATATCTAATCCCTCGCATTGCAGACTAAACTTATCTTTGAGCCTTACCTCATGACTATTGCCATGAACTTTACATTAGTACGAGAGGGACTTTATAAAATCCGATGTACTTTCAAGGCATTTGATTCCGCCGACAATGTGCGACCCACGAACATATGTTTTGATATTTTCGGAGATGCACATAAGAAAAAATAACGTTTCATATTAAATCCATGTGAATTATGTTCCCAATACGGAGATGCTTACTTGTCATTTGAAATAGATCACAAATTAAGCAATGGAATAAACAGGAATAAACATTCATTATTTTACTAAAATATGTAAGAAATTTATTATTGGTGTGAAGCGTACAAATTAAAGGGTTTTTTTTTTAGGTTTTATTATTGTAATCGTTAATATATACACTCAATTACACTTAGGGACTATGAAGAAATAAGCTTAGGTCTACTGCTTAAGCAAATGTAGCGTCATACTTTTAATAACATAAGGACTTCTATAAAACGATTGCCAGCGGTCAGTTACTGCTAACTTAACTAAGACACGAGATCGTTGAGGCGTTCACGTTGGCGGGCAGCAGAGACCGCCGACCGATCATGTCAGATGCGGCGTGGCCGCTGTTGCCGATTTCCCCGCAAAGAAACGACTTCCGCCAGTCTGGTTGGTGAAGAGGAGTGTATCCACTGAGGGCAGCATCTGATTAGAGCGCACTAGCAGAGGCACATTTACCATGGACACCGTGGGTGCGGCGCTCGTGATCACCGATTGCGCCGAATTGCCGGAGCTTAGCTTGCCATTCGCGTTCAATGTGAAGGCAGGCAGGTAGTAGTTCCCGGATCGCGTGGGTACTGCTTGCGTGTTTGTAGCCGTACTGGAGGAAGTGGATACGGCTGCCAGTTCCATGGAAGCCGGCGAAGAGAACGGTGAGGACTCCAGTGAGGGGCAAGCAAGGCGATCGCTGGGCTTACAAGGAACTGTAAGTAAAATTTTATGTATTACATTTATACTTATTCAAAAGTTCAATATAGTGGAAACTATTGGAATATCGACTTACTAAAATCATCATCCGGCAACAGCTCATCAGGTAATTCATTTTTTATCTGGAAATGCAGGGCAGCTGCTGAGTCAGAGATGGCGTTGTCTGACGTCCCCATGTCTGTGCGAACGACAGGGGCATCGTATAGACCGCACTCCTCCATCTCCAGGGCCTGCTCCATGATTAGCTCCTCAGCTGAAGTCAGACTGAGGCCATGCAAATCCAGAAATGGACCCTGGCTTTGCACAGGTTCAGTTTTAATCTGTGGCACTGCAGCGGTATTCTCAAGACTGGTTTGCTGCATCTGGGCCTGTCGTTGCAGTTGCTTGGGCGCCAGCTGTTTACGTTCTCGCTTAGCTTTGGCCTGCTTGGGTGCCGGCGGAGGCAGCGTCACCACCACAGAGGTTAGCTCTGGTTGCTGCTGTGCGGTTGACGGTGCCGGATGCACCTGCTGAAGTGCTGTGCCGGCAGGAAGGGTAATACCCAAAGCAGCTAGTGTAGCCTGCTGCGGCTGCTTTTTCTTCCGTGCCTGTTTTGCAGGTGCCAAGGCAGCTGCCGGTGCAGGATTGGTCTTTACTTTTAGTTCACTGGAAGTGGCAAGATCGTCGGGATTCACTGTGGCTGTCGCCACCGCCGGGGCTGCTGCCGCTGCTTTTTGGGCCTTACTGGCGGTCGACTTCTTCGAACAGTAGGAGGGAATGTTCTCGAGATGCTCGCCTGTTTTGTGGTCCACCTTATGTCGGCGCCTCGTGTGCTTAAGCCAGTTGGGGAAGTTGGTAAAGTCGCGCGGACAGTAGTTGCATTTAAAAGGACGCATGCCCGTGTGGATGTTAGAGTGCTGTTTCAGCTTCGAGTTGCTGATAAAGCTTTTGTCGCACACCGTGCAGGCGAAAGGTCGCTGCTCCAAATGCACCAGGTTGTGAACCTTCAGGCACCGCTCCGTCTTGTACATTTTGCCGCATTTCTCGCAGCGGTAAGAACGAGTCTGGGCATGATACTTCTGATGACGCTGCAGATGCGACCGCTCCTGGAAGCGCTTTTGACACTCCGGACACTCGTACGGCTTCTCCGAGGAGTGGATTCGGGCGTGATGTGTAAGGTTTATCTTTTGCACGAACTTTTGACCGCAGATATCGCACTGGTACTTCTTGTTGTCACTGTGAATCTTCCTATGCATCCACATGCTCCCCAACTTGAGGCTATTGTAGGAAAAGAAAAGTCAATAAAAACGTTTGTTTCCGGTCACCAAGGGGTACTTACCATTTGCCGCAGTCAGGGCACTTCTTCCAAGTGTCCTTTCGCGCCTCTGTGCGATGCGTCTTTAGGTGCTTCTTTAATCCAGCGAGCACCTCGAATTCCCGCTGGCACTCACTGCACCGGTAGGTTAAACGTAACCGATGTGCTGCCGCTTCATGCTTCGTCACCTCATCGGGGGTTTCCAACAGCAGGCCGTTGCAGTCGAGGCACTTGTGAAGCGGAGCAGGATCTATTTCTAAAGACTTGCCGTTGATCTCGGGTGCTGGCGGGGGCATGCTAGCCGTATCTGCTTCCGGGGACACTGTCCGAGCCAACTGTGGCTGCTGGAAGATCGTGAACGAGGGCGGCAGGAACTCTCCCTCGCACACCTCAACCTTTGTGACCACCTGCGGCGACTTCAAGTCAGGGTGAGGCTGCTTTTCCTCGGCCGGCTCTTCCTTGAAAACCTTTAGACGCAACGCCGTTACCGCCGGCAGTTTGGGCTTACGCTGCATTGGCTGGCCCAGCTGCTGGGGCATTTGCAGCTGCTGTTGGTGAAGATGCAGCTGCTCCGTGGAGAGCTTTACTGGCGTGGAGGCACCGCTCGACGATGTCTTTTTGAAAGGCGAGTTGGTGAAGGCGTTCGGCGGCTCGGGTCGCAAAAATGTCACATTGAACTCTGAGCTGGAGTGATTGTCATTGGAGCTGGTTAGGCTGGCGCTGGGCACGAGGGTACCGCTGGCCGTCAGGTCATCGCGCACGCCATCCGATGAGAGATTGAGCTCCGTATTGTTTTGAGCGCTCTCGTCGAGAACGCGCCAGAAGTCCGTGGAGGAAAGGCTGTTCCCATTGACCAGGCTGGCGGAGCTAATGGTCACGCAGGCGGACAGATCGATGTCCAGTGACTCGTCCTTGATGCTCGAAATCGAGTCGAAATTGTTGATCCGCAGCAGCGAGCTGAGGATCTCGTCGTGGGCTGCCTTGGTGGGGGTGCCCGCATCACCGCCATAGATTTTAGGCGGCAACTTCTTGCTTGGCGCCTCTTCCTTCATTCTCTTGCCCTTGCCTTTGCACTCCATTCGCCTCACGTACACGTACAGGTTATGCGGTCGGCGTTTTTGCCCGCCGTATTTCGTCTTATTTCGCGGCGCCGCTGGCGCTTTTCTTTCACTGGTGCCCTTTCCCCGGTCACTGGGTCCTTAATTCAATCATTGCGGTCGCTTTTGCTTGAAAACACGATCGGCAACAGCTCGAAAAACATTTAATTATTGTGAAATGCGCCTTGGCTTTGTTGTTTTTGTCACGCTTACAATTCTCGAGTCGCCATTTTGAGAGTAGTGTTGGAAGACGCGTGCCAGTGGCAGTCCCGCTAAAAGTGCTGACCGCTTGGGGTTTAGGTAGCTAGCTCTGACTTGGTACTATGCGTTCTTAATTTATTTCTCTTTTAATATGTTTCTGCCTTGTAATATGTAAAATTATTAATTTTAATAATTAATTTAATTATATTTTAATAATTTGACAATGTTTTGTTTACAGTGGAGCATCTACATTAAATCCCGAAAATTTCTGCAGCTACTTTTTCATCTCCGTCAGATATAGAGAAAATATTTGAAAATGCTTAAATTATTGAATTATAAATAAATAATTTAAATAATAAAATATGTGCTCACCAGCAAAAGGCTGTTTGTTTGCCAGTTTACAGTTGTCGTTACCGCAGCAGGAATTTAAATAATGAAATTTTGGACCGCAGTAAAAAGTGATATAATATATTATTTAATTTGATTTTAATGTTGTTAATTTTTTACCCTTAGTTTTTTATAAGTATTATTTTTATTTAGTTAATAATTGTTTTCCGCCAAATTACCGGAGCTCAGCTTGCTGTTCGCGTCCAATTTAAAGGCAGACAGGTAGTAGTTCCCAGATTGCGTGCAATTATAAGAAACTATGAAAATAGAAATATTGTATTCTCAGATATGAATTTGTGGTTCTGATTTAATTTAAACACTTTTAGCACTTGGTTTTTTATATAAGCATTTGTAACTTAGAACTTGTGGTAGTCAGATTCCCTAAAATTGTAAAAATTTATTTTACTATATTTAATTGATTGAAGCGGTTCTGGTGCCAAATTTGATTTCTCTTTCTAGAATATGTATATTAAACGTAAGAAACCGTTGCTGCTATTTTGAGGACTTGGTGCGGATACTCGCTGCGGCTCGAGAACATAGCTATTAAATAGCATGATTTATGTAACTTTTTCAACCCTTAATAATTTTTTTTGGTATATTTCAGTATATCTTGTTACTGAACCTTCAGGTATATTTTATCAAGAAAACTGCGGTAACACTGATAAATATGGCGTCAGAGTCTGAAGTTCCAGGTAAAGTCAATTTTTTGTCAAATAATTAACTCCAATCGGGCGACAGCTTATTCATCAATCAGTTAGGGCTGTAGTTAACAATCCCAGTGATCGGAAGAGCGCTTAAAAACGATTCGTGAAGTAACTAGGCGCACGAGGCTTCCAATCAAAAGACAGAATTGTAGCGCGCGTTGTCGTACAGTTTATGTAAACCGCATGGATTAACCAACCGGGTCGACTCGTTTTCCAGGTCGCCGCACACGTTCTGGCCGGACGGCCGCACCGCCGGCAGCATCGCTACCGACTAGAAGCACCAGGCGCACATCAAAGAAGAACGCCCAGGTCAGTAACATGTTCACCCTCACAGATCGCTTGAGTAGATACCTAGCAAGTGATGTAAAAGATTGCAATATCCAGTGCGGATGTGGCGTTGTTCCATTCGCACATGATTCCCATCTTGTGGGCACGTGATTCCCTGCAAGGGCCAGCTGATGTCACTAAAGCAACCGACCGTGTGATTAGGCGTGGGCAACAGTCATTAATTGCGTTTGTCGTTCCAGCTAAGTGATCCCGAAGAGGAGCCAGAGGAGCAACCGGTAATGGTTCAGGAAGAGGAGGAAGAGCAGGGTACAATACCAGCGGCAGCCGCCGAGGAGGCCCCTGCCATGGAACCGCATTTTGATGAGATAATCCAGATGGACGATGACGTCGAGATGCCCGCCGAAACTGGCGGAGTAGACGAAAAGAGTTCCTCCTTTCCGTTCGGAACGGTGGCAGAGCAACATTCTGAGACCAGCGATGACATCAAAGAGAGTCGGAAGGAAGCCGGCGTAGACACGCTGCTGGCCTCCTTGGCTGGCGACAATGCCAATAGCCTGCCGTCCGTGGGTGGCAATGACGAAAGTGAAACCGCCAAGAAGGCTGACTTTGAGTACAACGTGGAGGCACTGCAGCCACAAGCCGAGAAACTGAATTCGTCGGAGGACTCTAGCTCGCACCATGCCATAGCCGAGAGTTTAGGCGATGAGGCTGATACCAGTGATGCCACCATAGTCCATACCGAAATAATCTCAGAGGATGAACTACCTCCACCTAGCAAGCCTGAGATTAACGATGCCGAGGAAGTCTCCGACGAGGAGCTTCCGGCACCGCAACGTGCCGAGCTGCCAGCAGACGCCGAAGTGATCTCTGAAGATGAGTTGCCCACCCACAACAATAATAATGCCAGTGAGGCCAAAGCTCCTGTAAAACGCAAGGCGGAGAAAGGAACTGAAGATAAGGATGTTAGCATTTGTGAGACGAGCGCAAAGGAGAAGTCCGTGGAGCAATATAATCCGGGAAGTCCCACTTCTGAGAGCATTGATGGCCAGCCCTCAGAGAAGAGGACCAAGGTGGATGGTAAGTACTAAAAAGTATCCCATCCCAGCTGAACACTATATTTTAACATTAATATGTCAAACAGATGCCGAGTCCAAAGAGAGGAAGAAGGAAACTGAGCGCGATAAGGAGAAAGACAAGGAGAAGGATAAAGACAAAGAAAAGGATCGTAAAAAGTTGCCCGAGCTAGATAGATACTGGCGGGCGGTGAAAGAGGACTCTTCTGATTTTACCGGCTGGACTTATCTACTCCAATATGTGGACAGTGAGGTAAGTGCACAAGCTATAGGCTTTTGAAATATTTCATATAAACGTCATTACTATCTGCTCTAGTCCGACGCGGAGGCAGCCCGAGAGGCCTACGACACATTCCTGTCCCATTATCCCTACTGCTATGGATACTGGCGCAAGTATGCCGACTACGAAAAGCGCAAGGGCATCAAGGCCAACTGCTACAAGGTGAGTACCCCCCACACATTTTGTCGTGCAATTAAATATCTTTCGCAATTTTTTGTATTACGCTTACAATTACGATTACAATTGATATTCATGTATTTGTTTTTTAATGCAATTTATTATGACCTAATAAAAAATACATTCAATAAATGCAACATCTACAAAAAAGAATACACCAATTTAAAAGCTCACATCAAAGGTGTAGCAATATGAGTCAATGACTTATGTAGCCCCATTTCGGTCCGTGTTGTCTTATAGGGTTCCTTTCTCCTAAGCATTTTCTTTTTTTTTTTGTAATACAAATGACACTATAACTGGGTTTTGGAGCTGACAAATTTAGTGGCGGCAAATCACAATAAAAGGACAATTTTAATAGATTCGCACTTGGCAATATTTTCCACTTACTTTTCCTCTTTACTATTGCAGAAAAATTATTTTAAATGAATTATTATTAATACTGCTTTAGTTTGACATATCTAATTTAGTTACCATCCTCTTAATGTGGTTTGAATGCTTATAAATAGAGAATATACATTGATTGTCGTCTTGGTTTTCAACCCTTTGTATGTCTCACGAAATTCACATTAATTCCTTTGGAAGCTACAGAAATAAATTATTTGCTATTTTTCCCTTCAACAGCTTTTTAGTTTGTATCCATCAATTGGTTATTTATTTATTTTTTTCCCGTATTTTGATTTAACACATGTTCTTTCACTTGTAAAGTTCCACATAAGGCACGTTTTAATGTGATTTTGCCCCGGAAAGATAATTTTTTTCCCTCACGGGATGGGATATTCTTAGTGGTAGACTACACCCCTATATATACTGTCGCACAACTCATGTTGTAGCCGAATTCCGCTCAGCTCAGTGCAATTTCCTTGAACCCATGACCAACGACCTAAGCCCGAATGCGACTGATTCGTCCAGCCGCCGTACGATCCGTCTACTTTCTGATCTTCGTACGTTTGTATCACCAGTTACCTCTTCAGTTACGTTACCTCCACTCCACCCTTCTTCAACACGATATAAATAGTGAGCTTGCATCTCTCTTACAGTCGTAAGTACAAATGGCGTTTAAATGAAATTTTTAAGTCTCTTTGTGAATTTTCTTGTAAATCGAACACTGAAAGTGTGTGCCTAGAATAAGAAAACAACAACAAACATGTGTGTTACGTATTTCGTGTCTATGTAAAGTCACTAAGTTAGCCCTAAGGTTCCAACACCATTCACATCAATAAATAAAACGATAGTAATAAGTCTATCTGAGCCCGTGACCATTAAAAGATAAAATCAACTATATCGTTCTTATATTTCTTCTCTGCGATCGATCGGCAATAAATCGAACAAACCAAAACTTGTATCGAACATACGAATATGACCAAATCCTAGGTGTTTGAGCGCGGCCTAGAAGCGATCCCCCTCTCGGTAGATCTGTGGATCCATTACCTCACGCATGTCAAATCCAATCACGACGACGATGAACAGTTCATTCGCCTCCAGTATGAGCGGGCGGTGAAGGCGTGTGGCCTGGAGTTCCGATCGGACAAGCTTTGGGACTCCTACATCCGCTGGGAAAACGACTCCAAGCGCTATCATCGCGTGGTGCAGATCTACGATAGGCTGCTGGCCATACCCACCCAGGGCTACAATGGCCACTTTGACAAGTAAGTAACAATAATATATTATTATTATTATCATTTAAAAAATGAAAATTCTTGTAGTTTTCAGGATGTGATAAATCAGCATGCCATAACCAGCACAATTGGCCATGAGGAGCTCATTCGCCTGCGTAAAGATTTTTACGAACGTCAGCAGAGCAAAGCCGCCAAATCCTCGTCCAAGAGCCGTCGCGACAGCAGTAGCAGCTCCAAAGACAAAGACTCAAAGAGCGACCGAGAGCGAGAACGGGAGAAAGATAAGGATAAGGAGAAGGACAAGGACAAGGACAAGGACAAGGACAAGGAAAAAGAGAAACGAGTATCAAGTGGCGGGGGTGCTGGTAAGTCGCCAAAAGATTCTATTGAAACTCATGTCGATGAATCAGAAAGTACTACCGATCTGACCGAAAGCGAGCCATCGCCTGCAGTCTTGAAGACGGCGCCCCAGATCGATTTCAGTGATTTTGGCAATCTAAGTGACGAGGAGGTGGCCAGCATAAGGGATAGGGCTATCTCGGCGCGCCGCAAGATCCACAAGGTGACAGTAAGCGCTGTGACTGCCCGCTGGTCTTTCGAGGAGGGCATTAAGCGGCCATATTTCCATGTGAAGCCGCTCGAGCGGGCTCAGCTCAAGAACTGGAAGGATTACTTGGACTTCGAGATCGAGAAGGGTGATCGTGAGCGTGTCCTCGTTCTGTTTGAAAGATGCCTTATTGCCTGCGCCCTGTACGACGAGTTCTGGCTAAAGATGCTGCGTTATCTGGAGTCGCTAGAGAACCAGACCGAAGTTATTGATCTCATTCGAGATGTATACAGTCGCGCCTGCCGCATACATCATCCGGACAAGCCTAGCCTGCACCTGAAGTGGTCTGCCTTCGAGGAGTGCCAGCTAAATTTTGATGGTGCCGCTGAGATCCTGCAACGCGTCGAGCAGCGGTGCCCCAATCTCCTGCAGCTTTCTTATCGTCGTATTAATGTCGAGCGACGAAGGGGAGCGCTGGACAAGTGTCGCGAGTTATACAAGCACTACATAGAAAGTACAAAGAACAAGGGCATTGCCGGAACTCTGGCAATCAAGTATGCACGTTTCCTCAACAAGATCTGCCACGATCTCGATGGAGGCTTGGCCGTTTTGCAGCAAGCACTGGAACGTGATCCAGCCAACACGCGAGTGGCCCTGCAAATGATTGATCTCTGCTTGCAGCGTCCAAATGTGGATGAGCAGGAGGTAGTTCAAATAATGGACAAGTTTATGGCTCGCGCCGATATCGAAGCAGATCAGAAGGTGCTTTTTGCACAACGGAAAGTTGAATTCCTTGAAGACTTTGGCAGCACGGCTAAGGGCTTGCAGGACGCTCAACGGGGTCTTCAGCAGGCGCTAAGCAAAGCCAGCGAGGCCTCAAAGAAAGGGTAAGTTCAGACAATTGAAAATCATCCTTAGCGCCATCTGATTATATTTGAATTTTCCTTGCAGTGACAGCAGTCCCAATCGCAAAAGCTCATCGGCCAGCAAAGATGGTACCACTCCTGGATCCGGATCGTCCACCTTCGCGGCAGCCTATAACAATGGTGGCACAGCTGCCACGGCTGCCGCAGGCTACAACTATGGCGCGGCCAGTGCATCCGCTTACTACGGCCAGCAGAATAGTGGAGGCGGCGTGTACCCTCAGCCGCCACAGCAGCAGGCTTCTTACGACTCGTACTACAGCCAGTGGGGCTACGGCCAAGGAGCAGCATCCGGTCCTAGTAGCAGCAGTAGCGGGGGCTACAACTACGGCCAGTGGAGCGGCTATGGAAACTACTATTGAGACGCGACCACCCACCCAGACTCCTTGTACCTCTAAGACCCTCCCCCAGCTTGTTTGGTTTTGCCCTGCTGCTGTTCTGTTAACTAATAGTCGTCTATTTGTAATTTTATATTGATTCCACATTATTCATACACATACATGCGGATTATGTAGCCGATTCTCAACAGGATAATAAAGAAATATCAGCTTAATCGGTTCACCATATACGCGTTGCATGTATTTCGCCAAGAAATGCTTGGTATGAGTCAAAGTATGCCTAAATAGAAAATAAAATTTACAATTTGTCACCACTAGAGCTCGATGGAAGAGCCTAGAGATTGGGTCGATACCAGGTCACCTCACCGCCATTGCAACCGGTGACAAGCAATGGTTCCCTCGGGCTGAACTTGGCGCACAGCACTACGTCCTGATGCTCGGTGATCTTGGCCAGCTCAACAAGCTTTTGCGGACGCCGCTTTACCTCCTCAAACATCTGGGATCTGGGATAGTCGCAGCAGTCCGCACTGTATCCCAGCAGGCGCACACCGTTTCCGTACGGGGAGCAGACGATTCGACCATCCGCCGAGAAGCCCGGCTCTTTGATGAAACCCGGCTTTGTATTGGTTTCGGCGGCATAGTAGAGCAACTTCTTGGCATTCACCAGTATGGCATGGGCGTTCTCCTTGGCCGTCGCTGCTGCCGCATGTCTGATTACCGGACGCAGACGCAGACGATGCCCAATCTCCAGTCGCACCCTGGTGTCGCTGTTGCTACTACTACTACTACTACTACTACTACTGCTGCTACTGCTACTGCTACTACTGCTACTTGAGCTGCTGCTGCTTAGGTTACTGCTTGTGGAGCTCTCTGCAACTGCCGGAGTACTCGGCTGGCGTGGGTTGCTGCTGTTAACCATCAGACGACTGGCCACCGAGGGCCGAAGCGGGAGCACGCCACTACTGATTGCGTACACAAAGTTGTAGCCGCTGACATGATTGTTGGAGTTTCGTGCCCGATTCTGGCGGATAGCGCGCTCCTGAACGGTCACTTCTGCCGCCCATATGTCGGGTATAAAGGTATCTGGTCGTGGCGAGGCTGCGGCTGGTGCTGCTCCTCCGGGCAGTCTTCCCGAACCAGCGTTGTCCAAGTGGAAAACCTGAACAGTTCCCATCCGCATCCCCCTTCGTGGCTGTCTGGGTGGCAGTCCATCGGTATCTGGGTCTGGCGCGGGAGTGGAATCCCTTGAAGTGCTGTTGCGATTACTTGCCGCAGAGTGCGTGCACTTCTTCTTTGGCTGCGGCTCCTCTTCGTCGCCATCGTCTTCGCTGGGCATCGGCTCCTCATTGATGTCGTGGATGCAGGTCCACTCGCTCTGCTCGTCGCAGCTTACGTTGCGCGTCAGCATGCAGCGACAGTGTGGGTGGATCTGCAGAGCCATGATCATCTCGGCGTCATTCTGCTCGGGAAAGTCGGTGACCAGCTCTACGCGGTTCTTTTTCTGACGTTTGGAGAACACATGGTCGTATTTGGCGGCCTGTGGGATGTACTGCTCGCCCAGCTGCATAAGGCGGTAGATACCAGGCTGCAAGTTCAATCAAATATATGCGACTCTTGATTCGGGAAGACGACTATACTCACCCTGAAGCCGCACAGATCCTTGTGCAGGGTGGTCAGGTCGAGGTGATGAATAATCATTATGTAGCCGCCGCTAGTGCAGAGGACCAGCTTATCGCCTGTGGGCGATATGCGACACCGCATTAGTCCGCTGGCGTGGAAGACGCGCTGCGAGATCAGACCCTGCTCCGTGTGCGAGTTAATGTCCCACGTGAAGATGCTGCCGTCGAAGCCGGAGCTGACGAGTAGCTTGTCCTTGGAGGAGTACTCGATGTTCTTCACCCAGTTGGAGTGGCCGTGCAGGACGCGCAACTTCTGCTTCATGTTGCGCAAGTCCCACAGGGCCACCGTGAAGTCATCGGAGCCTGTGGCAAAGAGTCGGTCGTCAAAGAACCTGAAACGCCAAATGCAGATTGCAGTTTGCACATGACAGACGTGGGAGCACCCTTGAGGTACTCACTTGATGCAGTTCACGCTGTCGGTGTGTGCGTCCGGAACCTTGAAGATCTCCTTCTGTGTGATGGCGTCGAAGACAAGGACGCACTTGCGCTCCGTGGCGGCTACCAGCACGTTGCCATCGGCGTTGAACTCCAGGTTGAAGATGGCCCCGGTTCGTCCGGCCTCCGTTGGCTTGCAGTTGGCGTGGTAGCTATTGAACATGTTCATCGAGCTGTATATCCGCCGCATAACGAAGTTCTCGTCCCCCGCATGGCTGGAGAAGCCACTCTCGCGCCGGCTCAGGTAGCGCTCCATGGTGGACCTATTGAGTTTCCGAGCTGGTGCCTCCTATATCTGCCTGATTTGGGTGGAGGCAAGTATTCCGTGATTTCTCTATTCGCAACGTCGAATTTTTCCCTGAGGCCTTTCTTGTTTTTATTCTCGTACTGGAACGAGGGCTGCAAAAAAGTGCTGCGTGAAACCGATTTCTTTTTACAACTGAAGGTTGTTGAACGAGTTTTATTGTGGGTTGAGGGATCAGGGAAACTAATTGCTTTTAAAAGACGTTCTCTTTAGTTCAGCCCTTTATTAATATTAATTTCCTTTTTTTATAGCTAAATTAAATATTTTTTCGTCCCAGGCCAAGCACACTGGACAGGTGTCAATATTTTTGCCTGGACGAAGAAATTTAATAACTAAGATTTTAAAGTTTTCTTAATTAATCCTTATATTCGGGTCATGATTGGGAAAACTGTTTAAATGCAGCCCTATTATTTAAAAAATCGATTTTTTAAAAGAAACGAGAAATCGAACGAATAACGACCGTCTCTAAATAACGGCTATCGGGTATCTTCAAAAATGGTTTATCTTTATTCCTTAATTTGTGATTTCAACTTTTGAAAACTATATATTAAACCAAATATTCTGTAATAAAATCATTAAAACTATAATATTGTAATTTTCTTATTTAATTAATTAATGTTATGGCGGCTATATATTTATATAACATATAAAGAACTGAACTGAATCAGAACTGAATCTATAGAAAGTCATATAACTTTTCTTTATTTAACCAATAACATATTATAGTCTGAAAATAAATAAATAATACATGTCAATGAGTTGCTAATACCAAAAGTAACAAATACGTTATATGCCTTACAAAGTTTTATAATTAAATGTGCAAATGCAAAACCCTAATAAGCGGTTAAATGTTGAACTAATTCATTGATCTACATTTAAGAAAACGGCTAACTAAGATTAAGATTGGCTAAACAAAATTTCATATTCGCCAATTGGAAACGGGAAAACTGGTTCCACCGCGAACCGAACCAGGGCCATTAAAAGTACACACACTGGTTCACAGAACCTCGCAGGCAATTTATGGTCACATCATTTCAGTGAAATAAACAAAATGTTGGTTCTTAGCGAGATAAAACAATTAACTATGTAGAATTGCAACCGATTAGCGCCGAGTGAACCTCTAAGACACCGACCAACATGGAGCGGTTCGCTTTCAAGATCGACGCGGCTCTAAAAGCGAATCTCTACAAGATCTGCAGGCTGTGCGGCATCGACAATCCAGGAAAAGTGCAAATACTGCCGCAGAATGAGGACGACATTATTGACCTGGACGAGCCCAGCTTGTCGCAGAAGGTCTATGAGCTGGTCGGTTTTATGGTGGGTATGGTGCTGGTATTAGTCCGAGGAAAGCTAAAGCAACGCCCCTTTTGCAGGTGTCCGGCGACGACAAAATGCCGCAGACAATGTGCAGCCTGTGCGTGGATAAAATCAATGATTTTTACGAGTTTCGAGAGATGTGCTATGCAACCAACAAACAGACCCGTAACCTTTTAGGACTGAAGGCGGTGGAGCCCGAAAAGGTGGGACAGGCATATAAACCTTGATTACGTATGTCTCATATATCATGTTTTACCCAGCTCATTAAACTGAAGCCGATAATCAAGTCGGAACCGCAGCTTATGGGGCCAGGAGGCAAACGGGGCCGGAAACGCAAGACAGAGGACAACTGGCCGAGGTCTAATCTTAACGTAAAGGCTCAGGTCAAGAAGGAGCCGGTGGGATTTCACAAAAAGCTACGACTTCAGCCGGCGCAATCAGCTCCCATAGAGCCCAAAACGGAACCTGACATGTAACTAAAAGATGCATTTATTTAGGACACTTTATAAGCTATAGAATTTTGTGAATTTGCAGCAAAGAGGAACCCGTCGAACCGGAAACCAGTCACAAGGTGCCACCGAAGAAGGGCCGAAAGTCCATATGCAGTGTTTGTGGCGAAAAGTTCCTAAGCAAGGAGCTAGCTGACGAGCACAAGAGCCTTGTCCACGTGCCCTCGATCCTGCGCTACGTATGCAACGCTTGTAACCAGACGCATCACAATCATAGCGACATCCGCGCCCATCAGCTCTGGCACAAGCTCTCGAAGACGCCTTACAAGTGTCCCCTGTGCGAGACGAGCGTGGCCAATGCCTACGCCTTTACGCGCCACCTGCGGGAGCACAACCCGCCTACTCCCGTCCAGCTGCTCGTTCTGGATCGCGAGTGCCCGCTGTGCAAGAAGACATTCATCACGAACTTCTTCTACAACACTCACCGATGTGCCATCCGCAAACGCAAGTGCGGCGGCTGCAGTCGCGCCTTGAACTCTGAGGCCGCCTACATGCGTCACGCCCCAACCTGTGCGAAGATTTACCTCACTCACTCCAAGCACATCATGCCCGAGGTGGTAACCAATGAGGCGCAGATGCGTATTATGAACGAGGTTGAGGACGAACTGGTTGGACTGCCGCCGGCAACCACTGTGCCACCGGACTTCGTGATCGACGAAGGTATGCAACCGGTGGTGGTCCTGGAGCGGCTCTCATCTCCTCTGCTACGGGCGTCGGGTGCAGTCAATCGACTGGGCGCCTCGAAGGGAAGAAACAGCGAAAGGGTTTCTGCCAAGAAGTACTTGAAGAGAGTGGATCAGCTGCTTAAAAACACAATGAGCACCCTTGTGAGCATCAAGCATGAGCCGGAAATGCACATCAGCGATACTGGTCCAACCGGAGAGCATGTGGAACCTGAGCCTGAACGAACGGAAGAGGATCCACCTAGCTTCGGGGATGATGACTTCCATGGGGGCAACGATGACAGCGATGAGGAGGAGAACCCAATGGCAACCTCCTCTAAAACTGCTGCTTTGGCCAGCGATAATGTACCCAGTTTATCGATCAAACAGGAGCTCTTAGACGAAGCGTATGAGAAGCAAATGGAGGTCAAGCAGGAGCCTCTTAAACTTAAGCTGAAAATAACCAAGAATCACGGCAAGCTCAACTCCTCGATCATAGACGATTTGGATGAGGCTGGTCCTGCGACCGGAAGGAGTAGCAAAAAGAAGAAAAAACGAAAGCACAAAGAGCGGGAGAAGGAGGCGTCAGTAGAAGCAGACGTAATACAGGATCAGTCCATGGTTAATGTGAAGCAAGAACCCGCTGACAACGATTACGTTCCTCAGGCGACGGTCATGACCACGATACCCATTACTCAGCTAGAAAGCAGCTACAATGAAAGTGAGCAGCATGAGGCGGAGGAACCGGTGCAAATTCAGGAGGATGTGAAGCCCAATCGCGTTGAGCTGGATCGAATGATGCAGATATCCCATGTGGCCAGTGGCGTCGACATGGCCGAAGAGGCTATGCCCTTGGAGAGAGAAGAAGAACAAGCCGTTGAAGCCACTCCCGATGAGCCAGAGAGAGAAGCAGAGAAGCCCAAGGAGTCCCCGCCCAAGACAAAGGTCACGTCGGTAAAGTCTACGGCACGCAAGAGCACGGGAGGTGTTCAACGCAAGCCCCGCAATGAGACCCCGAAGGAGGTACCTTTGCCACAGATCGTGGCCGTGGAAAGTGGCGAGGCGGCATCGTTCAATATGATTCAGGATATTAACATTAAACCGGAGCCTCGCAATCGCGGATACGGTGACGATGAGCCTGATGCTACAGAGGAGATTAATCACAACGAGAAGATGGACGAGGAAAATGATTATATCGACAGTTTAGACCTCAACAATGTGACTGTGAAGCAAGAAAAAGACTTGGACATTTCTCATGAATCCGAAACTATGCACTGCAACGGACTTGAAAAGGGCGGCGAAAGCGAGGGCGATGACGATGGCCATGAAGACAGTATATCGTCAGCAGACGAGGCAGAGGAAGCTATGGAGGAGGACGAAGAAGAGCGCATTTATCAGGAAATCGAATTGCCACCATTGGAAGCTCAAACCGATGAGGATAAAGCATCACAATCTGTTCCAGAGGAGCCCGTATTACCAGCATCGAAGCCAGAATCTGAACAGCCGCCCCTAAAACCTGCTCCGGACAGTGCAAGAAAACCAGTGCCAGCATTAAGTTTGGTTATAACTAACATCTGCAGTCAAGCCGCACCGGACATAGTAACTGTGCCTGATGAGAGTTTGACCACTTCGGATTTAGAGCCTATTCATGACAACACTCCTGCTTCCACCAGTGAGAGTCAACCTACGCTAGGACCGGTGGATATACCCGCGCCAGAGGCAAACGAAATTCAGTCATCGCCATTTAATGCTGCTGTTCCGGTAGTTGAAACCCAGACGGATATTGAAAATAATCAATCCGCTGAATGCCTAAATGCTCATAGCTCAAACCTGGTAGATGAACATCCTTCTGAGGAAGTTTTAAAACCCCAAATAGAAGTCGTCTCTAATATGACAGTTGAAGATCAATCCCGGACAGGTTGTGAAGCTAACTCATCTCCCATTGAATCGCAAACCGAGGGGGATATGGGCTCAATCCAGCCAATGGAGTCTCTGGCTCCACCAGGCTCTGCAGTTGAGGAACTACCAGCTCCAATTGAGGACCGATTTCCGGCAGACCCTCAAGCTCATTCTTCCCTCCTTGAGAGTCAACCCGTCACTATACATGAGGTTGAATCTCTGCCAAGTTCTAGTTCTAATATACAAGAGGCAGGATCAGCATCATCTGAGAATATATCCTCTACACACATAAATCCAGCCCTGGAATCTCTAGACAGTGACCATGATACTGCGACTACTCCAATGGTCTCCCTTAATGGTCCCAAAGATATTGAAGCTCAGGCCCTGCCAGTTTACGAGGCACCCAACTTTACATGCGATGAGGAGCAGCAGAACGTGCTTAACCATGAAATCTCGGAGCAGCAACAGGCGCCTCTCGATGATGGCCAGCGGATGGTTTTTGAGGAGCAGCCGGAACCACTTGAAACTGGGCAGGAGCCGTCACAGAATGAGGAGGAGGAGTGTAAGCCAGGAACCTCGACGAGGCCAATAGAGGAAACTGAGAACCGAATTAACGAGCAGCAGCAGCAGCAGGGACTGGCCCTGGAGGATCAACGGCAGCCACGCTGCCAAGCCAACAACGATGACTCCAATATTAACGAAATCGCCGAAAACAATAACAATGCCAATATTGAGCGCGAACTGCAGGACGATACTCTAGGCGGGGCTCAGGAGGATGATAATCCATAGTCGACGATTATCTGATAGATTGTGTTCTTTCATTCAGTTAAATTTGTAAATATGTATGGATTTGTTAAGGAGGGATTTGAGGAACACAAAAAACACATTGAAAGTCTATCCCGATCCCGAGCGCGATATAATTGCTACAAACATTTGTACGAATAGAGAGCATTACTTTTAAGTTAGATATACACAACTTTATTACATAAATTAATGGCTTATATATATTAGCATATGTAAGTATTATGTATTGAAATACATAAATCGCACAAAACTCGTCAAGACATGCGTACACATTAATCAAAAATCCAAAATCCACATACATAAATTTCACGCTTCGACAAGCGGATTATTGGGTTTAGTAGTTTCAAAATTTTAATAAAATAAATACATATACGTAATATTCATTTAAAATACATACATAATACACACAGAAGAAAAATGACTACAAGTTTGCATTAAATGCACTCGAACTAAAAAGAAATACTTATGAGTACACATGGTCATTAATCGATCGGGTGTAACTGGATTTAATACGTTGCTTTCGCGGGGAAGCCTTGTGGTCTGAATAAACTGCATACATCATCGCTTATATATTCAGCTCATCTTTCGTTAGTTAATTATTATTTGAACAAGTAGAGACAATTAATTACTGAGCAAACTGTTGTAAATTTAGTGTACGGTTAATTGCGGGCAAATCTATTAGTTTAAACTTGTGTAATTGAACAATTGCCAACTGTGTTCTTTATTAACAGTCACAGTTTCCATTTTTAGTTTGCATTTCGTTATAGATTTATAAAATATATTTGCTATAATAAATTTTCTTCGCTCAGCTTACACGCTTTTTCAGTTCGCAGATAGGTTTTGGTGTTCTCAAGTTTTTGGCACTGAAGTCTGAACAGGGTCCGCGGGTCATTCACTCACATACATATGTATATTATTGAAAAATATAATATATATAAATATGTCGTTCATATTTAATTGAGCAGCTTTATGGATATGCAAATGCGAGTTGGAACAAACGAAACCGGGCAATATCTGATTATGGGTCTGCGTTCGTTAAACTCGTTACGATACGATTAAATTAAAGAGGTATGAAAATTCTCTAACAGTATTTACAGGGATTTATCCAACGATAAACCAAAATGCCAAAGCACATATTAAATTATTGCTTATTTTTGGAATAGTGTCTGCTCCTGCATCGTGTCCCCGTGTCCCTTAGTCCCACTCGTTATCATTATCCTCGGAATCTGTCTCATCCTCGTCAGAGTGTATAGCATTGCCGCGTGCTGCCAGCGCCCGACGAAGGGCATCTGCCAGGGCATCGGTCCCGCCTCCATTATCGCTGAGCCGTTGGCTGCCCAGCTCGCGTTCCTTGGCCGGCCTCAGTTCGATGCCCTGGCGAATGTCCTTCATCAGATCACTGCGTGTGTCGCCACTGCCAGTGCTTAGGGCAGCCGTGTCCACTTTCTGTTTTAATTAAACGGAAAAATATCGATACAAATATATTTTCTGCGATCCACTCACAACACTTACCTTCAGCGTTGTTCCCTTGCGTATGGCGTCCATAAGTTCGTTGCGTGGATCCGGAGCGGATGCCACTGGCTTGGCTGCTTGATTAGGTGCGCGTGTTGTCGCAATGGCTGGGATCTCTCCCACTGGCATAGGTGGGGGCGGTGGTGGCGGCACCGCCGCTGCAGTAGGTGGTGGCGGCGGCGGAGGTGGAGGCTGCAAGGACACAAATTATAAATGAATTTAAACGTACCAAACACTATTATCTAGATGGCTTACCGCTACTGCTGGAGCGCTGACAGGTGGCGGCGGTGGTGGTGGCTGATGGGTACTAATAGGTGGCGGTCTGCTGGGTGGCGGCGGAGCTCGCGTGGCGCCCGGCACAGTGGTGGGCACTGGAGGTGGCGGCAGTCTTGCCGGTGGCAACGGAGGAGCAGTTCTTTGGTTACCATTCTGCGGCTGGAGGATTGAAGAGAACCGATTAAAATATATACAAAAATGACGGGTTAAGAAAACTTACGTGTTGATGACGACTTGGCACCGGTGGCGGCATGTGGGGCGTCGATTCCGTTGGGGATTCCACACTGTCCTGCTTCACCGTGGCCAGCACGTTGTTGCTCTGTATAAAGTCGTAAATGAAGGCGCGCGTGTCCCTGTCCTTAAGCTCTGTCTCCGAGACCCCAGCTTTAACGAAGAACTCGTTTAGCACTTCGTCGTTTTCATTGCCAGCCAAAGCGAAGCCCTTGTCCGCATCCCAGCCCACATGGGTGAGATGCACGAAGTTTGTCGGCTGGCTGATGTCCGCCTTGGTCACCTTGCGCTTCTTATCCTTGGCATGGTTGCTTAGCCCAAAGCTGCTCGATAGGAAGTTCTTCGGCGGTGCGGGCGTCAAGGTTATGGAGTTGATCTTGTTGTTCCGGAGTTGAACGTTGGCGCCGTCCGTAGACGATATGCCGCCGCCCTGGATGGCTGGCGGGCGACCTGCGTCATGAGAAATGGAATTGACTGGCACATTGGGTGCCTGCTGGCTCTTCTGCCGGTTTCGCTTCTCCTGCCGTTTCCGGTTGCGCGTCTCAATGGTGGTGTCCACAATGCGAAAGAAAGAGTCGCATTCTTCCTCCGAAACGAAGTTTAATCCAACGTGACCGTCCTGAAAAGCATAATTATAACAATAACAAATTATAATTACATTCTTAGATCCTAATGAAAGGTACTTACACTGCCCTCAAAGGTGAGCAAAAACGGGCGCGACTTAACCACCTGCATGCCGTCGTATACCTCGTGCTCCCATATCAACTCGTTCTTGATCAGGCAATAGGCACGCATAAAGTAGGATCGGATGGCGCTGTCCTTCACAAAGCAAACGACTCCCGTGTGCCGCTTCTTCCAGTGGGCGTGGGCACTGCCCTCCGTCTTGTAGATCTGCACCACCGCGGTGTTCAGTGTCTGAAAGTGGAGCAGGCAAAAAAAAAGAGATTGCGTTATAAATGTGCTCATCGATAGAAAGGCCCTTGGGTCGATTATCTAATCCAGCCGAACAAAAGGCTTCAACACCTTCAGCTTGCGCCTCATTTGAATGCAACGATCAATCCGACTCCAAAACTCAATGAACTGTCGCGGTCGAGCTGAAAAACTCATCTGACTTTCGGTTTCGCTGCTTTCTGGCCATCGAGTCCGATGGCCCCAAGTGAGTGTGGCTCATTTGAATACCGATTAGCTAGCTAGCCTGGCCAGGCCAGGCCAGCTCTTGCAGCAACTGCAGCCGGGAGTTGGATGGCTAATCCCGACACTTGGTATGGGTGGCACGTATGTTAGCTCTTCATGATGGAAGCGCGTAAGTCTAGTCCCTGGACATTAGTCTTGTGAAGACCCCAACACCGAAAAGTGCGTGCGTGCAGTGCTAGAGTGCAACGGAAATCCATAATTGCAAGCACTCAAAGAAAAAACCTACATTTAATTTAGAAAAATCGTGCATAAAGCTTAAGCTTATATCAAATATATTGAATATTCAAAAACCAAAATTATTTCTTTATATAGGCTTGGCTAAGTGAAGACCTTGTACACCTTAATTACTTTAAGGTTTCTTTCTGTGTACAAGCTTATATTGCTCGTTTATGACCCAGACAGGAAGTGCTGGCGACAGCCAGGAGAAGCACCAAAGATTTGCCGCATCACAATACATGCCAAGACCCATGATATATACTATAGGATAGATCCTTTTGGGGCCAGAGAAGTCAAGGCAAACTGTCCTTTATTTATTGAAATCGTTGTGAGAAAGCCTGCAAGGCCAAAGGAATTACTCAATGTTCTTTGAAACAAAAAACAAAATAAAAGTGAGCGTGTGGCCATAACACTTGGCATTTGGCCGAGGCCAAAGCGTGACCCTCTGACCGGAATCATTGCTAATTGATTCATCTGCCTGCCGCCACCGAAGGGCGGGTGCTCCAAAAGTGCCATAAGCTGGCAATTGAAACATTGCAGCTGAATTACAAAAACCAACATTATCAATTAATGGGCATTAGAGATGAGCACGGATGGATGGCCATGCAGAAACGTTTGCAGCCTGACCTTTGTCGCAAATAAAAGAGAAAGAGACATTGACGAGGCGGATTATGTGGATGCTTTCCAACCCACACACACACACACACACACACACACACACATACTCGCCGCTCAACTCGTATCTGGCAAGTGCGAAATTGTGAACACATTTGAATTTTTATTGATGCTTAGCTGCTTTTTACCAGCTTCATATGTCTGTATGTGCGAGTGTGTATGAGTTTGTGTGGACATAAGTAGCATTGTAAAATGATGTCTTGCCTTCTACGTACAAGCTTGCTGTTTCTTTTTTGAAAAAAGCATTAAAATCGATGGAAAACCAGCGACAAAACAACAAAAAGGTGGTCATTGCCACCGAGAGGCACAGCGGTGAAAATTAACCCATATGGGCCAAGCGGTAAACATGCTCATACGCCCTGTGGTCTCTTTATTATGTCACACACACACATTGTGTGTATTTATTTACCAATCTTTCTATATATACCTAGTTTGCTCTTTTTTTTGCAATATATTTAAAGAATAATCAGCTATTTATAGATACTAAAGAATGTATATAAATATTTATAGAGCGCCACTTCCGTTGTTTATAAAATTCTCTAAAAAAAAGCAATCGAATTTGCTTGGACTGCGAAGCCAATGTAAAGGTTTCAAAGCCTAACAAAAGCCCATCATAAAAATAAACAACCATTAGAAAGTCCGGCTTTTAGGGGGAAAATGACAAATGTGTGCAGAAAATGCGTTAAATAAGTGTATACAAATAAATGCGAGCAACTGTTGCGACAAACGACGACTGTCAAACCACAATAACAACATCATTGGGTTTTGCTGAGCTGCTGCAGTTTCCAGCATTATCACACGATGAATGTGACACTATGTCATCCACTACAAAGGTAGAGTAGAGTGCACAGAAAAAAAAAATATGCATAAATCATGTTGAATTGATTAGATAACAAACTTGATCTTGAAAGATAGCAGTAAGATATGAAGGTATAGTTATAACCGAGCTTAATTCCTAAACATGCTTAAAAGGTGCAATAATAAACTACTAAGCTTGTTAGTAATATGATTTACATTAACTATTAACAATATTCCTAATATTGATTTAAGCTTCTAATATAATATTGATTGTAAAACTAATAAAATAACCAAACCAAACCAAGTCCAAGTTCAATTTTTTCCTGTGTGAAAATGAAAATGAAAATGTAAAAAGGCTAACTACCTTAACCAGCGGCTGGTTGATTGCATTACTTTGGCAGAGTTCAACTGCATTTGGAAATGTTTTTGTCAATGGAAAGTTGGAAAAAATTAGCAAAGCGTGAATTGCGAATCGAAATTAGCGATTAGTTTTTTGTTCATGTTGTGCACACCATAATTATCCGCATAACGGTAACCGTTAAATGGCCACATTCCAGTTTTCCATTACCACTCCAATTTCAGGGCATTCTTATCGCTGCCTGGCATTGGCCAGCGGTGATTCGCAGCGGGCGGATGGAAGGATTGATAAGATAAGGTTCGCCTGTATTTGGCCTAACAAGTTATCGCGACCCAATAGAGGTTTCTCTTTCACTGCTAAGCGGAATCGCGGCTGTGTCAACCCAATATAATAATGGGAAATAGAAAACAAAATAAAATAATGACTCGTGAAAAGCAAACAACAGCCGGCCGCCTATCAATTCTGGCTCAAACCGATAGCTGATAAAAGTATGAGTCTAATGTTAGGTAAATATGTGTAAGAACAGCAAACAAATGGTTTTTTAGCACAGCTTTAGATTTTCCGAATAGTTTAGGGACATTCAAAAGAAAATCTGTGTACAATTTATCTCATTTGTGCATGTTTCTTTAATGCTTTCTCATTATGTGTAATGAGTCAGCGGGCAATCCCTATATGCATTTTACATAATAATATAATAGTACTTGTCATACGTAAAGAGAAAGGGAGATAAGTAAAGCACTTAATACAATTAATCATACATTTTTTTAAATAAAGCTTAAAATTACAAAAAACGACAACTTGAATGGTAATTTCCTAAAATATTCAGACGTTTTTACCAAAAGCAATAACTGGTTTTCTAAAGGTACTTATGAATCATACATTTCAACATTTCTTAGCAAAATAAAGCATTACCTCAGGCACATTGTTTCTGTAAGTATTTTAAAAATATATCTAAATTTTGTTAAGAATTTAATTTAATATAGAAAGTGTTTACATTCAGTAGCCAGTCTCATTTTCTCTCCCGAATATACATATGTATATTTCCTCAATATATTTAGCAAGTTTCAATATTTCCAAGAACTTTTCAAGTATCTCCCAACCGATATATACTCTAGATAGCACACAAACTATAAACGAAAATGCCTTTAGATAAAGCTATGACATCGTGCAAGTTAATTTTGGCAAACAAACCGGCCAGCAGCAACAGCTGTCGACCGATATTGGGTTACATTTTGGGTACTTGAGCCGCAGGAAGTGCTTCATCAAGCTCTGCGATGTTTTCGCTGGAGGAGCATGTCGTTGCCTAATTGTTAATCACCCAAAAGTTTATGCACGATCACTACTCACCTGGCACTTTTTGCCCAGCAGCCGGAAGACAGCGTCGTTCTCATCCTGGGTAAGTAGCGTGCTGGCTGCATTGATCTTGGCCCGGGGCAGCGCTGCTGCCTGTGGACCGTCCTGCGACCTCATACCGCTGCTCATTTGGCCGGGGTCTGGGTCCGTCCGTCTGGGTATGGGTCTGGCGTTGGAGCTTTAGGCTTTGGAGAGCTCGTCTGGTTGCCCTGCATAATAATGGGGACAGGGGAGCACACAACACGAATTTATTGTACGTCGAAAACAATACGCAAATAACGGACACCAATGAAAAGGGCAGAGCGAAAAGAGCGCAAAACAAAAGATAAATGTATTAATTTAATAATACAATACAAGCACAAGAGCCAATGAGGTGGGGACCCCAAAAAAGAAGCTTGATAGCTTTGATAACAATAAGCACACACACACACGCACACGCCCGGGGGTATTGCGAAAATGTATGGAGCAACTGTATGGAGAATCGATTTTGATTCGTCTGATTGGGGCCTCAATTTTAAAGGGGTAACACCAAAGAAACCCTAAAACTTGCTTCCGAAAGGGCAACTGTTTATGAATATTAAAGCACAAAAATCTCAACTTGGTAAATAACTTTTGACACGTTAATTTAAACAAGAATTACTGTATTTTACACCATTATATGGATATTTTTGATAATGAACTATAAATAGTAACAGCAAGGTTAACTTTTAAAGCTTAAGATAGCGCACTTTAAATATGTACGTCACAACTCATATATACTTTGTAAATTAAACTTTATAGTTATAAGAGCAGTAAAGATTGCAAAAACAAGGCTTCAATAACAATCTTCACAATTCTAAGACACCGTGTTTCAAATTAAATTCCATTAAAAATGCTTTCGATTGTATAAACTGTTTGTTTTCCGGTGTTACCCTTTAATTTTAATTAAGCTCTGGAGCTGCGAAATGGCCAAGAGCTGTGTGTTGGCTTTGACGACGGTAGAGCTCACTCTGGCTGCCGCGGAGCAGATGGAAACGGATCGGATCGGATCGAGAGGTTGAGTCACGGGTGCGCTGCGCGAGTCAGCCGCAGAAACCGAAACAGAAACAGTCGTCAGCCAGCTGCGTTTTACTGTGGGAATGGGCGAAATAATGGGGCAAACGCGGAGTCTTTGGCTGCGATGGCCCTTATCTTGGCAAAACCTCTGATTAGCCCTGCTGCGCATGTATCGGTGTGCTTCTGCCTTTTGGCCCACACACACACAGACGCGCGCACACAAGGCCCGAGTTATTCAACGCCCTAACTTGAAGATGCGGACTGTGACAACACCTGTCCGCTGGCTTGGCCAGGTGGGGTGGCGGCCAGGTAAATAGACGCGGGAGGGTATTGGCTGCTGGATCAAGGTCCCGGGCCGCCGCGGAGGGGGCCCTGGCAAACGCGGACGGCGCCCCCAGCAGAGGCCATTGATTTTTGCGTTTATTTTCGTGCACTTTTCACTCTTCCACCACGCTACACACCACAATTTTTTAATTTTTTAATCGCAGAAAAAAGAAAACAACTGTGTACGATTTTTTTTGTCCGATTTTTTTTTGTTTTTAATATTTTTTCTTTGGCCACTCTGAAATCCGCTGCTGTTGTTTAACATTTCACATCTTCCACGTCTAGATAATAATTTTACACATTTACAGATACATGGGGTCGAATTCTCATTGTTGGGGTCGAATGCTCATGTAAAATGTAAAATTAATAACAGCCGCTGTCATCTCTCTCGAGTGATGTCGGGTGTCAATCGTTTTTAGGTTATCAAAAATATAGGAAGTAAAATACATTAACAGACCTGCTTTCTTCTTTTAACAGAATTCTCTCTCTGTGGTATTTGCTACACTGAACCCGAAGCTGTTATTAAACATTTTATACATCTAGATAACATTTTACATGTAGGAAGTAAAATGCATTAACCGACCGCCCTCAATAACAGAATTCTCTTTCGTTGGTATTTATCATATTTTTGTTTTGGTCACTCTAAGTTACGAAGATGTTATTTTACATTTTACACTTTTACAGATACACGGGTACAATTTAAAATTGCAAAAATGCACGGTTTTTTTTTTAACGTATTTGCTGTTTTCCCCGTTTGTTTTTAGGTAACCATCATTGTGAAACAAGTCTACCAGTTTTTAAATAAAGAGAGCCAAATTGACAATTACCGCCTCGGTGTGCGACTGTGCTCAAAACAAACTAAACTTAATCATAGAGTAAACATCGTTATTTTTAAAAAGAAACAGAACAGTAGATTTTCCGCCAGAGCGTTTTCGCCCAATATAACTGCTTAGCAAATATAGAACATTTCGTATTCAGCAAAAGCACATTACATGGTTTAAAATCTAAAAAATTGGATTTGTCCTCTGGCAGCACCCTAAATATAGAAGTATAATATGGAAATTTAGACATTTTTCGGCAATCTGTTTTGGATAAAACATTTAAATTATTTTCGGCCTAAGGAACATCGTGATTTTCTTATCAGTCGGGCAACGCCAATACCATTAACATTGCACTGACGAATTTGTAGCATTTTAAACAGTTTAATCGGTGGGCACACTGTAAATTTCGCGCACTATTTCAAATTTAAAAATGCAATACGTTAATAAAAAAACCGTTGACGTACAATCAACAATCTGATTTAGGATTTATGCAAAGTGTGGTACTCGTGCTTAGCCGACCTAAGCAGTTGGAACATCACTGCTAGAAGCACTGTGCCCAGTACATCGGCCACAGCGGTCAAATACGGAATCGCGGCCGAATCCGGATCGATTTTGTAGCGCCAAAGAAAATGGACCAGAGCGTGGGCCAGCCAAAGCAAGATGAGCAACTGCAACAGGCTAACAACCAAGAAGGCGACTACAAAGATCCATTGAACAGCCAGGTACGAGAAGTAGATGTAATCGGCAAGGAGGGCGAATACCACATTGCCCGGCACAGAAACTGCAATCAGGATGCGGGCCACGCGGGAGTAGACGGTGCCACGAAAGTAGACTCGATGCGGCCACTCCAGGATACGGGTATCTTCAGGGAGAGTGCCCAGCGTGTTATGTGTGTACAAGACGCTGCCCATATGGCTGGCCTGGACAGAGACTAGGTTACCCCCGATCCCATTTATAATGGGCGAAAAGATGGCGAAGCCGTGGAAATCCTTCACACAGCTGCTAAGCACGAATCCGGCGACCTGGCTAATGCACAGCGCCCCGATCACAGGTATCCAACTCATCAGCAATATGGGGCGCACATAGACGTTCCGGAGCACCAACAGCAGCCAAAGGGGCAGCAAACCGAACAGGTAGATGACCACCACACAAATGCTGAACCATTTATATTCCTCGGACAGGTTATTTATCGAAGCTGCCGTGAAGGAGAGCACGCTGATGGTCACCACATCGCCGAGGGAAGCCACGATCGGTATGGCCATGTAGTCCGGGTTGAAATGGTAGCGGCCAGAGAACAGGACGATGGCCATCAAAAAGGTGTCCAGAAGGAAGCAGGAGGAACTGGAGGTAATAAGAGCAGACGCTGCCAGGAGGGGGAAGTGTTTATAGTTATGATTCCGGTTTACCGCCCAGCTCACAGCAACCGTTGTCAGGCTGAGCAGCGTGGAACAGACGATGGCCTGCAATTGAACAAGTGCCATGTTGCCAACGACTATATTCAGCACTGTCTTCCGGGAGGACAAGTCCCCCACATTAGAGTGGGTGCAAATGCGCGAGGCCACGCACATGTCCAGGTTACCTTTCAGGCCGCACAGTACGGATACCAGGACGAAGAGCTCGTTCACTTGAAGATAAACCGTCCAGTCCTGCACCTTGCCCAGCATTAGTCCGGCCGTAATTGTGCCCAAGCCGGCTAGAAAAAATGGTATTACAATTTGTATGAGCGTGGAGTACCATCGCTCCCTGTATATCTCCTCTGTGTCTGTCTTAGCTGCTTTCGTTTCTTCATCATTGGTCATCGGACTTCAGAGTAGTATAACAATATATAACCGATTTTATTTTAAGTTTTCGATCGAATTTCCAGACTTCAAACAATATGAGGGGAATAAAGTAGGCCTTTCAAAGATTAAACTTCATTTGGGTGGCTTAATCAATGGGAGAATCCTGGGTAATGTTCTCATAAAACTCGAAATTTTCTTTTAATTTGTTTTGCTGAAAAGCATATTTCTTTTTATTATTCGTTAAAATTGTTAATCGCCTTGAAACTGTATAAACAAAGTCGCAAATTATTGGCTTAATACAGAAAGCTGCTCTCTGAAACTCGTTCGTTCACTTAGGTAATGCTAAATTATCATAAAAGAATACTTAAAAAGCAGTGACTATAAAAAGTGATTTTCTTTTCTCTTCAAATATTTGGTTTTTGCGTAAGGAAGCCGAGGGCATATTAAACTTAGAAAGTAATAATCCCAAAAATGGTATGACTTTGGGCCAAATACCTAAAACACTTGTGCAATTAAATGATTGTAATAGGTTTAAGTATCCCGTGATCTTCGTGACCTTGCTAACTAATTGTAAGAGTAAAATCAAAATACATATTGGACTGGGTAAACCTTGCCTAAGCAGCAATGTCTTCGTGTCAAGTCGAATATATATCAATTACATATATGCCTGTATACATCTTGTATATATAAGAGAGTTGTACATACGCTGAAAGGCCTGATCTATGCAATACATTTGGCTACACACGATCGGGAGCTGGAGACAGCTCCTTCTCTGACTGTGATTTGGATTAGTTCAAGTTACTAGGATTTTGCGCTAACTCTATGCTATACTGGTTGCTTACAAAGTTTAGGACTACGTGTACAATATATATATATATTATATCAAGTAGAGGGAGAGTAGAATAATGTGATTACATAAAATTATGTATGTATATTGCCTTCTACCCTAAAATTCTTTGATTTCAACTCTTCTTGACTCTTGTGGATGTGGACTGGGTGTGCGTGTTCCGTTCCAATAAAAATGCGCGAAAAAATACAAAATACAGTCCTGTTCCTGTTCGGAATCGCTTGGCCGACTTGTGATTATGTAAGGTAAGCGGGAATTCGTTGTTCTCCACTTATTTGCGGGATCCCACTACGGGTAATTTGGACTTTACGCCTCCACCGCCTGCGGTACCATTCGGCGAGTTGTCAAATGTGGAGCTGCGCAAGAGCGTTGGCTTCTTTCCATTCCCAATCCCATTGGCATTCAGTGTACTGGAAGATTTCGTTTGCTGTGTTTGCTTGAGATTGGACGACGATTGCTTTGTCTTGGCCTCGTCCACTCGCTTCCAGATGTTGGCAATACGGCTTTGGGCCTGGTTGATCTTCACAGCCGCCGCTGCAGCAGCACTGGTACCATTTAGATTGGAATTACTGCGGGATGGAGGAGTAGTGGACGAAACCCGACTGGAAACCACACGAGAGGCAGCCGTGGACTTGGTTCCAGCCAAGCGTAGGCTGGTATTCGCCCTAACAGGCGTCACACGTCGCACCGGCGCTGAAGCAATCCTCTTGGGAGAGCCAGCCTTAGCCGGTGAATCACCTCCAGCTGCGGTCTTCTTGGTGGGCAGCTTTGAGGCCCGATGACCGGGACTGGTTTGAGCGGGTTTCGCCTCCACAACGGGCACTTGTTCATTGGAGTTCGTCGGCTCGTCCTTGACAAACGTTCCCTGGCGTTCCAAACGAGGCGGAGCCGGAACCGTAGCTTGAGCTGGGTCTGGTGGTGGCGGCGTTGACTTCTTTTTGGCTGGCAACTTTACACCCGTTACGCTGGGCACCACACTCCTTTTGGCAATAGTTGGTGAGAGGGTCTTCTTCTTGGCCGTGGCTGCATTATTGCTATTCCGTTGACTCTGCATGCTGTAGGGTGAGACATAGGCCGGCTTCTTGCGACCTCGCACCAGTTTCACAGCTGTGGCGGGCTCCAGAGTTGTGGGTTTGATAGCAGGAGCTTTGACTTCTACCAATGGTGGCGGAGGAGGCAATTGCTGTGGCTCCTGGCCATCACAGGACTCTGTTTCCGAGTTCTGATCACACTCTGGGGACTCTTCCGCCTCTCCTGCAAGGTCAGCGGGCTCCACTGTGGTCTGATTCTGTCCTATATTGATATCCGTGATGTAGGTGAACTGTTGCATCATCGCCCTAATCGAGGACAGCTGCTCGCTGGGGCAATCATCAACTTGAGGCTGAATCAAGGCCCGGGGGCACTCAATCAACTGGGTCTTATATCGCTCAGCACTGCCTCTCCTCCGTCCATTGGCACGCGGTGAGGTTGTGGCCACCGGCGCTGCTGTCTCCAAAATCTCGATCTGAAGCGTTTCGTTGGCCTCCAATGCCTCCACATCACTGCTGGTGGCTATGGTGTAGGTCTTGTAGCGATCCTTGGCCAGCCGACGCTTCTGCTTTGGGGTAAGAGAGCGGCGATTTGGAGAAGGAGTGGTTCCCTGCTTGGGAGTGGACTCTGCCGAGCTGTAGTCATTCATAGTGGCATCTTCGTCTTCATCGAAGCAGCTCTGGAGCACTGTTAGCGTGTGATCATTGCAAGGAGCAGTCTCGTAGTTGGACACTGAAATGGTGGTTGCCATACTGCAGTCCTGCTCGCCATCGGCCACCTCCGACTGGATACTGTCCACACTGATCATTGAGTCCAGCAGCTCGTCCATCAACGAGGGGGGCTTGATGTTGTCCAGCAAGTTGCAGCTGGAGTTCACACTCTCTGCACTGCCCGCCAGGTGACCCAGAGCTCGTCTAGCCACCAAGTTGGCTGGGAACATTTTACGAGCGAATCTGGGACTCTTGCTTGGTAGTTGCTGGCGCAGGGAACTCGGCTGGGAGTGCTCCTGATAGCAGCTATTCAGTGATTCCATTCCCGATGGTGGACGCACATTATCCAGATCCAGGCTGTTAATGCTAAAGGTCATCTCCGTGTTGTCAATGTCACCGGCATCGGGCTGCAGTAGATTTTCTGCCAGCGCACGAGCCTCGGAGGCAATCATTGTGGAGTTACTCATCATTGAGGCACTGGTTCCATTAAAAAGCAGCCTCTGGGGCTCCAATCTCACCCCGGCATTTTGAACCTGACCGCCCAACTGGAAGTTAAGGCCGCCCGAAGATCCCGAGTAGCTGTCACAATGTCCGTTGACCAAGGTATCTGTTTCGCCCTCCAACGATACGGGTTGCTCATTTGTGGGCGTGATCTCGACCAACTCTTTCAGGGATTTCGCCTCGGTAATATCATCATCTAGGCTCAGTGAAGCCAGAGCAGGAGCCGTTTGACTAACGCTGGGGAAACTCACATCATTGGGACAAGTGTGCTCGTTCCAGGTGTTGTTGCTGCTGGTATTCTTGTGACTATTGCTGCTGCTGTGGTTGTTGCTGCTGCTTCGCAACTGCTCCGCCGATGTGACAAACTCCAGGGTCAATCTCTCCACGGACTTCAACATTAGGTCAGGGTCCTTGTGTCTCTCATTGGCTCCAGAAATGCAGGTTTCGTTGGGCACACTGTCCAACCTGACCATGGTGTCCAATATGAAGGACTGATTCGACTCATCGCTGGAACGATCCTCCGCGTCAAAGTCCTTAGACCCAATAGCGGTCGCGAGACCGCTCTGATTCGCGCTCTCGAGCTCGTTCCCGTTCCCTTGACCTGGAATTGCTGGACTTCTTGCCGTGCCGATGTCGGTGGCGGCGATAAGATTCGGGTTGAGGCTGCTCGGGAGCGGGTGCGGATTGCTGGTGGCGTGCGCTTTCTGCTCTACGTCTGGAGCTGCTGTGCTGAGGGCACTTGCTGATGTAATAGCTGCCATTGGGTGACACGGTTCCAATGCAGCTGCAGACGTAGCCAGGACGTTTTTTGGCACGGTGCTGATCTTCTTGGAGATGCCCGTATTGATGCACTCCTGCAGCAGCTTCTCGTCCTTGCGCTCTCGCTCCCGCTCCCGGTGATGATGATGGTGGTGATGGTGATGCCGCTGTCGCTTGGATTGTCCACTTGATGGCAGCTGCACCGGCAGGGAGTCGAACTGCTTGAGATTGGGATCCGATTGAGTGGAGGACGCACCAATTATGGGCTGCTGTTGCAATTGCTGTGACCTAGTTCCAGGTTCCTTGGACTTGTACATGCCCTTCAGTATGCACAGCTCAAAGAGCGACTTTGACTGATTGTCGTTGGAGTCGCTTGAATCAACGGAGCTATACGATTCCTGCTGCTGGTGCTTGCGAACAGTCATGACCGAGTTCAAGGAGGAGGCCGAAGTGGCCGCATTGATGGCTATGGGCTGCGAGGAGCTTAGCGAGCTGGAGCGCTTGCCGTTCGAGCTGAAGCCAAGATTCGATTTGGGTCTATTGCAGCCAGCGGCAATAGCCTGAAAAAATTTGGACGAAAATGAGATATATATTAATTGATATATATATTAAAGTCCTCTTACCTGACTCAGTAGATTCGTGTCATCCTCCGAGTCAATGGATAGGGAGCTTAGCGAATCATCTTGCCAATGCGGCGGCCGTCGGTTTTGCTCTTGTCTGGAAGATGTCTCGATTCCAGGCGGCTTTGAATCTCCACCAGATCTGCGAGAACAAAGAAAGATTAACCATTGTCTTCCACTCTTTTAAAAAAACAATAATTTCTTACTTAAACCACCATTTTATGTTAAAACAAAACATTTTTTAAATCCTACTTCACCTTACTTGACAGACTTTAATCAAATGACATTTACATTTTGATTACTTACCCCAGGGACTCCTTGAGCTGCACTGCTGGCCCAACCAAACTGGAACCCACTGTAAGATTTGAGAGGCCTGAAACCACGGAGAAGTTGCAAGGGCTGTCTTCCACCAAAAACTTGCTCATCTCATCAGCGGATGGCTGGTAGCTGGGAAGATTGTTGCCACCGCGTCGTAGCATGGCGATGGGATCTGGACTAGCTTCAGAAAGCGGCTTCTGCATACCATCGCGGATGCACTGCTGCAGCAGGTGACCAGCTGCTCCACCACAGTCTGAGGTATTGGAGGACACATCATCGGAGAGCTGATGAGCGTAGACCTGTGGGTGATCAATTACGGGATCCTTTGGTTCATTGGAACTCAAGGAAATGGCCGAGAGGTTGGTATTGCTGGCAACCTTGGAGAGGAGCGCAGGTGTATCCTCAGTACAATAGCTGCGAGTGGTTTCCTCAACCACACCAACTTCGGGATCAACTCGCCCGGACGTCACAATCTCTGCCGGCTTACGTTGCATGCCCATGTTAATGCAGTTGGCCAGCAGAAGTTCGTCTTCGTTGTCTTCCTCAGCCACGCTTGCCGGTGCCTTTTCATCGTCCACGATGCTGAGATTACTCAAACTGGTGGCTGTGGAGAACTGGGCCGGTGTATGCTCCACATTGAAGCTGCTAAGGTCATCCTCAAAGACGCTGCGTAGTGGTCGCTGGTTGGAAGAAATCGGAGCGGGTGAAGCACTCACATTCGTCACCAAACCAGGTCCTGCGGCACTATTTCGTCGCGGAGATTGTGGCATACTTTGTGTGGGGGAATCTGGAATCTCTGAGGGAGAGATAACTCCACTGGCCAGACGACTAAAGTCACTAACCACCGAGCTCTTATCATCGCAGTTGGCCACATCCACATCGGGATCATGAACTAGGGAATCCATGGAGCTGCGACGCGAAAACATAAGTGGAGTTTCCAAAGCAGAACTGCCTTGCGTAGTTGGTTTGGCCAGAATCTGTTCAGCTGGCGGGGATTCCTCTTGCTTCGCTGACTTTGACTCTGACCCTACAGTAGCCTGATTGGCTTTGCCAGCCTCATCCAGACTGCTTAGGGAATCATAGCGGCTGAAGTAACCGGGTGTTCCCTCTTCGCAGTAATTAATGGGTTTCTCTGGCGTATAGGAGCCTGATCCGCACTGCGAAATCTTTGTAGACTTCTTGGGTGCTCCGCCCTTGGTAGCCACATCTCTAACTTCTATTTTGGGTTCCACGTCAGCTTCGGCTTTAACCGCCGATCGTAGATCGGTAACGGAAGCTGCGTTAGATATAACATATGGAGTATCCTCGGTCTGGTAGCACTTGACACTGTCATCTAGAATCAAGAGGATCTCCTGTCCCTCGGATTTAACAGGCCCTGCCTCAGCTGGTGTTGAAGTATTCTTTGCAGCGCCTGCAGATCCTGATATGTCCATGTCGGATTCAATTTGGTTCTCCGCATAGCGCAGGCTAAAGTCCGTGGGCTGATCAAGGTCCGTCTCTTGATATGTCGAGGTCTTGGTGGCACTCTCGCTGTATTTGACCGAATAGTCAATTGGCTGCTCCTCGGTGACCTCTGTGTCCTGCTCCATTTCTAGCTCGAAATCTGTCATCTTTGGCTTCATCTTGCGATGGGCATCCGAGGCTGATGCGGAGCGTATCAGGTGATCGTAAGCAGAGTCCGACTTGGCCGAGTAAACTGAGTCGCGGCTCTCACTCTTTGTGAGCATTGCCGATCGAGTTAAGCGGGGCACAGCACGATGTCGTCCGGATGAGCTGGAACCCCGTTCCTTGGCCAGCTTGCCACCAGTATCCAAATTGTCGCACGTCTCCGCGGTATGTCGTTCGCCCAGCTCCTGCTGCAACGCCTTTGCCTTGCGAGCCTCCAGAGTGGGCAAAGCCTTCAGACCCATGGAACGAGCAATGGGGTCCAGTTGATGTTGATTTTGGACTGCAGGGCGAAAGTTTAACAGATTCTTTAGGGCCGACGAGCTGCCCTCTGAGATCATGGCGTGCTTAGAGTGAATTAACGAACGCAACATTGGCACTGCGCCATTGTCCCAGAGGAACTTCTGGTCCTCGGGAGACCGCGCCGAGAGGTTCCACAGAGTGCCGCAGGAGTTACTGACCACCGTCAAGCTTTCAGACTTCAACTGCTGCAACAGGATGGCCAGGCAATTGTGCTGACGCAGGATCTGTCGATATGGTTCACATACAGCAATGTGGCTGGACACATTTCGAAGAATTCCGCCGGCGTTTTCGATAATTTTTAGCGTTTTACTTGGACCTTCATAGCTCAGCATTCCAACTAGAAACGCCAAGGCTCCGTCTACGGCACAAAACTCCGCCTTGTTGGTGCTGCAGTGTGCCGAGAGGTTCCACAGGGCCGAGAGAATGGCTTTCAAAGTGTTCTCACTCTTATTCCGCATGGCCGCCAGGGCCAGAGCCGTCACCGTGCCAATCTCATTAAGAACCGCCTTCATGTTGCTATCCGCACGCCAGGAAAGATTGCGCAGCACGCTCGCAGTAACCTGAAGTAGATCATCTGGCGCAGAGTCCAACTGGGCCACCAGGGCCTCCATGAACTGCTTTTGTCCACACAGCAGTGCCTTGTTGTTCTCATCTCCAAAGGTCAGATTGGTCAGGGCCATCAAGGCATATCTCCTCAGCGAATTGCAGCACTGATCCTCCGGCTTTGGTCCGTGGACGGCATGGTCCAGGTGCACGAGGTTCGGTATTGCGTGCAAGGCTCCCAGCTCGCACATGGCATGCCGATGTTCCTCGTCGAAACTGACCTTCATCAGGGACGAGATGGCCGCCAGGGGATGACGATCGGAATCATCGGCTATGGCCTCGCCCCCGCTCTGGAGGAGCGTCTTCAGGAAGGAACAATAGTCGACAATCTGGTCAAGCAGACGCAACACCTTTGCCTCCCGCCGTCCAGCCTTCTCGTCCGGATGACTGTGCACTACATTGTGCAGTGCCTGGCCAGCGCATTTCCTCACTTCCTGATCATTGTCTGGGGCGTGCATCATCTGCACCAGCAGCGGCATGCAGCCGGAGCGTCGCAGTGTGGCGCAGCTTTGCGTGCTCCCCGAAAGCTCCAAAAACTTCTTGGCCATTTCCAGTGGATCGTTAGAGCCCAGCATGGAGAGCAAAGAGTAAACACACTCCACCTTTGAGCCTAAGGTAGCATCCACTGCCGAGGTGCTGTACCGCTCGTCAAAGCTCGTTGTCCAGGCGGCTCCTTTGGGCAGCCGCGGAGCAGGAGCAGGGGAGTCACCGTCCAGAAATCGAGAGAGCGTGTAGGAGGGCTCCTTGCTGCGAGAGGGTCGACCTGCACTGGCTGGAGATCCACCTCCATTTCTTGGAGGCAACTCTTCCAATTGCTGCTGCTGCGCCGATTGCCGCTCAAAGTTTCTGTCCAGGCTGCGGTGCTCTCGCATCTCTCGTAATTCCTGCGCCAACATGTAATCCGGCGGAATAGGATTCTCGTCCAGGAAATGCTTGGCAGCCGGCTTCTTGCCCACGGCTCCAGATCCCGAAACGCTCTGGGTGAAGTGCAAAGTATTGTCGTCCTGGGTGAACTCCTTCTTTGTGTAGCCACTGGCAGCTAGCTCGTAATCACTGATCTCCCCATCGCGCTCATACTTCTTGTCCATCTTCAATTGCTCCCCGGAACTCGCCCCGAGACCATCTTCATAATCCGGCGGCGGCACTGCATCGTAGTCGAGAAAGTGTGGCTTGCGCTCTGGCACCGAGTCCACATCCACATCGTCCAGACTAAGCCCGACAATGCCCTCCTCCAGATCGGGTGTTAGCGTTGGCTCCAACATTGCCTGGCGGGGATCGGGGATTTGGTGGCGTTCTCAGTGCCTTAAGTCAATGCTCCATGGCCTGTAGAAGAGACGAAGTGAGGGGCGAAATTGAGACTTTATAAATGACTATAAATTTAGTGCCGGACCAGGGCGTGGGCTAATTATAGACACAGACGTCTCTTGTCCACGCCACGGCACCTCCTTGCCCGCTAGGGGCCTGTAATCATCTGTTGAGCAAAACTGAAACAGAGACGAATTGCTCTTAGTTACATGTGGGCAGAGATCAGAAATGCAATTGGATAAAGTTGAGATAAGATTTAGATGGTTTCCAGGGGTATCGAAGGAATCAATGTGGACAAAGATATGGAGATTCGGTAGTGATACTCTTCAGTTCTGCCTCCTAATTATTTTTAAAAGGGTTCAAAAAGCTATATAACAATATTTCTTTTTAATTTAATAGTGTTCACTTTGGTACCTTGCTTTTAGGACTCTAATTAAGATACTTTAAATTTAAATCGAATTGTAAAAAATAACACCTTAGGCCTGACAGGGTCCCTTGTTATTTTAGTTGATAATCTTAAGAAGTCACGAACATGTGACTCTTTAATGATCGATGGCAGCTATGATACGGTGATCCCACGTTGATAAACAATTTCTGACGTTGGTGAAGTCATTTTACCAAATTTATAACTTTGGGCTAAGAGTAAGGAGTGGTTTCCGAAACCCATTTATGCTTTAAGTTTTTAATTAATTACATAATTATATGTACAAGTGCTTGCTACTTAACCCACACTTTTACACAAATTAATTATTTCAGAGACTTCCCATAAAGATCCCACTTTGTGACAGGTTCTTTTGATTGTCTGCTCTTGTTCACTTTTTTGAAACTTAATCATTGGCTCAACTTTTCAGCTAGGGTATAGCATAGCACATGCTAGTTGAGCTAACAACAATAGCAAATAAGAGGCTAAATCATTATCATGATTAGCTGGCGATGCATCTTTTAGAAAGTTAGCGGCACACGGCTTCGTCTTTGCGGAATTTCCAGTGCATGAAAAAGATACAGATGCGTTTTCAGCTGATATTGCTCCTATTGTTGTTGTTGCACACACTCCCCAAGTACTCGTACAAGACATATTTCTCATTTGAGCTAACGTTGAATTATGTGCAAATGCAATTTGGTGCAGCATTTCTTTCGAGTTGTTATTGTAGCGTAAAATTGAGGCATGGACGGAGAGACAAATGTACATAAATATGTATGTACACCGAAAGAAATCATATCTCGAATGGGTCAACACTTTTGTATGGATCTGGGTATTATAAAGACTTTTTCCTCTGTGCAGGCAAGAGATTCGGTTGACCTGGGTCGTGTACCAATTCCTCGGCTCGCACAAGTCAACTTGTTCAAGCTCCAATTGGCAAATTAATCAAATTTTAATTGCGACCATCACAAAAGAAACAAGAAACGAATAAAAATAAAAAACCAACTTGTAACCGCAATTTGAGTAGCTGCGAAATGCAAATCGATTGTGTAACAACGGAAATGCATCCATCCATCCATTCGAATGGAATGCCGGCTGTCCAACAGTGGTCAATCATTCATCATTGACAGTCATTTGTTGGCCAAGGCCCTAGTAGGGTTTAGATTGTAGGAAATACTCGAATCTCTCTACTTCCTTATCAAAAGTATGATAAAGCAACTCGCTGATTAACTTTTAGTATGACTTTTGCCACTATACATATCTGTCTCTTAGAGTTTCAAGAATTTTGTTGGTGAATCAACGCGAATTAGACAATTCAGCACGCATATAGACTCTATATACATATGTACCGATGTGTGGCTGGCAAGTACCACAAAAGAATGCGGGGATATGCGTCACTTGTCTAGCCAAGAGCCATCAGAGTCGTCCCCCAGAGAGACGACTCCTCGTGTCATTAACCGGCCACCACCAAAAGCCATCACAAAAGGCAGCCGGTGTACAATGGATCCAATTCAAAACTAAGGGCCACAAGTTAATAGTAATTCGAAAATGGATTGAGAAATGTGGATGATAATGTTCAGAAAACAATTTGAAATCAACGGTTAGCAATCACTTTGTAGAAAGTGAATCAGATTATATCAATTATCAATCACTTTCAATATTTAATCGATTGTGTTTAAAGTGTTTATGTGAAACGCCTTTGTGTTTGTTAAAAATAATGTGAATTTTTAATGAAAAGGTTGAATAACTTAACTAAAATATTCAGTTCTATATATGGGCAGTCTTGAATGAATATGATGTTGTCATATTAACCCAAAAAGGAGTTGTTAGATTCGTTGACACTATATATAACTTTAAAAATGAATTTTTTCCTCGTTATATAAGGTATGTTGGTTAATTTAATATATTATATACATTCCTTAGATTGTTGTAAAGTATCGCAACCACTGTGCGCCTTTTGGCACACATTTTGCATACCGAATATCCGAATATCATCCCAGCGGTAGAATTATCAAAGAAAGAAGAATTGGCAATGTCCAGGCGGTGGGGAGGAGGAACGTGGGGCAAGGGCAGGCAATGGATGTGGAACCGAAAGCCATTAAACAGGCGCGCACACACAGATGGGGAAATATGCGAAAAGTATAAATAATAAAAACTACACAACAACAACTGTATGTGCATTTGTGAGTTAGTTTAATGAACGCCACTTCGCGGTATGTTGTTTTGTTGCTTTTATGTCTTTGCCGCCGCGCCGAGATGATGATTATGTAAATTGTAGAAAAGTAAAAGGGAAACTAAATACGGTTCGAAGCTTGTAAAACAATAGAGCGTGCACATATCCACATACATATGTACACACATACACTGGTTTGTATGAATTTTCCTCAATGGTCAAGCAACCGAAATACGCTGTCGGTTCAAGTGATTAATTATTGTGCTGGGGTGAAATGGAAGTGGTTCGAAATTATAGAAATGTTTATCAATTAGGCGTGCCACACACTCACTTGCAACGGTGGTGCAAAACAACAACAACAACAACAGCGATATGCAATGCGTTTTGCTGATAAAGGAGCACTTACATTTACACAAACAAGCACCCACACTGCAGCGCAGTCGCACACACACACACTAGCACAGCTGTGTATTCTGCTTGGACTTTTATTGATTTTTCCTGTAAAAGGAATCTGCAGAAAACAGGAATTCGCCAAGGAACTATAAACATAAAAAGGCCATCAATTATGAATAAACGCACACACACACTGCTTCGTCATAAACGGAAACTGAATTAAGTAAACATTCTACGTTTTTATTGTCACGCCAAAAGAAGACAATTCCAATTTGACGGGGTGGGGGAGCGGCTATGAACTCCCACACAGGCAGATTCTCCGATTCTCGTACCTTAATTAAAACAGTTTTTCAGCAGTTTCTTCGCTCGCCAGCTGACACATTTCCCGCTTTATCACCTTTGTTTACTCAGAGATATTGACTTTAGTAGTATTCTTTGCACATTTCGCGATAAAACAAATATAAAACGCGCTCGAAACTTCGCTTATCAGAAAATCGGTGTTAAAATTGCAAGCAGCCGCGAGTTTGTTGGTGTTTCACTTCAGTGTGACTGTGTTTAACTGAGCTCAAAATACCTGCAATTTATCGATGTATCACTCAAAACTAAAAGTATCGATAGTATCGATTATTCCCAACTTTGAGTAAAACTATTTTTATCAGTTCCCACCATGATATAACTATATATTGATATCATTCCTATAGGAAAAAAGTCAAATTTTAAAAAGCTTCTTTAAATAGCTAAAAAGATAAAATCCCCGCTTCCCGCTGTTTGCGCCATAACACACCGGAAAAAAGCCAAATCTGGCGGTAAAAAGGCGTAAATAACATCACCTCCTCATGCAGCTGTTTACGTTTCGTTTTCGTTGCTTGCCAGTGATGATCTCAAATAGCTTCTTAAAAACAAAACAAAACAAAAGTGAAAAACAATGGCTAACAACAAAGATCGGGAATTGATTCGATGACTTAAATCATTGATGTCACGAAATCATATATTGCCATAATATGTTAGATGCATATTAATAAAAAGATATTTTCTCAGCTATAAGCTTGCAAATTTCATAAGCTAGGTCTTGCCTGAATAAAGTTAAACTATCAACACTGCTGCAGAGGTTGTCTGATCTGGTGAAACTAGCCGATTGTTCAGATGCAAATACAACTCGTACGGTTCGTATCCGACGGTTGCTCTTCGCTAAAACTCAAGTTTGCGAAAAAGTGCGCGTTAACTATCCGAAACCTACAATAAACCAACAAATTAAAAATAAACAATAAATATACTACTCCCAGCCTTTGAGCTATAACCGTTGGCTATTAGCTAATTGCAAATTTCAAAAGCTTTTCCAAAAAATGCCAGATCTGGCCCAAAATAGGCCAAACTGGAAACACTGAAACCAGCTGAGCAGTTGTTGTTGGTGCGCCCGGGAAAATAATACAACGCAAAAAATACACAAAAAAGCCGACGCATTTGTGCTTCCACCAACAATCAAATCGAACAACAATAACGATTAGCGTGCCAAAAGTCAACACAGCAATTAGTTTGAGAGTGAAAAACCGAAACGCTTGCAATTTGGCAGTCCGAAAATCGTATTGATTTTCTTGTTTGTGTGTGTGTGCGCGCGGGTTCGTGAAAAACGCAACAAAAGGAAAAGCGAAAAGCAACCACTTCGAGACACATCCCCAAACCACTTCCACTCCCTTCCACCTTGCGATAATCGCCACCAATTGGAGACCCAATCGCTTAGTTTTTCCAATCAGCAATGTAGACAAGTGCCATATTTGTTGTTGTGCGTAGTTGTAGTTATTTATCAAGCAGCAAGTGCGAGCAAGAGGGCAATAGAAAGGCGTCGCAGCAGCCCCCCAAACAACAACAAAAGCGAAAGTTTCCCTGCGTGTGCGTGTGTGTATGTGTGTTTTTGTGTTTGCAAAAAATATGGTGGATAAAATAAAAGCAATAATAAATGCAAATGCAAATGCAAATTGAAATCTCTTCCTAAAAATGTTTCATCAATAAGCGAGGAGCTGAGTTCCGCCCGACATCGGTCTTATATATATACGCATATATACGAATGCAGGGAGTGGCCGGCTAAGGTGAATATTTGGGAGGATTTGAGACAAAAGCAGCGACAAAATGTGGATACCTTCGAATAATAAATACGGAGTTGGTGAGTATAAAACGAAAAACATACAGTAAACACTCGTTTTAGGAGCAAAAAATAAATTAGTTTTCTTATGTGAAAATAACATAATTCTTTATTATACCGTAAACTTTATTAAAACAAAAGTTCTTATGAAAGTGGGGGTACACTGTACCACCTAGTGGCCACCCAATCCCCACCCACCTCTGCCCCCGCTGTGCGCATCACGTGCTTTGTCTTTGTTTTTATTGTTGCCTTTTGAGGCGATTCACGGTTTTTTCCGCGAAAACGCCGGATACCAACCACCTCCGCACTGTCAAGGGGAGGAAAAGCGATTTTTCTACTTATTTTTATACACAATCTGCTTGTAGCATCATCGTCAGCATCATCATCATCCCTCCCCCTGTCACCACAGACTTTTTCTCAAAGAGATTTTCCTGTTTGTTGTTGTTGTTGCTGCTGCCGTGCTGCGATTTGATGTGTTTATATACAAAGCTTCTTCTCTCCCCTGTATGCTGTTCCGCTCTTCAGTCGCGTTGCCAATTTCCCACCCAGGTGTTGCCAATTTAAATGCTTTCGTAATTACAGCAGCCGCGACATCTAGTGGACTTATATTCTTGACTGACAGCGTAGCCGTAGCAAAGGCAAAATAAGAATAATAATAATCTTGCGTGTTGTTGTGATAACACACATACGAACAAAACAAGTAGATCTTGGATATATTCTTTATGTTCACTTATTGCACTTCATTGTGCACATTCGTACTCTTCAGATTTTCACATTATCTTCGTGTTCGTCACACTTTTCGCTTCAATGGCAACGCTTAACAAATTACTGAGCGGGCAGGGCAGGGCGGTGGAAAAAATAAAATAAAAGATCGCAAAACCGGAGACTGAGACTGCAAAGACTGTCTTCTGTGAGCATCTTCAGTGGCAGAGAGTCTGTGCCAAGTTTTATTCATTGTGCCGCTTCACTGTTTCTCCGCTCAGATAAGCGCCAATTTCCATTGTCGTTGGGATGCTCTTCATGCCCAAAAGGGGTTTATTGACTATTACATGCAATTCTTTACCAAGATCTAAAATAAGTAAGAGCATAGTTTAACATAAATATGACTAAAAGCATTGCCAATTGTAGGCGACATCATTTGAACTTTCGTTACACTTAGCAAAAGCGTTCTGAAGATGCATATCGAAGTCATAAAGTAACTTTTTACTTTATAAATATTTTTATATTAACTTTATAAACTTGAAATACATTATAATATAGTGTCAGAATGTCGTACGATAAAAGATAATATTTAATTAGTAAATTTAGTCATCTATTTCTTTCTCATATAGTATCATTTTCAAGAGTATATCTTATTCGCTGATACTTAATATTCTTCATTATTGCTTATTATTTTTGCTTCTTTTTCTTCCCTACTCAACTGCTCCAAATCCCCCGTCAGCATCCGCGGAGACATCATTTTATTTAGTGCCTGCTCGCTGATGCTTGCTCCACATTTAACCCGGGCAAAGATTGACATGGGAGAGCGGTCAAAGTTTACACAAATCAATCAGTCAGTCACTCGTCACCGATCAGGGTTTCAGGCTAGGCTGTCTCTCTGTGTGTTTGTGTGTGTGTTAACATCATTAGCGATTCGAGGCGCTGTCAAGCCAACGCCCTAACCTTGCACAATGCCCAGCACCATGCTCCTCCTCCTTCACCTCTACCTCTGCAGCACCACCAATTCAGTCCCAGTTCCGTTCCAGTCTCCATGGCTTTTCATCCAGCCAGTGCCACGTGCTGGGCAACTGTCCGGGCAATGACTTCATTACCACCACTCTGCACTCTTTGTCTCCGCCCGTCGTATATTTTACGTTGCAAGTAATTGTTGTACAGCCGGGCATCTATAATTTAAAGCCACAGGACATGCTATGAAAAGAAAAATAATTATATGGAAATGTATGGAACTAGTAGAAATCAATTTAATTTTAGTTAACAACTTGATTTGACAACTTGATTGAGGAGTTTTTATTGCTTCCTTTGTAGAATCTAACTCGTTAAGCCTTATAACTTGCATAAAACTTATATTTCTTTGATATCTAATTCAAGTTATTGAAAAACTTAAACAAACAAGTCCGTCTTGTGGGAAGTTGGACGTAGCTATTGCCCTCAATTGCGCAGTGAGTCGAATGCACAATGGTGACAATTTTGCGGAGCAACCCTCGGGCTCGGGCCTGGCCATGCGGGTCAGTTCCTTTTCAGAGAGGCAGTTGTAAACTTGGATTTGAAGCTAAAAGTTTATGCAACTTTTTGGCAACAAAAAAATTGTGTGTTTTGGATAGGGAAGTTGGACAGAACCGGCACCCTGTGTAGGCTGCTCTGCCTGCCTGCCTGCCTTCCAGCACCGGATGTTGCCGCTCCGACTCTCTGCCGGGCTGTCTGCCTTTTCCAGAGAATTCCGCTGTCGCTGCGGCAATTTCAGTTTCAACTTTAATTTAATATTCATTTTATGCATTTGGTGGCCAGTGGAGTCGCCGCGCACAAATTTGTGCATCGCTTCCTTCCTTCAGAACGCACACACACACACATGAGTGCGCATAAAATTGATTCATTTCCATTGTTTAATATGCTCGGCGGCAGCGTTTTTGTGTATTTCCAAAGAGCATTTGAAAACGAACTCGTCGTTGTACATACATACTTCCATAATTCGTCTTTAACGATTTATTTATGAATTGCCATTTGTGGGACACGCGGCGTATGATTAACAATCCGAACGCACGCACACTCGAAATTTATCAGTGAATGTCGCATTTGGTGGCCCATTATCGGTCACATTCGTTGCCGGATGAATGAGTGGTTCCCCTTCCGTTTGGCCAATGTATGTTAATGCGGGGGGTAAATTGTGGGATTGTCTAGGAATAGGTAAATACATACATCAACGAGGGGTCTGTCCGTCAGCCGATAAGCCAGGAATGATAAGGAAATACATACACACAACTCAACAAGCTCATAAATTGTTTAAAAACCTCTAAATGTAATACAAATAATTACCAAGTGCTTCTGGCGGAAAGGGTATTTGATTTAAAATTGGCATAAACAGTTGCATTTCATTAATTGGTAAATATGTGACTGGCTTTTCGTTGGGTAAACTCGAAAATTTCAGAAGTTAAGCAAACAAATGTACGCCATGTGGATATTAAAAGCTCATTTATACAATAAAAAAAAAAACAGAATGCAAACAGTAACAAAAAATAAATAAATGTGCAAGCACTCAATTGAGTCGCTTATATGTAAATATGTGTAAAATGCATTTAATTACTGTAATGCCACAGCAATACAAAATGCATATAATAAGCAAATATTTCAGCATGCATACATATGTACACATCCATAACATTTTATTCTCCAAACAAATGGCACTGGCACTAACTCACAATTATAATAAAATCCACTTGACAATGGCAGGGACCAAGAGTAGAGCTTTGCTTTGTGTTGTTTGAAATACTCCATTCGGATGTGGAGCGTATGTGTTGGCATCCATTCAGTAAAAACTCTACCATCCAGACACAATGACAGTGATAATGACATCTGATTGACATTTGGGTCAGGCTTCCTGGTATGAACAGGTTCCGAGGGATCCAGGTTTCAACAAAGTAGAGCCTTTCAAATGGTTTCATGTTCTCTCCAGCTAAATTACTCACTTAGATATCGAAAGAAGTATTGCTTTTAAAAGTGTTAGTCATCAAGCCTTAATAGCCTTATTAAACCACATTAATATTTATTTTTATAAAGCTGATAAATCGGTTAAATCATTTTAAGAGCTTGATTTGCAATGTGTAATTTGTGTTCCGTGGTGACTTAAGCTTGAGCTGTGATAATTCGTAACTGGTATTATATTTAAATAAGAAAGAAAGCTAAATGGTTTATTTTAGATTGATTAAAATTTAGATTGCAAATAGAAATTGATATTATTTGTGGAAATCATTGGCTTTTTGGCCTTTGTATATCTTAAAAATAAACAACAAATTAGTTTATTTTAGGTATATTAATTTTTTATTTTTTTGGTCAACCAAAGTATTTCAAATCTGAAAACAAAGCCAAAATGCCTTTATTTTAATTCGGACAGCTGTTCTGTACTAGTTTTTATAATGTTAACAAATCTGCATTCTGAATTTTAAAATTAAATCAAATCTAAATTTTTTTAAATTTCCACATTTTGGCAATGCAAATATTTAACGAAGAAATATTGAAAAAACTTGTCGAAAATTTTTTTCCTCGGACATGGCTAGATGAATCGGCTTTTCATGCTGATCAAGAATATATATGATTTATAGGGTCGGAAATGACTCCTTCATTGCCTTTCAAGCTTCCGACTGAAATTATAATACCACTTTTTGAGTTGATATTATTGATATATTTATATGACAATTTTTCCGACAAATTGAAATTTAAAAACCTCATTACGAAGCCAAAAATGCATTAATTTCAATTCGGATAGCTATTCTGTACTACTTTTTATAATGTTAATAAACCTGCATACTGAATTTTAAAATTAAATTAAATCTAAATTTTTTCAAATTTCAACATTTTGACAATGCAAGTTTTTAACGAAAAAATTTGAAAAAAAATTGTCAAAATTTTTTTTCCTTTGGACATGGCTAGATCGACTCGGTTTTTCATGCTGATCCAGAATATATATGATTTATAGGGTCGGAAATGACTCCTTCATTGCCTTTCAAGCTACTGACTGAAATTATATCCTGCAAGGGTATAAAAACATTTAAATGTTTGTATAATCGTTAAGAATTTTGTTTGTACAATTAGTCACCGTAGCTAAGATAAATATTTATCATAACATATAGTAACATATAGTACGTATAGGTAATCGTTTCCCAGCAAGCAGAGTGGCGCAGTGGAAGCGTGCTGGGCCCATAACCCAGAGGTCCGAGGATCGAAACCTTGCTCTGCTAATGCAGTAAAAGTGTGCATATTCTTTTTTTTTTCTATTTGCTACTATTTTCCATGGCTAATCACATTAGAAACATTATCCCGAAACCCATTCATGTTAATTTTTGTGGTTTTGGGCCAACCACTTGACCCACATTCAGTGGGTTTCCCTTTCCGCCGCTGCCAGCGAGTTCCACTTTGTTGTCGACCCCACATTGTTGGCTATAACACAATTAATTAATTAAATTCTTAAGCCTCTCCAGAGGCACTTGAGTGCCGTGGCAGCGGATGCGGATGCGGATGCGCCGGGGGGAGGTCAAGTGTGAAGATGGGTCCCCCTTGTGGGGAAGCCGTCGCTCATTTAATCCATTTGCAGTCGAGCTTCTGCAGTGGCTGTGGCAAATAGTGCAGCGCCAAGCAACGGCTTTCACATTTAATTTAAAATTATTTTCCGCCTAGCTTTCCGCCCTTCCGCCCTCCTCCTTCCAACCCTCTTCCAGTTGGCGTGCACTTGCCTTAACGACTTTTTTATTTAAATACGTTTGTTGACATTGCGGACTTGTTGGAGTGAGCATTGTGTTCTCTGTTCGGCTCCCCCATTGGTATCCAGCTCCTATGGGTCCTGTCCTTTGTGCGCTGGCAAACAAACCGGGTGATGTAAGCCAAGCCTTTTGGGATATTGCATTCATCGTAAAAGTAATTAAAGGGCTCAACCCTATGCCATGATGATCCTGCCAATTTCCAGGGGCACTTCAAGTCAACTTTATGAAATTTAATATTAAATTCCCCTAAGCCGTTGCTAAATGCTCATTAAAATAATTCATATACAGGCGGAGAAAGAAATGTGTGACAATATATTTAGGGAAAATTGTTTAACTTATTCTGAAGATGATAATAGAACTTTGATTTTATACTTGTTTGAAGAAAATATTGAGTAAATTGGTTATATTTTTATTGATTTTAAAGTAAATATCTATAGAAAGGTATTTAATTATTGAGTTTTCTAAAATATATCTACTTCGAATTTTTGCTTCACCTTTACTTATAGAATCCTATATTAGAAGTTCGAGTTAACTATTCTTGTTCTTATAAAGATCCCTAAATGCCTTGTGTTTTCAATTGTCTTTGCTTTGAAGTCCACTTTTTTGCTCGGTGTAATTGAGAGAGAGGTTCTCCAGTTGCCTTTGAGTTAGGTTCTTGCCAGACCGACGCCTGCCTAATGTGACTGACCTAAATAGTGCAAACGCTTGGTTGGCATTTTGCCTACAACGCTATGGATTCCGGGATGTGTGTGTACATACACCCAGGGAAATACCTAAAGTTACTGGTTTTGAACAGGATTCAAACAATATTTTACTACTACTAGTTTTAAATAAATTCCTTTAATCATAAATCATAAAGAAACTCATCAATTTCTGGAAAGGGAAGTCCCTGAATTAGTTTCAACCACTCACTTTAAAAGACTGATTAATATCTCTCGTTGACAGATGAATCATTACTTCTAGTTATCTCATTGAATATAATAATTCATCTTGTAATCTACGTTTCAAATTGATTTAATGCACTTTATTAATTATAATTGTACATAAATATGCTGAGCTGACTATTTTCCGAGTGTTGAAGTATGGGGTATGTGTGCTCATTTTCTGGAGTGTTTGCTTGCGCGCCGCCAGTTGAAGTGCCAAAAACTGGAAGAGTGCGGCGTTAGCTGTGTGGGGATCTTCAACTGGCATTTTAAATTATGAAATTCTTGCTATTTAGCATCTCCAGAATTCATTTAAATCAGGCTGCCGCATTCGCGACGAGCATCGCAAATTGAGAAAGAGAGAGAAAGGCAATGGCAGCCATAAAGAACTCACAGAGCAGCAGCAGCAGCAGCAACAGTAGCAGCAACAACAGGAAGCAGTTTGCCCATTTTCATGGCATTTCATTTTACATCAGCCCCTCCATTCCGGCTTCCCTTGTCCCTTGTCCCATTCCCATTGCTGGTCCCACCTCTGCCTCCGCCTCCAAACGAATCTTCTCTCTGTGTCTGTCTGGGCGTGCGTTTTATTAGCTCCTTTCGTTGATATGCTCATGCCGTGCTCGCTCGTTTGTCTTTCAACAAGGGAACACACAGCCACATTCGCATCCCATATCCACACAGACACCGCACAACACCCAGCACCACCTCCAGCACCATCACCATCCACCAGAAGCACCACCATCCACATCAGCACCACCCCAACAGGGACCAACGGCTTCCTCAACTCGCGGCGCCTCCCAGACTAAAGTGTGTGCCTTGCATTTATAATGGATACACGGTGAAAAATCGTATAGTGCCTGTTTGGAATTTCAATTAGTTTCGATTCTGTGATCACTGATAGTAAGGGAAAATCCAGGCAGACATATAAGGTATCATGTTGTTTTAAATGTCAACTATTCAGGTTTAAAGGTTTTTATTAAAAGAAATTATGTACTATAAGATTAGTGGTTAAAAATTAATTAGAGAACCTTGAATTTATAAATTCATTTATCTCTTAACATCATCTTATGAATGATACCTGCCTGGAGTTCAGTGTTGTCTCTTAAAAAGTAGAAAAGAATTTTAGGCTTGATTCCAGATGGCTTCATTCTCATTAGAAATCTGGATAAAAGACGCAAACATGGTCTGTCTGTCAGTGCTATCAGTGTACTCGTTACCATGGCCACCACATACAGTATTTGCGGATGTATCCAGCAGCTTGAGCTCCAACTCCGACTCCAGCTCCGGCTTCCAATGACAGCTCCCGTTTTGGGTGGCTGGAGCCAGGAGCCAAAGTGTTCGATGGCCAAACTCATTGTTCACCCCCGTATACACACACACACACACACACGCTTTGGATGTCCATAAAAACACGAATAGATGCATATATATTTTCTTTTCATAGCCATTTGCCTATTTATAGTTGAAGTATTTATTGTTGCCGGGCCACTCGTGGCATGTTCAAGTGGCCACTCGTGGGGGCACTTTAATTGCCACGCCGCCAGGCCGGCATCAAAACATAGTCCATCCTGGCACTGGGACTCCAATGTCATGGCCAAGGAAGGAGTGGTGGCAACGCAACTGGTTGTAATCTAACCGCAACTAAGATCAACTTTTCACGCTTTCCCATTGCCTTCTTTTGCAGCCATCCACAATTGGCATGGCGATGTCCGCTTTGGCCTGGCCTTGGACGTCGGTGATTCCGTGGACATTGTGGAGGAGTGCACATATTGGTATCGAGGTTCCTGTCCCCGAAAATCCCGGGCAGTGGGTATCTTTCCAAAGACTTATGTGCACATCAAGGATTTGTCGAAAATTGATCCCGTGGTGGCCGAGTGCACGCAGGTCCTGAGGGAGTGGTCCGAGATATGGAAGCGTCTCTATGTGGTAAGTGATTCAATATAAACTGGTTTTGCTTAAAAATTAAAATCATTTAAAATTATTTACAGGATCGGGAAGCCTACAAGTTCCAAACACTGCGCAAAGTTATGTTTTCCATATTGGAAAGTCGAAGGGAACTTTTAAGCGCCACAATGACTCAGGATCAAACACTGGAGCTTCAAATGGTTGTGGTTTCGAAAATTGACTGGGGAAATCGGTAAGTTAGCGGTTTAAATACTGCAAACATATGCCAAATGATTTCATTTATAAGCAAATCCCTTGTCTGTAAATGATTCTGGATGCTTATATCAAAATTATATTTATGAAAAGAAGGAGTCTTTGTAACTTGTAAAAGTTTAACAAAGCATATAGTACTGTAACCTCTGATTATTGCTTTTGAAGGTTTTCCTTTGTTTATTAAATAACACATACATATGTATTTAGATAGCATAAACTTTATGCTTCCGCCCACTGATAAAACCATAGTTCAGCTGAAATTGTATATAGAATATTTATTACAACTTTGAACTTAGATAGCTTGGGTTCTCTTTTGCTTTTTATGTAAAATGTGTTCTTTTCTAGCAATAATCACAATAATTTTGTTATAAACAAAATTCCTTAAAATTACGATATATCTGTAGACTAAATGTTAGGACAAAAATAGCGAGAGCATTGTGTATACTCGATTTAAATATGCATAATCATAATCATAATCATATTCCTCATTCGATTACTACCAATTTCTTTTATATAGATCAACGTTTCGTGAGCGTGCGTGAGCGATAAGCAGATATATGTATATAGCTGCATAGGTATTTTAGTATGGGGATCGATCGATCCGAACCCACTATCGAGCTAACTTTAAAACTTAATTGTATATTTAAAATGGCGCATCATTGGCAACGACCTAACTACGAATACCAAGTAGCAAAATCGCTTGCTGGAGAGACTCCCATCTCCACCTCGTCGTCGTTCAATCTTCAACCTACAAATTGCACGGTCTGCATGTGTCCGTCTCTCAACTCATTTCATTACATATCATATCATATTATATTCTTCCTTGTGGTCTCACTCTTAAGCTCATCCCGTGTCAATGACGCACTGCACCTGTCTCTCTTTTGGCTAGGACCGAATTCAAAGATTATTTCCTTATAATTTCGCTAGATATATTTCGCATAGTTATGTTTTGTTACTGAGTTTCTGAATCATCTTCGAAAAATGTAATGTAGTTCGTTTGCTTCCTTGCCGGTATACAACAGTCTTTAGTGGTAGAAATGGAAAAGACCTAACCTTTTGACACACAACTCTCGCTGTCCCCCCTACAAATATTATTGAGAAATCATTGAAATCATTGTTTAGAAGCCACCCCAAATGGAGTCGGTTCATGTCTCCGTCTCCTTGCCACCGCCAAAGCTCTCCACGGGCGGGTATATCGGATGGCTGATGGGATTCATTTCGAGGGTCGATGGTGCCGATGGGGTTCGGGATGCGCCGAGCAGGCTGCATAGCTGCTGCAGCATGTCGCTGTAGGATCTTGTGCTGAGATTCTGGCTAAGGAAGTGCAGGATCAGGAAGTCGCCAATCTGTTTCAAGAAAAATGTAACAATTAGTAAAGGTTCTTGAAAACATTCCGTAAGAAACTCACCTCCAAGCGTCTGACCAGTCCAGCGATTTCCTTGCGCTGTCCAGAGCGGTACGAACGCTTGATGATCGTCTCCCGGGTGGTGGGCATCATGATCACCACCAGGGAGTAGAGCACTGCCACGCCTGAGATGGTGGCCAAGATGATGAACCAGAACCTATGGAAATAATACAATTATTAAAGATCCTTCGGCATAAAAGAAAGGGAAATCAATCACTTACCATAAAAAGATGTAGATCTTCTCGTTCAGGATATTCAGTGCCAGCACACAGAGTGTGTCATGCTTCTGAACCGATCCGCTGGGACCGAACTTGTGGAACGTGCACTTGGTTAGCCTTGGAAAGATCTCAATCATGGGATCAAAGCGCTTGTCCTGATCCATATTAGAGAACTTGACCACATCCGTTCCATAGGACATGAAAGCACCGCCCAGAAACTTATCCACCATAAAGATATTTACAATCACATTCACGAAATTCAGTAGCTCGCAGAAGAAGTAGGCAAAGGAGTAGCCATTGTGGGTATTCAGACTGTTCACAAAATACTTGAGGATGCGATCCTGACGATCCCGACGATAGTCATCCGGGACACTGACCATGCCACGCAAACCATCGGTGATCATGCGAATCTTGCCGTCCTCCATGTTCTTCCAGACCCAGTGGGGAACATAGAACATGAGTCCCTAAAAAGGAAGATATTTCGGTTAGTTACATAAAGAAAATTTTTATATTTATAAGCCTGATTTTCTCATCACACTCACCTGAAAGAATAGCACAAATGGCACCCACTGATAGTAGCTATGATAGCGCTTCTCCTGACCATAATCATTGCCCAATCCCGGGGCTGCCACATCCGTTCCAATCTGCCGGTGCTGCTGGCCAGGTATCGTAAACGTATAGGTGATCCAGCAGAACGTGTTGATCACATGCATGGGTATGGAGCCATCGTTGATGCAACTTATGGGATCGCCTGCAAGCAAAGAGATACAGATACAGATACAGATACAAATAATTTGTAGATATGCATTTGACCTCGGTGCAATTCAAATCTAGAGAAATCCACGCGCATTTCTAGCCACGAGCAACCTCGCATGTCGTCCGTCAACGTCAAGTGCCATTAGGGCAATCTCTTGCCCCGATGGCTCCACACACACCGGGCAGGCAGGCACAAATTTGTCGGCACTGTGGGTGCGGTTACGGTTACATCTACGGTTACGTTGACTAATACGGTTGCAGTATGTATGTAAGTGCTTACAGCAGTTGCTACGTGCTTAGGTAAGCCTGCAACATTCAGGCGGACAGCATTTTTTGGGTGTGCCCCAACTTCGACATGAACTCCAACTCCTCCTCCAACTCCTCCTCTGTTTGGGCAAACAAAGTGGATACAAATAGAGCTGCAGACGTTGGTGGTGAGGGACTAGAAGGTTGGGGCTAGAATTCCCAGAACTAACCGTCAATATTTGACTGTGGTTTTGTACGTTGTTCACTTTTAGAGCACTTCTTTTAATGCACAAATATTTGGCTATTGAAGCTGACTGGGAAGGCGATGTCCCAGATCAAGTTAAAGGTTCAGAAAAGGTGATTCAAGCTCTTAAAGTTACCAAGTTTGAAAAAGTAAAGCATAAATAAGCGCTGTTTAAGATTGAAACTGCTGCAAGTTCCAAACTTTTGTTTACCATAAGAATAATTATAAACATTTCTCAATGTTATTGCTTCGATTCAGTTAACAAAACACAAGAATCTCCTATTACAGAGTTCTCAATTTTCAATGCGTGGGAATAAATAAGCAAATGAATTCCTGGCATCATTATGTAAGGCACTTCACTGAGCCCAGCTTGAACCAGATACATTGATTTTCACGCCAGTTACAGAGGAGGCATGGAAGGCATAAGGCCCAGGGCACCACCATCACCACCCGTGGCGAGTGAATCATATGGAGTGGCTTAAGTTGAAATCCGATGAACGTGCTGCGGTCAATTTGTGAAAGCTCTGCGAAGTTTTTATTCTTCTTTTCGTTTCGAACGAGTTCGATTTCAAATGGGTTGCTGCATTAGCAGTAATGTTGCAATTGCAAGTGTAAATATCATAAGTAGGCTAACTCTGGTGCTAAACACTATGCACTTTGGTGTGCACTAGTTTCACAAAAGAAGAAGGTGCTAACTTACCGATCAGATTGTTTGCGGTGACGATGATGCAACAGGTGAAGAGAATGGCAGTCGTGATCCTATAGTGGCAGCGGAAAACCATGTTGTCGATAACCGCCTTGTCCAGCAGATAGCGAATCTTGATGAAGCCGGACACGGCCGAAACCATGCCAAAGACCGCCATGTTGATGGTTGGTGTGCTGCTGCAACGAAGCTAACTGGAAGGGAGAGAAGAAACCATGATGAAATGTTTACTATAAGGAACTACATAGTTGGAGCAGTGGAAACCCCCCAAAATCTTTCAATTAACCCATGGAATAATCTTTTTAACATTTCATAATTTCAAATTAGTATGAATCCCAGCTTTTTCCAAGTGCTCAGACCCTCCTCTCGTTCCTAATGTTCCATACCTAATTGTGTGCCCTGTGTTGTTTGCCTTGTGCGTTATCTAAGACAGTCATGTCATGACATATACGAAATTATTTCACCACCACCACATATTTCCTCTACACTACCCGAAACCAAGTACCCCGCAGTTGTCTCTGCCTTGGAGTTCTCCTCCTCCAGTTTGGTGGTCCGTTTTGGAATTCTCGGTGTCTTATCGTCAACAAGCCGCACTTACAATTAAGTAAGTGCTGGAGGCAGTGCCGGAACTGTTTGTTAGAGAACGGAGAGCATTGGGATGGTTCTGTCGTTGTGCAATCTAATCTAATCTTCGCTAAGCTCGACTAGGTTGAATGCCCTGCCCTCCGTCTCCGCCACCGCTTCGTAGCAAGTAACAAGTTCATCTCGAGAGAAGCTCTCGGAGGAGAAACCGGTATGGGGACGGTGGTACAGCTCTTTTTTTTGTCAACCCACGCATAAATTTCACTTTGTCCACCGAAAAGCCGAATTTCAAGCCGAATCGAAATCCAAAACCCAAAGATACCTCGAATCTTTGGGGTTTTTGTTTTCTTTTCGGCATTGCTTCGGCTTTGGAACCATGGATCATGGGATCAGGTTCTGGTTCGGTTTGCTTTCTTCTCGGCTCTTTTGTTTATATGCAAATTTTTTTCTGTTGTGTGTGTGTATGTTTTTTTTTTACCGTCTTTTGGGCCATTGTGTGTGTGTTTTGGCTGTATTTCATTTCGGCACGACAACAATATCAAGAACAACAACAAAAACAACAGATTGTTGTATAAACTGCGAGAGGAACGCGCACACACAAGCACATATTGTGGCACGCATGCGCGGCTTATAGAGTCATCTCTGTCGCACGCATGCGAGCAGCAATTAAAGTCGCAAAGTATCTGTATCTGCGCAACGGCAGCTACTCCTTTTAAATGCATCCAGCTTCTGCACTGAACATTCAATCTTACCACCAACACACAGTCACACTCGAACACACACACAGATACCCGGAGAGCACTTCATTTTCAACTCAACTTCAATTCTTGCCTTCTTTTCTTTCAATAATTCAAAAAAGACACAAAAAAAGAAACTGGTTTTAAGGTATTTTCTTTTTTTTAAGAGTGCGCGAGAGCACTCTCACAAACTGCTCTCCCATTTTGTTTCGTTTCGGTTTTGGTTTAGGTTTTTTTTTCGTCTCGAAAGTGTTTGCTACCAATATTGGCAGCAACCTGCAAAAGAACCGAACCGAACTGAGGCGACCCCTTCGCACACACTTAAGTGATTCTTTTGCTCCTGCTGCCGCCGTCGTCGCATTGAAATTTATTGCTGCCACTTTGACACTTTGGAAACCCGTTTTTTTCGAACGGCCCATTAATTTCCAGCTCAGCTCTCTCAGTTGCCGGAGCTAGTATATATTATGTTTGTATTGTTTAAGTTGCTTTTGTTTAGACGTTTTTAGTTACTCGTTTTTTTTTGTGCACTTTGTTGCAGATTCAAGATTTTTCTATTATACACAAGTACAAACACACACACACAGGCACACAGAAAGTCTCTTGTCTCAGCTGGCAGTGCATTCGAAACTGCACCCAGTGCAGTGGTGTGCGTGCGCTGCTGAGCTGTGATTTTGATCAGTATCAGTGGTTCGGAGTCGGAGCTAGTGGCCATACCCGTATCCGTATCTCGAAAGTGTGCAGCTGCTCTCAGCGGCGTTCGGAAACCTACTGACTATCGCTCGCTAGCACCGACGCCGAGCCAGTGGCTCAGATACAAGCTCAGCCCGCTCACTCTCTCTATAGTTCTCTCCCTCTCTCTTGGGTTTGAATGGAACCAGCGATCCCAACTGGTTCGTATCTGAAAGTACGCTCAAGCTGCATTTGCATTTGCCCTACCTGAGCGAAAGGGAGAGAGGGAGCAAGAGAGAGAGCGAGAGGAGAGGAAGAGCCAGGTAAAAACCATACAGCCGCTTAGGTAGTAGTTCACTCCGAATTTCCCTTTATCTCGAGTTTAAAACATCTGGATTGGAAATCTGTAAATCCATTGATTAGTTGAGCTCTGCTCGCTTTTATGGCCCTCTGTCTACAACTCTATCATCCAGATTGGGGGATTACAGATTAAGGTAGAAGTGGAAGTCGGAGTCAGAGTATTTAGAAGACTTTTGTATTAAAGAAGTGGAACAAAACCCTATAAAGTATCAGAGAAGGGAGTGAAATGTTTAAATAAAGAATAATATGTAGAGAAACAAAGTAATCTCTAGAGAAAAGATTGAGTTAACGGTAGTATATGATCTCTAAATATGAGATACAATGTTCTTTAGACTATTTATGAGGCTGCAGATTCTGAAAACAGTCTAAAAGATAGAAATTTTGGAACAATTTTAATTAGGAATCTTTTTTTTATGTCTTATTATTTAATAAACGGTTAAACAATAATTTAATATCCAAAATTTATATAAAAAGTTAAAGCCAGAAAGTACTTTTATTGCTTGTATACAAAGTAAGATCCTCTACCTTAAATATCAACCGCAATTAATTAATATAGTAAAAGAACCATATGTTCTTTTGTTTTTTAAATTTTCTGCTATTCTCACTTTAATAAATACAAAATTAATGAGATACATCTGAAGTGCTAAAATACAGCCCCTTTTGAGACTCATTATAAAAACAGCTTCCAATTAATTCCGCAGAACCTAAGCTGCCTGTCCATTTAGTTTATCGTTACTCCCAAGTCCAAAGGAATCCTGTGCTCTGCCTCCAGACGGCGCTCTGAAGAGTTGGCCAAGTGGGCCCAAGGAACTATTTCGTATTCCAGGGTTAAATGTGTCGCTCAACACACACTCACATAGCGATCGCATTGGGTCCAAAATGAAGATCCATTTGCATGCTGAGAGCTAGACAAGCAACGCCAAACTAGTTGCCAGGCATTCCTCCTTTAGGTCCCCAGGTCGAGACCAAGTCTGCATCTCCTCCTGCTCTTCCACCATGGCTGGTGGAGTGACTCAGCCCCGGTGACTGCTGCTGACTTGTTCTTCGCCGCCGCCGCCGTCTTGGCCATAATGAAATGGCATTTCGAAATGGCTGCTGCTGCCGTTTGGTTGGTGGTGCGACTGCTGCTGCCGGTGGTTTAGATGCTGCTGCTCCTGCTGCTGCTGTTTCCATGTCCTGAACCGCTCCGCTCCACCTTGTGCCTCCCCGCGATGCAGTGTTTGTTTATTGTCGGGTACCGATGCCCGATGCCGGTTGCCTGATGCTTGTGGCCTGTTGCCTGTGGCCTGTTGCCTGTGGCCTCTCGCCAGAAATGTATCTGCGAGCTACACCTTTTATAAAGACATTAAATACGAAATATATGGCATGTGTGATTGTGATACGCGTTGTATCTGGGCCTCAGTCGAGGCGAGACCCCATAGATACAATGCCATCGAACGTGTTGCTGTTATTGCTTTTGTTTGTGGTTGACAGCTCTGCTTATCGAAGTGTAAATAATTAAATTTTTTCTGTATCGTCTGGGTCTCCATCTTGTTGCCTCTTCGAGCCTTTTTCAGCCGAAGTTCTTCAGGTTCGTTCTGTTTGGTTCAGTTTGGTGTCATATCTTTGGTAGATGCCCAACACTTTGGGACCTGGGCTTAATTAAAAAGGAATTGGTTTTGGAAACCCCTTTTATTCCAGATTTTTATTTTGGGTATACAGAGATTCTCCTGTTGAGGTTTTTGGGAACCGGCACTTAATTAAAAGCGACTTAAAGTGTTCATTACCAGCATGGCTACCGTTTCGCGCACGCGCGCTCCTCTCATATTCGTATCCACAAAATTCATTTTCGAGTCGCCGTGCTTCATTTGGTCACGTCAACTAAGAGCCAGGTCCAAGAGCCAGAACTCCAGGCGTAATAGAGGTGGCTCAAACCCAAGACACACACTCAAACACACCTAGTACACACACAAACACATACACCAATCGATGGCAGAGAGCTGAAATTCCCCAGAGATCGTAAGACGTTGCTCTCCCAACTGGTTCCGGTTCCAGTCTTTAGAGCGGGAGAGATCTCTTGAGGTCTCTCTCAGCATTTCACCTGAGATAGAGGCAAGTCGTTTAGGCCTCGTTAACAGCCAAACGGCTTCTTCGGCTCGTTCTGGAGGCTTGTAAAAGATGCTCTCTCGCTCGCTCGATCGCTCTTTCTCTCTTTTCCTCTCTGCGTAAGCCAGGTAGAAGCACCCAGCGTAGCCGAGGTAGCAGCATCGTCAACGACGTTCCGACGTCGCCGCCGCTGTGAACCTGGCCTCAACTCTGGTCAGCTCTGTATCCCCCTTGCCCCGGTCCCCATCGGCCCCTTCTCGCATGCGCCACCGGAATGCCGTGAACCCATTAGCCATGTTCGGATCTCTGTGTACCACACTGGATCGTTGCCTGTAAGCAGCCAAAATTTATGCGTCATGCGGGCCATGCCATGCGAGTCCACCACGGTTCGGGCCATCATCATCATCATCATCATCATCATAGTGATGATCATCATGTAAATTCCATGCGGTAGCCACTGGACAAACGGAGGGCACGTACTGGCCATAGATAGTGTGAAATAATGATAGGTCCAATCCATTTAGATACACATCTTTTAACGATAGATCTTGGATTGGTTCTCGCCCGATTCGAGTTACTTTTCGAATGTCGATCGTGTTCGTGACAGGTTGTCTGGAGTTGGGTGCCTTGACTCTGATTCATTCGAGGGCGATATTTGCATGAGTTGTGCGGATTAGTCAGAAATCAAGGGAACCTGATAGTATTGGATTCTTTGTTGTTAACAAAACTCCCCATATATTGGGAACACTTTCTAAAGCAAAGCTATAAGGGAAGTGCTGATAGCACTTAGAGTCTATGTAATATATAGTACCTGTGGGTACTATAGAAACCATGGAAATAGTTGCTTTTAAGCTTACAAAGGGTTGTTTTGCAGAACCTACAAAGATATCTTCATATTGTTAGATTGAGATGATCATAATCTTGAATGATGATCATAATCTTAGTTCTCTCAATGTATAGAGGAGACATAATCTCATACTAACTATATGTCTTATAAAATTATTTAACAATCATCTTCCTTTCCCTCCAAGAAGACCTTCATTTTTATCATCGAAATTCCTGGCGGCCCTCTTGAAATCTACTAAAATAAATCCATTTCATTCCCTTCATGGTCTGTTCTATTTATGGGAATTCTTGGTGATTAATGATCATCACCCATAATGATGACTGACCAAATTTGTATTTAATTCTTGGCGCTCCGCACGACTTTGCGTCAAGCGACAATTAATTACGAATGCGTCAGTTTTATTAAAGCTACGAAAAACCAACTGGACTGTAATCACAGGGCTGGCTCCCCCTTAGGTTTACGATCCCACGTTCCATTAATTTATATGTTTCTCATATCGGAACGTGACAAACTGTGTGTTTTTTCCCCGTTGCATATTATCGCCATAACTCAACCAATGGATGCTTTTCGATCTTTGCAGCAAACTCGGTCTGGATTTGGTGCCACGAGAGGGACCTCTGGCAGTGGATCCGCATAGCATTGGAATTGTCAAGCTATATAATGTGCACGTTAGCAGTGCCGATAATGCCAAGGCTTCATCGGTAAGAATTGTAAAGTACTTATAAAAACTCATTATACTTACTTTGTTTATAAAACCACAGAGTCGGGGCACATTGAGGAGAAAGACGCAACGCAAAATCTTAACCCATCATCTGTATTTTTGCATGCGGGGCTTTGGCTATCGCATTGGAGGCGATGATGCGGAGGTTTACTTTTTCCTCTACGATGGCACCCACATGCGACCGCTGTCCGAGCGGTTTCTGTTCAAGATCTCCAAAGATGGTTTCACCAATTACACCGAAAAGTTGCACAGCAACTGTACAGTGTTTACAGATCTCGGTAAGGAATTAATATATTATTCTTAATGCAGTTCATCAACTTAATATTTACTTAATTACCTTAGGCGCCGCCGATCTCAATGAGGATCTCCATCTGGTGGCCGTGGTTATGCGCGTGGGCAAGATCATTCAGTCGGACTCCATTAAAAAGATCGAAAAGAGTGGAGCCTATGGTCATGGTCCAACCTTCCGTCGTCCATTTGGTGTGGGCATTCTCTCGCTTAGCGACATTGCTCACTTCGATAGCAGTCTGGAGCAGTCCTCCGACGAGCGGGAGTACAACTTTAAGCTGTTCCAGTGCGAGGAAAAGGATTTCCACCTGCTGCCCGAGCTGATCATCAAGAAGTCAAATGGAAAGTACTCACCCATTCAGCCAAGTCAGGGCACTCAGGGCATTGATGTCTCCCTGAAGTTGCTGCATGGTGGTTTGGGACAGGCTCGTCAGGAGCAGCCGCTCCTCTTCCAGGGCACCACAATCACTAGGAAGATGGGCTTCCCCGATGTCATCATGCCGGGTGATGTGCGTAATGATCTCTTTTTAACCCTAGAACGGGGAGAGTTTGAGCGCGGTGGAAAGAACACGGGGAAGAACATCCTCGTTACGGTTGTGGTCCTGGATGAGACGGGCACTGTGCTAACCGACTGCCTGTGGGGTGCCTCCGGCATGGACGCACAGGCCCAGTATCGATCCATGATATTATATCACCAGAACACGCCCAATTGGAATGAGATGTTGCGTCTTTGTGTGCCCATTGACAAGTTTGCCACGGCCCACGTGCGGTTCGAGTTCCGGCACTGTTCGACGCGGGAGAAGACGGAACCGAAGCTGTTTGCCTTCAGCTTTGCTAGACTGATGGACACGGGCGGAGCCACGTTACGCGATGGCCAGCACGATCTGTTTGTGTACAAGTGTGAGGATCCTGCCAAGCTTCAGCCGGCCAACTATCTGCGGCTGCAGTGCCGGCAGGGTGATCCACAGGCCAAAATGGACTGCGGCGGCTGTTTCAGTCGCCACTCCAGGGAGACATTCTATCTGCGTTCTCTGCTCTGCTCCACGAAGCTGACACAAAACGCGGATCTACTCTCGCTGCTGCAGTGGCGCACAAATCCCGAAACCATTCAGGACTCACTGACTGGTGTGCTGCGACTGAACGATGAAGAGCTGGTCAAGTTCCTGCAGGACGTGCTCGATGCCCTGTTTGCCATGTTTTCGAATGAGGAGGGAAACAGCACCCAGCACTCCGGCCTGGTCTTCCACGTGCTGGTTAGCATATTCAGTTTACTGCAGAGCAACAAGTTCCAGCACTTCCGGCCGGTGATGAACGAGTATATCGAGAACCACTTTGCTGCTGCGTTGGTCTACAAAGGTCTCATCACCTCAGTTGAGCACATGGCCGTATTTATGACCAAGGCAGAGCATCCGGATCCATTTCAGAAGTGTTTTGGTTCGCTGGAGTACATATTCAAGCTGCTGATCCAGTCGAGGCGTCTCTTTGCACGGGCCACCGGTGGTCAGTACGAGGACTCGTTCCGCCGCGACTTGCACTCGCTATTCACGGCACTTAATGGAATGTTAGCTGTACCCTCGTACGATGTCATCATACCCACCCAGGAGGCGCTACTCAACTCGACAGGCGTGGTGCTGGAGCAGTTAAAGGATACGCTGCCGGCTCCGGAGCTGGGTATGCTGGCGCGAAACATGTTGGATGCCATACCCCGAGGAGCGCCCATACGACTGATTCAAGCCAAGCTGCACGCTGTCAAAGATCTTGTCTCCGGGGAATTATTCCATGAGGATGGTAAGGAATGATTTGATTCACTAATCACAGTTTTATAATATAAAATATATCAATTTACAACCAGATTCCCGTACTGTGGTTCTCTCCGTGGCCTGCAAGCACCTGCGCATGCACCTCAGTCGTCGGGATGAGCTGCGTCTTTGCGCCGAAATTCTCTCGGAGATTCTTAGCCAGCTGTACGATCTGCAGAAGGAGCAGCGAGACAAGGTTACAAACACCCTGCAGCACGACCTGGACTCGCTGTGCAAGAACATCCTAGGCATCCTGATTCGAACAATCAGCATCATCATGGAAGGCTCAAATGCCGTGCTGCCCCAGCTGGTGTCCTGTCTACTGGGCCTGCTGCAGTTGCTCGACGAGACGCACTACAAGCGTTACTGGGACGAGCTTAGTCCTAACAAGGATCCGCGCGATCTAAAGGAGTTCCTCAGCAAGTCTCTAATGGTCTATGAGGAGCTACTGACCCAGGACTGGCATGTGTTTCCCAACGACTGGCTAGTGATGAAATTGGCCGCCAACGATGTGTTGCGCATGTCCCTGGAGGAGTTTGCTAAGCCGCTGGTCTATCGGTTCCTCGCACCCAACGGCTTTGATTCGCAGCTGTGGTGGAGCTACTTTAGCCTGGCTGTGGCCTTCTTAACGCAGCCCTCGCTGCAGTTGGAGCAGTACAGAGAGCCCAAGCGGTTGAAGATTCTGCATTCCCACGGCGACATGCGAGTGCTTATGGGCTTTCAGATACTTAGCATGTGGTCGCAGTTGGGCGAGCAGAAGCTGCACTTCATTCCCTCGATGGTGGGCCCGTTTCTGGAGGTCACCCTGGTCCCAGAGCCAGCTCTGAGGAAAGCAACACTATCTGTCTTTTACGACATGATGCAGTGCGAGCAGGTGAGTCATTGGCTGCGCCAGGTGAGGTACATACTTGGACGATAATTGATGCAAATGTGCTTGTGCAGGCTGCCCGGGGATCGTTCCGCTTGGTGGAGAGCGAACTGATTGACAAGCTGGACCTGCTCATCAGCGTGAACAAGGGGGACGACGAGTACAGGGAGCTCTTTAGCACCATGTAAGTTGGAAAGCACGCTGCGCTCACGTGTACATAAATGTTTGTAAATGTCTGTAAATATATAAATATACATATATGTCTCACTTCACACTCATTGCAATCGCCATCCATAAAAAGGGAACATCTCAGCTTGGTGTAAGTTTAACTCAGTGCAATTTATCCCTCGCCTTACGTGTAGTTAGCCTCTATTAGTCCTCTACTATTTTGTTTATTCTCCTTTCGACAAAACGTGCTTCGATTTGGACCTAATTCTATAATTTTCTGTCACCAGCCTGCTGGAGAAGGTCCAGATGGAGAATCCGAACTGGAAGGATGCTGGCATTGCTTTCATTGGCTCCGTTACCCGGCTTCTGGAGCGGTTGTTGGACTATCGCAGCGTAATGCAGGGCGAGGAGAATCGAGACAAGCGCATGACCTGTACGGTGAATCTCTTGAACTTTTATAAAAACGAGATCAACCGCAAGGAGATGTATCTGAGGTGGGGTTTTATCATTAATATGTGTGCTTAGGTTGCTAATTCTCATTCTTTCTATACAGATATATCTACAAGTTGCATAATCTGCACTTGCAGGCAGAGAACTACACAGAGGCGGGCTTCACTCTTAAGCTATATGCATCCATGCTGAGCTGGGATCGGGAGACCCAGAGTTTTGCCCCCTTCGATAACAGTGGTCAACCGGAGTGGCAGCGCAAGGAGCGGCTATACCATGAGGTTAATTACCAATCTCTATACTGCATTATCTAAGAAATATCTCAAACGTGTATTGCTTCTTCCAGATCCTTAAATATTTCGACAAGGGCAAGTGCTGGGAGAAGGGTATTCCTTTGTGCAAGGAACTGGCACAGCTCTACGAGACGCGACGTTTTGACTACAACAAGCTGAGCGATATACTCATACAGGAGGCCAAGTTCTTTCAGAATATCCTGACGCAATTGCGACCGGAACCAGAATACTTCCGAGTGGGATTCTACGGCATGGGCTTGCCGCTCTTTGTGAGGGTAAGTTTTACTAGGAATGTAAGTCGATAATTAAAGGCTACATATCTTTATTATTTTCCGTAGAACAAGCAATTCGTCTACCGTGGATTGGAGTACGAACGCATTGGAGCCTTTACCCAGCGCCTGCAAACGGAGTTTCCCAGTGCCCAGATTCTGGGCAATAACAGTCCCCCGGATAATGCCATACTAAATGCTCCCGAGCAGTACATACAGATCAGCAATGTGAGGCCAGTGGGTGATGCTCAGTCCCTGAAGACGGCCATGGTGCCGGTGCCGGAGAAAATAGCCCGTTTCTACGAAGTCAATGATGTGACTCGCTTCATATACGACCGGCCCATGTACAAGGGACCCGTGGACAAGGACAACGAGTTCAAGTCGCTGTGGATAGAGCGCACTATTCTGGAGATTTCTAGTCCACTGCCTGGCATCCTCCGTTGGTTCGAGGTGAAGCAAAAGTCGATGCAGGAGCTGACGCCTGTGGAGTATGCCTGCGAGATCATCAGCAACGCCGGCAAGGAGCTGTCGGATCTGATTGTGCAGTATAAGCGGGATCCTAAGCGCAATATTAATCCCTTCTCGATGCGCCTGCAGGGCACCATCGATGCCAATGTCATGGGTGGCATTAGCAAGTATCAGGAAGCCTTCTTTTCGGAGCAGTTCCTCAAGTCACCGCAAGGTGCTGGCCAACAGGCAAATGTGCAGCGGCTGAAGGCTCTTATACTAGAGCAGATCCAGATCCTAGAGCAAGCCCTGGAGCTGCACGGTCAGTTAGCGCCCAGTGGAGTCCAGCCGTTGCATAATCGCCTCCTGGAACGCTTTTCGCAGCTAAAACAAAGCCTTTCCGGCATGGGTCGGTTGAAGCGACAACACTCGGAAAGCATTGTGAATACACCACTGCCACCGCTCCCCACGGAGCAACGAGTGGCACAGGCCACGGCTTCCACCAGTGTAAATGCCAATTCCCATGCCAACTATGTCTATGATTTGGATGAGATATACACGAGACCAGGGGACACATTGCGGCCTGTGGATCCCCTAAGCTCATATCAAACTCTGAGCAAGGAGAGTCTAAGCATTCCCCTGGAGGACGGCTCAGCCCCGCCAGTGCCGAATCGCCCGCGCTCGCAGAATTTTATCACCAACGGAGCCATGGATAGCCCTGAAGTTCCCCCCAAGAGGCAGCCGGCAGGCAATTCCCCCGGAGCACCGCCACTGCCACCGCGAGGAATTACGCCAGATAAGAGGGCCTCGAATCCACTCATTTTCAATGACTTTGGCAATTCTGATGCCGTGGGTCGTCGCCACTCGTCGCAGCAGCAGCAGCATGGCCAGAAGTACTCTGTTGTGGACATTAGTTATGACGATCCCGAGGCCGATCAGCAGCCGCATTCATTGCCACCGAATTTCCAGGACGGGAGCGGTGGACACCTCAGCGTTTGCTTCGCCCCCAATGACTTTCGAGACTCGGGAATCTCCACTACCAGTTCCAGGGAACTCAACCACATGAATCTCAACAACCTGAGTGAGGACTCATCGTCTATTTCGGCCAGCACAGTGCATCATAGGGAACACTGTCGCGTTAGCAGCAACGGCAGCCTGGACATACATGCCTCCGCCTCGATGAATATCACACAGCGCGAGAGCTCGGCGAGTTCGTTTGATGTGGAGGATCTGCCAGTGCCACCGCCGCCCATTCCGCCCAAGTCACTGGCCGTGTCGACGAGCAATGGGGTCAGCATTGGCATTGACGAGGCACACTCACCCAATCCCAGCACACAACTCAATCACATTCAGAATCAGAATCATTCCACAAACAGTCATCATCATCTGGGCCACCAGCAGCAGCAGAATGGCGACAGCGATGGCTACACCATGTTGCAGCACCAGGCCAATGGACTGGCCACTCTTCCTCCTCCTGCTGCTGCTGCTGCTGCTGTTGAGGTCCCGCCACCACTACCGGCATCTGCAATCGCATCCTCATCTAGTCATCAACACGATGGCGGCACTTTTTGAGTTACAATATGTCGCTGCCATCATCCACCCGATCAGCCACACCAGCCACACAAGCCAAACTCATCCACATCGACCTCGGCCAGCACGGCCACAGACACGGCCACCGAGTCCACGGACTCTAGTTCCTCCACGCACTCGATTACGCCGCCGCCGCCACCACCACCGCCGCCGGCATTCAGCCAAATCCATCATCAGGCATTGTCGGCTGCTACGATGGCTCCCCACTACTGCCAGGACTGTCTATCGTCGCCGTCGCCGCCACCAACCATCATCACCGAGCAGGCACAGGTGCATGCCACACCAGGACTGACGACACCGCAGCCCCATATTGAGCATTGTTCCTGCGGCTTGAGCTTTTCGGTGGTGCAAGGACACCAGGAGCCCAGTCTGATGTCCTCGCGTTTTTCCACATTGGAGCGCCAGTCCTACGGCTACCAGGTGGATCAGGTGTCCACCTGCCAGCATCATCATCATCATCAGCAGCATCAGCAGAATGCCCAATATCATCACGTGCAGGGCAGTCAGGATGCCCATGCCCAGACGGACTTTTCCTACGCACAGCGCTGAGATCGAGGAGGAGGAGTTTCCTCAACCCACAGAGAGTGAGATTAAATTTCGCTTAGTATTTATATATTATTTTTTTAAACTAAGTTTTTAGTACTGTTCTGCTCTCTCCATAGAATCGAAACATTTCTACTCTCATTATTTTTGGTGCCAAATTTTTGCTGCAAGTCCAAAGCGCAATATAGAAACAAATGTTGTAATCAAATAGGTTGCTTAAAATATTTTATTAATGCATATACTTTTACAATTACTTTTACGGGAAATGTCGATGAAGTTACTAAGAAATACTAAGATATAAGAATAAAGATGAACAAAGTTTTACAATAATGAAGAAAGCTGGGGATGAAATCAAACACTAAAACCAAAATACAGAACGCTAATCAAAATCCATCAACGCAAGAAATATATAGAAATATACCAAGCAAAGACACCGACAAAATGTGCAATGCAGTTTTTACTTTAACGAAAATATTTACACATAAATATATATAGACATATACACGATGAATATCATAATATATATATACATTTATATATATATTTGCGAAAAGCAATTAGGAATTTTAAAGTGCTACTAGCTTCATAACGAATCAGATAAGTTTTCCATTTTTGTAAATTTTTTAAAATATATACTTATTTATATAGAGTCTTCATATATGTACGTGTCTGCATATATATATATAAATATATTTTAAAACGCGAATCAATCAAAAGCGTAACACTCGTATTTAAAGAAGGAATGAATACTAATCATACACTACAACTAGTCAACAACTCGAATATACATTAAATATTATGGAATGAAAGTTTAATACATATTGTCTATAAATGCATGGCGCAAGTATAAGAATTTACTAAAGAATTTAATAAAAATATAAAATTAAAGTTCTAACTTAATGTGCATTTTAAAATATTTGTAGTTTAGGGATTACCTGGGGATAATGTCTTCGGTTTAAGAGAATCCCATTAATAATAAGAAACATGTTTATAAATATCGTTTGCTCATCAAGTACACTTTTTAATGTTTTATTAACCTTCTCAGAAAATCATTACATTATTCGTATAATTGTTACTTACGACTAGCAGCAACTTTAAAGTTAAAGTTAAAGCATTGAGTCTGCCCATTAATTAATTATTGCTTTGTTGAATTAGTTTGTTAGCTTACGTTCCTTTTGTTAGATTTCCTCTCTCTGACTATCTTACGATCGCGAGGGTGGTGTAAATTATTGACACTACTAAAAACGTATTTTACTCATAGTTGTTCGCATTTGCTTGGGTTAAAATAGACCGACATTCGAATGGTTGCTATCATATAGTTAAGTTGCTTTTGGTTGTTTGGTTGGTTGTTGGTTGTATGCTTAACTCCTAGGGGGTAATAAATATTGCGGTTTCTAATAATATTCAATACTCGGGGGAGCGGAGCTCAATATATAAATACTTGAGGTTAATATTGCGCAATCAATTGACATAAATGATATAAATATAAACCCAATTCGTATCGAACTATGTATGTATATATACCTAGCGATCACTACGTATGTATGTACGTGATTCGTTGCAGCATCAGCGGCCTGCCAGAAGATTGTTCTTGTTCTATATTCTGTTTTCTGTTTTCTGATCTCTGATTTTTTTTGGTTTCACACTTGTCCAACTTGAATACGGGTTTCTAACTACTGCCTCCTCCGACTGGCCACCGCTGAGTGGTTGAGTTTCGTTCACAACTATGCACAGATTGGAGCATTGACTAGGCTAAACACTACCACTAGCTGGCCGAAAATAACAATTTGCATATCTAAAAAGTCAACTAGGAAGAGATTAGCTTATAGGTGTTCTTATTGTTAGAATTTTCGACGAGGTACAAAGTTATACGTACGAGTATTTTTGCTTTTTGTTGTTTGAAAATTAGATGTGTTGTCGTAAGCACAATGAGGTACATGTGTATCAACATCATTCAAATCATTATTACCCAATCCCATTCCGATACATCCTTTCCATCCATATTGCCACTATGTGTCCAAGAGTTAAGCGTGAAAATCCGAAGACTTGGTTCCAAGTTCATCCTCATACATCTCCGCCTGTCGTCCGTCCGTCTCGTCTCAGTAATTATATAACCTTAATGCTTAATACCACAGTCGAAGTATGTACTATATGTAAATACACACATACAGTTCATATATGTATGGCCTATATACCTACACTAGATATACATATGTATATTGTTACTGCAACAGCATCGGCGCTCTATTTTATACACGGTATATTCAATAGCGTTTGTCTTTTCACTATGTTCAGTATGTTCGGTATGTTCAGTGTTCGGTGATCGATCCTGTGATCCTTAGATCCTTATTGTGTCACCTCTAGTCACCCGGAGAGCGCGCTTTCACCCCTCGACGGGTGGTCGCCTCCGCCTCCGCCAGGCTATGGGGGCGATCAGGGCGCGGATTATGTGAGACCGAGCTCGTCGCTTAACTAACAGCATCCAAGGCAAGGGCAGCAGCACCAACGGCAGCAGCCAGTAAGCGGGTCATAGCTCCACATGGCCGAGCGCCTCCTCGGTGACATTGGAGACTGTGTTGCAGGTTTGCGTTGACATCCACTCGAAGTCCTTGATGGTGGCCTAGGAGAAAAGTTGTATTAGTAACAAGTAGCATTAATTGAAACCCAATATCCATTCTGATATTTGAATACCAAGATGGGTAAGGGGTTTCGTTGGACAGATAGGCCAAGGAAAGGAAAAAAGAGGATACTTTTAAGCCAAGACTTGTCTCTGCTTAATTCGGAATCAAACTAGAATGGCTTGAACTAGTGTCTTTAAGTTTTCTTTAAATAAAAGTACAATATAACATATACACATTTGTAAACATGAGACTACAATCATCTTACTCTGACCCTTGTGGAGACATCACCTGAAAAGGAACCCACCTTGTGCATGGAATAAACAGCAACCACAACCAGGACATGCATGATGTTGTGAGAGTTCAGATAGAAGTCCACCACACCCGGAAACCACTTCTCCGGTATTCGCATCGCACCAATGGCACCACCCAGAATCGAGACGCCGTCCTGTAACAGAGATGGTTGGTCCCGAGATTAGATTCGATCTGACAGTGGCAGCATCTTTCGTGTTCTGTGTCCGCCAGGAAATTGGTTAGCGGCTCTGTCCATTAACTCGTATGTACATATGTATGAAAATGTGACTTACAACTTCAACCTATGCGCACCGAGAGAGGCCAGCCAAAAACGTTTAGTTATATATAGAGAAATAGCAGTTAGTCAATTGGAATGCCCAGACATACGCACCTGCAGGTAGACATGGGAAAGAGCCATATGACTGCCGCCCACCATTCCCCGGATGCGCAGGAAGGTCAGGATGGAGCGCATGCCGAAGGGTAAAGCGAAGCATAAGCGACGTTGCCAGGGTGAACTGGCAGTGAGAGCCTAGAAAGGATGGAGTCCTTGATTATTTGATATTTCTCTTAGCTAACAATCCTGGTGGTACTCACCTTGTAGAGGCCCCACAGCGAGAGTAGGCAATAGGAGACAATGATCAGCCACTTGAGCACGGGCGGGAAGCACAATGTTGTGGCTGTGACCAGGGGCAGGGCACCTGAAAGAAATGAGAGAGAGAGAGAGCCGAGGAGGTGATAGTGGTCGGCGAGAGGTGAACACACGGCGACTGGCCATTGATAAGGCGGCTCGGCTCAGTCGCAAATCAAAACTCAAACACGATGGAGGGTCCGCCAGCTTCCGCTTGCCTAATCTTTGCCGCCTTGGCACTCGGTTTAATTGTCACCACCGGGGCCGTTCAGGGTGGAGTGTTCAAGGAGCTAACGACACCTTTGGGTCACCAGATCATGCGGCTGGCCAAGTCCGCAGAGATGCGATCCTTCATCGACGCCAGTGTTGATCCCTGCGATGATTTCTATGGCTATGCCTGTGGCAACTATGTGAGCATCAACGCGGCCACCCCGGATAAGGACACCAATATCGGTCAGGTCATGTTCGCCAGTTATCTGCGTCGCGCTAGGCAGATCCTCAATCAGCCCCGAATGAGCTCGGATCGACCCATGGAGACGCGAGTCAAGTATTTCTATGAATCCTGCCTGGATACCTCCTCCTTGAGGACAAACCAGCGCTCTCAACTACTCAACGTACTAAGGGAGTTCGGCGGCATGCCAGCTGTGGAAGGCTCCTCCTGGGATGAGTTCCAGTTCGATCCCATCGAGACAATGGCTCAGCTTCTGCGTCGCTATGGAAAATTAACTCTCCTGGGAGTCTATGTGGCTCCGGACTTCACCAACTCGCAGATAAACCGCCTGTATCTGGGTCAGAGGGATGATCTGGCGGTGCGGGATGAGGCCACCAGTTTGGCCAAGAAGGTGGAGCTAAAGATGAGATTGCAGGACCAGCTGGGATTGTCGGAGCAGCTGGCCAGGAAAACTGCCATTGAGATCATAGACCTGGAGGCGGAACTTAGCCGCAGTGTCCTTGATCGTGGCATGGACCGAGATCCAAGACTTAGGAGTCGACTGACAATGCTCAGTAACATGACGGAAGCCTACGGTTCGGCATTGAATCTTACGCGATTTGTGAAATCCTGGCTGGGCCATGACTACATCCTGCCCGTTTACGAGAATGTGCCCGGCTATCTGTTCCAGCTAAAGAAGACCCTGCTGACTACGTCCAACCGGGTGCTGGCCAACTATATGCTTTCCAGCCTTCTCCGGGACTTTGAAATACAGGCGGATGAGCGGAAGCAGGAGGAGATCTGCGCCGAAAGGATCACAATGCTTTTTCCCGATGTCATAGACCACCTGGTGTACTACTCCCTGGAACAGCAGAGTCCCCACCTGCCCACCGATTTGAAGCTCCTGTGGATCGATCTGAAAGCCGCCTTCGAGGAGATGTTGAGTTCCGCGGAGCTGGAATGGCTGGACGAGAAGACCCGTGGAGATGTAGTGGAAAAACTAAGGGGTATGAGCTTTGAGGTAGCCGGCGAGAAGCCTGTTAACTTTGAGGAGCAATACGGTCGCATGGTGGTCAGCTCTGCCGATTACTATGGCAACGTGCGACGCCTGCTGGCCGTCCAGGCGAGCAACCTTCGAACGGATCTGATGCGGGACACCAGGAGCGAGAACTATTACGATGGCGTGATTGAGTCACCCTTCTACCTGACGGAGTCTAATCTGGTGGTGCTGCCGGCCAGTTATATGCAGCACCGCTACTTCTGGGATGATGTCTACCCGGTGGCTCTAAAATATGGCACCCTGGGCTTCATCCTGAGTCACGAAATGGCCCACGGCTTTGATGACCTCAGCCGTCTCTTTGACAGCAAGGGGAACTTGAATGATACGTGGAGCAACCAAGCCAAAGTTGGGTTCAACCTGATAAAGGAATGCCTGGTGGAGCAGTTCAGTGAGTTGCGATACAGCAATCTGCGATTGCCCAAGCTGGAGGCACAGGGCGAGAACATCGCCGACAATGTGGGTGTACGCATCTCCCAGGCGGCATACCGGAAGTGGCTGGAGGAAGCCAAGACCCTGGACTCGGAGACTCTGCCCCACATGTCCCAGACGCCGGAGCAACTCTTCTACCTCGGTGTGGCGCAGTCGATGTGCTCCGGTATTCTGATCGACCGGCGTCCGGCCTTCCTTCGAAACAGTGTCCATCCGCCGAATGAGTCGCGGGTTTTCGCCATGATGTCCAACAGTCGATCCTTTGCCGAGGCCTTTCAGTGTGGCAATCAAACCAAGATGAATCCCCCACACAGATGTCTCATGTATTGAGGTTTCCCTGCCGTCTGGCAGATGGAGCGATAGCGCTCTCAAGTTGATACGAGTTCGGTTTAAATACAAAAATAGTTCCGCTTCCGAGCAGTGACTGAGTTTCATTGAGTTTCATTATCGCGATCGTACTCACCAAAGCTCTGGCTCACCCAGATGCCGACCATGTCCAGCTTGAGGAGCGTGTAGTAAACATTCTCGCCCTTCTCGATGTTCATGAACAGGTGATAGACGAAGCTTCCACACCAGGGAGCCACCGAACCGAAGACATGGCAGAAGGACAGAAACTTGTAGCCACTGTCCCAGGGCATCAGTCCGGGCACGATGGCCAGGATGTAGAAGATGGGTATGGCTGGAAAGGAGGAAAAAGTGGTGGTATTAATGGGGAATCAACTTGTCGATTTATTACTCTTTTTAAATTAAATTTGACTAACTAATATAGTTATTGAAAGAATGATTATAAGTTTTAAATGATATGATATGAGTGACATCAGTATCTGGGAAGCTATACTTAAATTAACTTTCACTTTTTGTTAGTACAATAAAAATATTTATGCTCATTGCTTTTGTTTACCAACTAACCTTCATAATAAATAATAATATAGCTTTAGTTAAACGTAAACAATAGCGATTGTCAAGCTTTTGATATACTCTTTGAGCCATGAAATGTTAGCTTAACCCCTTCTCAGATCCAAACCTACTCTTATACTGATCGTTGTAGTTGGTATAAGAGCAGAATAAACCCCGCCGACGCCGGTGGAGATAACAGGTTGACCTACCCAAGCACTCTGGACATAGTATAAACAAATCCCGCTGATAATGATGCCCTCACCGCGTGTAATTCGAGGCAATTGAATATTAGTTGAGTGAAACGAGTGATCATGACAAGTTGTGGGATTCTTTGGCTCTGTTTTCTGCTGGCAACGGCTCCTATTTTGGCCAAGCCAAACACTGGGGCGGATGATCCCTTTGCCGATGACCTGGACACGGAGTATGCAAAACAAATTATCCGTCAGGCAAAGGTGGCCGACATTAAAAACACAATGAACCCTGAGGTGGCGGCATGCGATGACTTCTATAACTACGCCTGCGGCAACTGGCATCGTCATAATCCAGCCCAAATACTGAGCAGTGTCATTACCGATACATTTCAAATGATAGCCAAGGGATTCGATCGTCGACTCCAGCGCCTTTTACGTTCCACCGATCTAAAATCGGAGGAGGAAAAAAAGATGCAGCGCTTCTATTTGGCCTGCACCACTGTAAATCGCGATGATGTCAGCTATAAGCTGGCTCTGGAGAACGTCTACCGGGAGTTTGGTGACTTTCCGGCTCTGGCCGGTGCCCAATGGAATGGAACCGACTTCAACTGGTGGCGAACTGTAGCCCAGATACAGCACAAGTACGGCAAACAGATTATCCTTGCCGTGGATATTATGCCTGATATTCGTAACACTTCGGTGAATCGTGTTTATCTTGGTCCTGTGGCAAAGCAGCAATCTTTTACGGGCTTCATTAATCTTCTGGAGAAAAGCGGCATTGCCACGGATATGCACGACTATTTGGGTCTAAGTGGTCCCGTGGCGAGACACACAACAGAGCAACTGCAGGACCTGGAGAATGGTCTGTTATCGGGTAGGTCAATTGGCAAGTCTCTAGAGGAACAGCTTACTCTCTACACAATGGATGATCTGCAGCAGAAGTACGGTGACCACTTAAACTTCACCGAGTTCTTTGGCCTGGTACTGGGCGAGGAGCATGTCCCGGATAAGCTATATGTCAATGATGAGGAGTTTTTGGATAACGCACTCCTCACAATGCGGAGCACTGCCCTTGCCACCCAGGCCAATTTTGTATTGTGGAATTTGCTCCAGGACTACCTGGTGGACTCCAAGCCGAATGACCTCGCCAAGTGGTGTACAGAGCAGACGAAGAAATACTTTGGTCCACTTGGCGAGCACATGGTGTATGAGCGCTATCGAAGTCCTGACTCGGAGGCGGAGATAAAGCGCATCTGGAACGAGGTGAGGGGCATCTTTATGGAGCATCTAAGGGGCGACAAGCTGGACTGGATAACAAACGCCACCAGGCAGCTGGCCATCGAGAAGCTGAGCCACATGCAGCTGCACATCAACTCCTACGACAACGAGAACTTCGAGGAGCTGTACGGCGAGTTGGTCATCGATGGTCTCAACTATGTGACAAATCTCCAGCAAGTGCGGATTGGTCAGGGCAAGAGGAATTTTAAGAGTTTAGATCAGCCAGCTCGTTCTCTGGAAGCCATGGAGATTCTGGGCTTCACGCCAGCCTACAACATCCTGGAGAACAACATTACAATTCCAGTGGCTTTGCTTCAGCCACGTTATTTCTGGGGTGACCAGTATCCGGAGGCTTTGAAATATGCCACCTTGGGCTACCTTCTGGCCCACGAAATGCTGCATGGCTTCGATGACGATGGGAGGAAGTATGATGCAGCTGGAAACTTTGCTCCCTGGTGGGACATCCGGTCGACCTACGAGTTCGAGGAGCGACGCAAGTGCTTCCAGGCACAGTACCACGAGTACAAGTACGGTGGCTCCAAGCTGCCAGAGAGTAGGGAACAATCAGAGAATATTGCTGATAATGGTGGCATCAAACTGGCCTTCAAGGCCTACCAGCGCTGGTTGGCCAGCCAGACGGAGGAGGTGCGTCAGCGGGAGACTCTGGAGGGTCTTTCTTTCAACGGTGAGCAGCTCTTCTTCGTTGGCTATGCCCAGTTGTGGTGCGATGATGTCCATTCCCTATTCAAAAGCACGTTTGCTCAGGCGGATAATCATGCACCGTCCATGTACCGTGTGATCGGCTCTCTGTCCAACTTCCAGGAGTTCTCCTGGGTCTTCAACTGCTCGCAGACGGCACCCATGGATCCGGAATACAAGTGTGCCATCTATTAAATATTTTGGAGTTACATTTGTAAAGAGAGATTTAAATAAAGAAATTATAATTCTCAGCAACCGAAGCTAGTTCATCAGTGTTTGAGATTGTCATAGTTTTTATTATATTTTCATTAATTAATGCATTTAATTAATCCAAACTTGCTGCAAAGAGCTGACACTTTTCTGGCGTAGACATCCGGCTCTCACTGCCGCAGGCAAAGTCCCGTCCAAAGGACCCAAAATTTGAAAGAGAGCCCAGAACCCGCAGTGGATTGGGAGTGCGGATCTTTAGGAGGGATTGCTTATCCCGGAAATCCTCATTGGCATCGTTACACCACAGCTGGGCGTAGCTAAGGAAGAACAGCTGTCGTGGGTTGAGCTTCAGCTGGGGCAGTGACTCCGTTCCCAGGGCAGAGGTGGCCAGCTCCGACAAGTATCTTCTATAGGCGTGATAAGCCACCTGGATAGCCAAATTGTCGGCTATGTTCTCCGCCTGCAAGCTGCTCTCCGGCAAATACCGTCCGTTGAGACGTAGGCGTCCATATTGCTCCTTAAAGCAAGCCTTCCGCTTGGCATATTCCGCAAAGGACTTTGCATCCCACTTGGAGGCGTCCTCCAGGCTGTGTGCCAGCTCGTGGGCAAGCAAAGTTCCTAAGGTGCCAAAGCGCAGAGCCCTTGGATAATAGCGGGACCAGAGGATGTTCGGTTGGAGCAGGGCCACCGGCAGCAGGACGATGTTCCCCAAGGGATCGTAAACCAGAGAAGTGCTGGGAATCTTCTTGGCCGTGAGAGTTTCATGGCTAAACACGGCCTTCAGATTTTGCAGGTATTTCCGATCTTTCAGCTCCAGACTTGCATACCTCTCCGTGAAGTTCACATCGGCATGTCCATTGACCACTAAACTGGTGGCATTCAGATGCTCCAGCAGTTTCTCTCGGGTCTCCACGACCAGCCAGTCAGCCGAAGAGTTCTCCAGAACCCCTCGAAAGCTGTGTTTGATCTGCTGCCAGACACCATCTATGTCACTGAGGATAGCTGCATCTCCGTACTGCTTATAAACCATGTTGTCGAGGAGTTCCGGAAACAAATCTCTGGCTCGGCTCACACACTGCTCCACGACGTTTCCCGTTCGATCGTAAAAGAAGTGCTGCAGCAGCTCATGGAAGATGAATCTGCCCAGCACCTGGGGTGATGTTTCCATCACAACGTTGGCCAAATGGTTCAGGTAACTGGGCACGTGTTCGTAGAGCGTCTCATTGGGATCCAACTCGCGATCGAGAACTATTTCCACATACTGCGTGATGTTGAAGGTTTCCGAATTCGGTGCATCCAACTCCTCGGGTGTGCGCAACTGGGACAAAATGCCTACGCGTCGTTCCATCATTCCCCTGGATAATAGTTGCTCCACATCGGCGATTTCCCGAGCCCATTTCTTGGCCAGCTTTTCCTCAACGCCCAAATGGCTCTCCAAGTTATTCCGTATGACATCAGCTCGAGCTTGACGATCGGGCAGGGCTTGTATCTTCATGGGCTGACCCACGTAAATGCGATCCGCGGATAAATGAAGGAGCAGAAGAATGTTGAAGCCATACTTTCGCTTGATTTGGGCCACAGTGTCCAGCCAATCAAAGTCCTCGGTGGGCCACTCCTGGCCAGGTTGACTCAAATCCGGCACATACACAAACTCGGCCACAATCTCCTGCAGCTGTCGGCGATAGACATCCTCCGGAGTTTGACGGTAGAGCAGACAACTGGCATAAAACTGCTTTAGTCGGAGCACCGCCAAGTCGTCTACTTCCCCGTTTGCTGGCCGTTCCAAGAGGCGCTGCTGCTTGTGATGATACGCCTTGACCAGCAGCTGCTCATAGTTGGTCTCGCGGGGACTGACTGCATTGGCCGGGTTTATCTGCGGCCAATGACCGCAACTGTAGTCGTAGAAGTTGTCGCAGGCCTCCAACTCCGGTTGCATATAGCTACGCATCTCGGCGGACTTGGCCAGGCGCATCAGACGCTGTACATAGGCGCTGTCGTTGTGCTGAGAGATCAGATGCTCCTGGGCCTGGATGCGTAGGTCAATGTCTGGCTGGCCGGATAGTAGGTGACCTCGAGTACTACCCGCCAACAGGAGCTGGAGCAAAAGCGGCAGCAGGGCGAAAGCGATACCAATGTTCTCCATGGCGAACACTCCGAGGGCGACTAAATGGGCAGCTTGGTGCGACGCACTTCCGCACCTACACTCCCAAGCTGAGATTGAGATTATTGAGCCACACTGAGGAAAATTGTGTACTAATACCAAGAGTTGGATAGAAAATCTCGGCAAATATTTGACTCTAACACACCCTGGTTTTTCGAAAACTTAAACTAAAGTTTTAAAGCATCTTCCTGATTTTTATTAAAGAGCAAACGTTATAATCCATAATTAAATATAGAATCATTTTAATAACCAAATATGTATTGTGGTTTATTGTTTTTTTATGGCAGTGGAAGTGGGAGCGGTGCCAAAGCTCTCCCTTATCACCCGCTCGGACGTCGGACACAATGTCTACACCCGAAGTCCATCTAGTGGGGAGAGCGTGATTGATACCCAGCTCACGTCATGGTGCGATAAGTGGAAGAAACGCTTTGAGGCAGCCCCAGTAATGAGAAATTGCGAGTTAATTACTTTGCTTAGTATTTTATTACAGTGGCCTACACTTGTTCGAGAGTGGGAGTGACTGACCAGTTTTCTCTTTTAAATTATTGCAAGCGCTACACTGACGCAATTAATTGTATATTTTCTCATTTTAATAATCAAAAGGTAATAATTTAAAACGTTTTTTAACATTTTTTGCTCTAAGTTTCAATGAGAAGATTAAGGTTTCCCTGGCACGGACTTTATGAATTCAGGGATGCAGAGAAGGATACTATACACTTTCCTTTTGTGTGTAAAACTGTACAAATGAAAAAAAACATATAATATTAGACTAAGTAACTCAACATTAAAATAAGTATTCAAGATATTTCCCAGAGATTTCCCTTTCGAAACTGAATTAAACAAAGAAACTTCAAACGATAGGTTGTTGAAATCGAATAAACATAAGCCACCCGTTCTCATTTACCTATTAAGATGATATTTATATTATTACTTAAGGGAGTACTACCGCCCTTACATAAAAGCTTTTACCATTTATTGGTTTGTGTTTAATATAGATAATAAATTGGAGAGCTCCATGCCGAAAAGCTTCATGTGGGAGATCTCGTTACCCCCGTCACTGGACTCTCTCAATTGTAACGACACCTATGTATAAACGGAGCGGAGCAGTAGATAGATTGCGATAACCCCGGGGTCGCCTTTTGTTTTCCGAGAAACAGAGGAGCGACGCAGCTTCTCTGGAATGGCGATGAACTCATGCTCTAAAGGCAGTCGATCATTGAAATTGAAACCAAACGAAACGCAACGCGAGATGCAGCTGCTCCACATTTGCCTTGTGGGCTACCTAATGATTGCCCTGGCCTGGGCAGCGCCCACCAGCGGGAATGGCACCGTAGATCAAGAGGATCAGGAGGACCTTAACGCAAATACACCCTATATGAAAGCATTGCTACGTGAATCAAAAGTCGCAGAGATGCAGAGCTTTATGAACGCCAAGGTTGATCCGTGCCACGATTTCTACGACTTTGCCTGCGGCAACTACGACCACATCAACTCGGCTTTACGCATGGAAGTGCTCACCACCGGCGTTTTTGAGACAGTGACCAAGGGTCTTAATCGCAAGATTCTGAAAATGCTCAACAAGCATTACAAATATGACACCCCGGAGGACATTCAGGTGAAACATTTCTACGAGTCATGTAAGGGACTAAAAGATCTCTATCCCGCTTATCCTGAAAAACTGAGGAGGCTGATCGCCGAATTTGGATCAATGCCAGTGCTCGAGGGCTCCAGCTGGAAGGAGTCAGAGTTTGACTGGCTGAATACAGTCGCCCGCATGTCCAACCGGTACGGAATTGCACCAATTTTGGGTGCCGAGGTGAGCAAGGATTTTGCAAGCAACCAGAGGAACCGTGTCTATGTGGGTCAGCAGGAGTTTCCCCTTGAGTCGCGGAGCATGTATGAGGGCAATGCCACGCAGACCTATCGCGACAGATACCGCAGCACAATCCAACGCTATCTGCAGCGATCTCTGCACGTGTCCAAGGAGCTGGCCAAGCCGACAGCCCAGGAGCTACTCGACTTCGAGGTGGATCTGGCCATGGGACTTGTGGACGAGAGCGAGGGTCTGGACCTGAACGACTTGACAACGCTGCATACTGTGGAGGAGATGCACAAGCTGTATGAACCAACTCTGGACATAAAACGTTTGATATTTGTGACCCTAGGGGAGCGGGTAACCGATCAGATATATGAGTTCAACTCTCGCTATATGAGAAACCTGGTCGAGGTAATGAAGCGCACACCGCTCCGAACGGTGGCCAACTACGTGTTCTTCCGACTTATCTATGAATTTGTGGAGTCGCCGGCGAGTACGCCGGAGAAGCAAAAGCAAGACTGTGTGGATCTGACCAAAAAGTTCTTTGCCAAGAATCTGGATAACATGTTCTATAGGCGCTACAACAACGAGAAATCCTCCACTGAGATCGATAGCATGTGGCGCCAGCTAAAGGCCACCTTTAACGAGTCCCTCAGCTCTAGTCCGCAGCTCAACTGGATTTCGCGTCCCACCAGGGATCTGGCCATGGCCAAGCTGCAGGCCATGAAATTGGAGGTGAATAACTATGCGGATGTAAACTTCACCGAGGAGTTCGCAGGCCTGAACCTGCAGAGCGGCGATTACGTGGAGAATGTGCGACAGACGCTACTGCAGAGCGCCAAGGAAATGCGCGAATTGCTTCACAAGCCGGCCAAGCCCTTGGAGGCAGGTAGCCAACTCAGCTACACGCCGGCCAACATTCTGGTGGAGAATGTCATCAAGGTGCCCGTGGCCCTGCTGCAGCCGTTCTACATTTGGGCGGATGCCTACCCCAATGCGGTGATGTTCGGCACTCTCGCCTCACTGATTGGTCATGAGCTGATCCACGGATTCGATGACGGCGGCCGGAAGTTCGATGCCAAAGGCAACTCCCATGACTGGTGGGATGACAAGTCCAGCACCAATTTCCTGGAACGCCGTCAGTGCTTTACGAAGCAGTATGGCAAGTATATTTATGATGGCATACAGCTCAAGGAGTCCACGTCGCAGTCGGAGAACATTGCGGACAATGGAGGCATGCGCCTGGCCTACACCGCCTACCGGAAGTGGTACGATGCCCAGTCGACGAAGCCGGGTGGCACTGAGGCGCTGGCCTCGGAGAAACTGCCCAGACTGAACTACACCGGCAAGCAATTGTTCTTCATCAGCTTTGCCCAGATCTGGTGCAACGACGCCCATCCGAACATCAAGGCTCTGCAGGTGTCCACCGACCAGCACATGCCTGGCAAGTTCCGTGTTATTGGTTCCCTATCGAACTTTAATGAGTTCTCCAGAGAGTTTAGCTGTGCCGAGGGATCACCCATGAATCCCCAAGATAAATGTTTTCTCTACTAAAAGATTATTCAGATTCCAAAAATAATTAATTTGATTATTTAACTTGAAACTAAACGAATAGAAATTTAAATAAATACCAGAAAAGAAAATATAATTAGATGTTTAAAATGGCAACCCATATTTAGCATGGGTTAATGTCGGTCTTGGTTCTTTGTTTCCTTATATAAACCCAAGACAACCTCAGTCAAGGTTCATTAGAAATGCCGACCTAATCTATTTACGGCCCTCCACTTGGCTTTGGCCGTGATTGTAACGAGCAGCGACACACTCGGACGGGTCGATAAATGAGCAAGTGGTGACAGGTGGGTGGAAGAATGCATGGCATGGGCGGATGGTAGGGACAAGGAGGTGGCACACACCTTGGGTCAGTTTACCAATGGGTTTTGTGCTGCTGAGAGGACAGTCTTTAAAAGGTCTGCAGGAGACGACATCCACGGCCGCAGTTCATCTACATTTTAACCAGAGTTGAGATAGGAAATAGAGGCTATGCCAGGAGCTAGCCAGTGCTAGCAGCGTCTCTGTCTTAGGAACTGCTGCTGTTGGCCAGGAGTGGAGCCTTGTAAGGATCAGCAACAAGTGAGCAAATGTTGACGGGTGTACGATAAGGGAGTCCCTCGGTCGGGGTCTGATGATAAAAAGGATAAGAAGTTGGCGACACTCACCGTGCGTCAGTATGTTGATGGTCTCGTTGTGCCAGTAGAAAAGGCTGAGCAGGCAACCCTTGAAGGTCTGCAGCGGCCGGTATCCACGAAGCACGTACGGATTGAATTGCAGGTACTGCGGCATGTCCTGCCAAAGTAGCAGCTGGTCAACACTGGGACCAGAGTTGGGACCGCAAACGGAGGCAGGGCTAGAGCTGCACCGGCCACCAATACTCCCACAATGGCCAATGTCAGCTCTAGCACCGTCTCCGTTATCGGAGATGCTGCTGCTGCTGACCATTGGCGGAGTATTGGTGGCCGTTCCAGCCGTTAATTGATGCTCCGTTCCCGTTGCGGATGTTGCGAGCAAGGCAGACGTTGGCGTTGTGGAAGCTTTGGCGGAAGACGTTGATGTGGCTGGCATTTCCCTCTCCGGCTGGCCGGGCTCCGTGGGTGCAGGCGTTGGCGCCACTTCGGCCACCTCCTTGCCCTTGAGTCCGTTCGACGGATGTGTCTCCGGTTGGGCACTGTGGCTTATTGGCTCGACATGGGCATCACAGGAGGAGCGCGCTGGCAGCGCTGGAGGCGTTGGTGGCGGTGTCACCGACATGGCCTCCACTGTGCTGCCCAGGCACTCGCATCCAGAATTGGAGAAACTGGTCTTGGACAGCAGCGGGCTGCTGAGGAGCGGCGTCTTGCCGCTGGCCTCGGGCTTCAGGTCAACGACGACTGTAGCGGCGGCGGCGGCCGCGGTGTCCATGCCTTGCGGATGCCTTCAATTCCTCTCGGTTTCGGTTACGTGCTCGACTACGGTATCCGTTGCGTACTGGAATACGGATTCCGATTTCGTTTCGATTTCGATTTCGGTTCCGTTGCGATTTCGCCGTTTCCGTTTCCGGTTAGCTAGCGGGGCACAGGCACAGGCAGAGGCAGCGGCACCAGCTGAAAGCGAAAGCCAAACGTCATTAATTATAGATCCCTCATGCAGATGTTACGTATGTCTTGGCCAAAAAAAGCACGTGCTGGTGTGTGCGACAGCGATGGCTATAGTTGAAACAAAAAGGAAATCCAGAAAGGAAGCTATTTTCAGCCATACGAAGTTGTGATACTCTTGTTATAAAAAATAATTACGCTTTTGTTTAAGGACCGATTAGCATGATTTTTAAATCTGCAGTGCGTGCATTAATTTTAAGATGTTTAAAAGTATTTTTAGATACATTCTGCTGAGGATGCTAATGAAGAAATATACAGATGAAAAGCTTCAAAGAAAATGCTAGTGGTTAACAAAAATCTTAAATACAAACAGGTTTAAAGAGGACTACAAAATTGTATGGCATACTTTTGGACACTTTTCAAATGGATTCAAGAGTCAAGCGGAAGCTTAACGAACTTTTGATCAAATTTATAATACCCTGCAAGGGAAAAGGAAGAAAATGAAAAGGAAAACGAGACCAGGACAATGTCAACACACACAGAGACGCGCAGGCCAGGACACACGCTCACAGCCCAGCAGCAGCCTCGTGACCCAAAAAGGCCTGCGCCGAGTGCGCGTGGGTGTGTGTGAGTGTGAATGTGTGTGCAATTGAATATTCCATGGGAATCACGCGAGTCTTGGATTAGGCCCCAATACCACCAGCTCCCGGGCCCGGGCAAAAATCGATAAAACGTACTCTACTCACTTCTGCCATGGGACGCGCACACACGTTCCTCCGAGCGAATCCTCCAGCAAGGATGCTCGCACTCCGATTCGGATACGGATTCGGATTTGACGTATTCTTGGGACTTGGAGCTATGCTAAGACCAGGGCTTTTCACGCAAATCGCAGCAGCTCTGGATCCGTGGGCGGGGCATATCGTTCACTCAATTATTTAGCCATTCGAATGGCGGTCTTCTGGCTATAATTATACCTATAACGGTAACAATAACGGCGGTTGCTCCGGTGGCCTTTTTTATCCAATGGTGGTTTGGCTGGTAGACTTTTCGAGACGCCAGGCGACGACGACGACCAAAAAAATTAGGGAACGCGGGACACGGAAGCGAGACGAGACGAGGAGGACGGCCACACGACCGCACAGATGACCGTTGGGGCAGGCACGTCAGTCAGTATCTGACTGAGCGTGGGCACACGATAACGATACCGTTATTCCGCGCTGGCGTTTTGTTATGCAATTGAGCGAGATTGCCCCGTATTTTTATTGGGCGCCAAAGCAGCGCAGGCGCAGAGTTGAACACGAGGCCGTCAGCTGTTTCCGGGCATACAAATGGTAAATATAAAAATGTTGCTTCAAGCTGTATATTTTATGTTTAATCTCTTCTATTTGTTTAATTTTTTGTCTGTATTGAAATTTAAATTTGAATTTTCACCGCCAAATTTCACTAAACCGTTGGACTATGTGGCAACTCTACGCATGTCACAAGCTTTTCAACACTGATATTTTATTTAGCACTATCCAGAATTTTGCTCACGGCACAGGCAAATAATTAATTAATTATCACACCACGTGTATTATCTAGCTTAAGAAGGGTTGGTTTTTGGTATTTTTAAAATTACGATTTCACCGACTAAACTAGGTGGCAACTTTTACCAACACTGCTCGTTCGCGCCCGGGTAGGCAGCCTGGCAACTCGCCTCGTGGAAGAAGCAGAAGAATCAGCTGCCGACGCGCTTCGCTTGATGCAATTCAATTTTTTGTACGTTGCTGCGTTTTCTGCGGTTTAAGTTACACTACTTGCATTACCAGCTATTAATAAGACTGACTAGCCAAGTTAAGGCCCCAGGTGTTGGAGGAACCGCTGAGAAGCTGGCAGTGATGGAAGCGCAGCAGCAAGCGTAAAAAGGCGCCAAAAAGAGGAGGGTGAATAGAAAACAACAGGCCAAAAACCAATGCAACAGCTACCTACCAAGGATAAACTCATGCACCCCGGCAGCCCGAAGAAGCAAGCGAATTTCTCCTGGCATTCGCTTACGACGCTCCTTAGCGGCCTGTGGCGTCGCCTATATTCGCCCCGATCGCCGTACTTAGCGCTCCCAGCGCCTCCGCCGCCGCCACCAGTGTTGGCCCCACCAGTTCCTACAACGCCGCGCCAGCAAAACGAAGAGGTAAGATAAGAGAAAAGCCTGTCCAGAGATATCCAAATACGACCTGACGGTGGAAAATCGCTTCACCCATACACGCACGCGCCAGCCTTGTGTCAATGTGAACGAACGGCTGATTTCGCACGCCGTTGCGTCGGGACTGCCAACTCGCTGGCAGCTTACTTTCCCCCGCTAATTACTTAATTGCTCTAACTAAAACTATCTAAACACACTTCAAACCGCAATTTAAAAATCCCTCGCAAACAAAAACAAATATTATATATATATATATATATATGTATATGTGATAGCCCGCTTGCACAGAGTCGTGACGAGTTGGCAGCACTGTCGGATCCGCAGCTAGACCAATATGGCAGCTCTGCTTCACAGACGTGGTGAATATACTACCAAGTGACGTGAATTTTAGGAAAAAAACACACTATTTTCATCGCAAACGCACAACAATTGGAGCCTGCCAATAGCCCAGGAGGCCTTGCAACATTACAACCCAGCAGTGGCCGCGAAGGGTTCCCAGCCAGCGACGGCGTAAATTGTACAGTAGCAGAAACAACACAAGCAGCGACGGCGACAACGCTTTGGCCAAGCGCAACAACAATTCCAGAGCCAGCGGTGCGCATACAACAAAAATCAATTTTCGCGCTCGTGAAAAGCAAAAAGCAAGCCAGATAAAAGGTATATGTTTGCCTGGTTAAAATGTGAAAATGCACAAAATGGGAAAGCCAATGATTACTTTAGTGCTAATGTGTTTTTCCACACACCAACACTGGCGCAAAGCACTGCAATTTGGCTTTGCGCGCTTGTGTATGTGTGTGCGTGCCTGCCAGCCAGCCAGCTGTATGGCCACTGTACTCACCTCTGTTGGGAACAGATCGAGGGGGGTGGCGGGGTGACTTTGAACAGCTTTACCTTACAGCTCCTAAGTACATAAATATAATTGTGTGTGTGTTATACAGGGCCTAGTTGCTCCGAGCCCACCGTCACAGTCACCTATCTATTTAACCTATCTGTTCTATGTGTTCTATCAGATGCCCCGAACACGGAGACGCCACCACTCAAGGGATCGATCCTCGGCGGGCACACGAGACAAGCGTCGACGACTCGATACTGCTGAGCACTCGCCACCCATACCAGAGGCACCATCGCCGTAAGTTCGCCACAAAGATCTATCCGGCTCTCTTTCTATCTGACTGCTCTCGGGGATGTGTGAGGGCATCCGTTGGGAGGAGGTGACTCCCCGCGGATTACTCACACATCTCGAAGGCACCTCATCTCAGTACTCAGACACTGATTTCCCCCCTCCTGCTTCAACAGGCCGCGCATCACCAACACACATCACACCCGGTCGGCGGCCATGCGAAGGCGACACGAGCTCGATGCCAAGAAGGCCCAAATAGCCAAGGAGCCCACGTAAGTAAATGGGATGGGTGACGGGCTCACAAGCTTAATTGGGGATGTCACAAGAATCTATTCCTAGTTGGGAGAACTATAGAAATTTTTAAAAATGTGACAGAAATATCTGTGACTTGATAAACACAATGCAAAAATGATTTTAAATGTACTTTCTCGATGATTATATGATCATAACAAACGATTTTTGAATTTAGAAAGAATTCGAATTAATGTTTTGGCTGTCGGAATAGCCTTACATCTGTGCAACTGTTTCTATTTTCGCATTCCCTTGAAGGGTATTATAATTTCAGTCAGAAGCTTGAAACTCTATGAAGAAGTTATTTCAGACCCTATAAACCTATAAACTTGATAAGCATTAACAGCCGAATTGACCTAGCTATGTCTGGATAAATTTTAATTTTTTGTCAAAATTTTGAAAATTTTATAAGGGGTTACATCGTTAAAATTGTAAAAAAAAATGATAAAATTTTACATTTATTTAATTTTAAAATTTAGTATTCAGTTTTGTTAACCCTGTAAAAGCTAACACAAAAAGGCTATCCGAGTTGAAATTAATGATTTTTTGGCTTAATTTTGATCGATTTCCTATTTGATCTCATGGCCCATTTGAATTATGCAAGGGTAAACATACTTTGGCTTCACAAAGTTATCCTCCTTTCTTCTTTTATTAATAATATTGAATTTAGTCAAATTTCAAGCAATCTTATGTTTCTAGTTTTCAAATAATTGAGTTTATATTATTGTTGTCTTAATTTATTGATTTCTTTTGCATACGTTTGCATACAGCGAAAGTAATCAGTTAATCACGTGATTCAGTCAAAGGAACTCACGTAGGGTCAAGGTTCACAAATACTAAGCAATCTAAACTCTACACAAGTATTTTGTATACTTAGTACTGATAACTATAGTAATGAAGAAGCTTAGAAAACAAAGAAGCATGAGTGATATTTGGAAAACATGCCAGCCTAATGTTCTATGCTCGTATTTAGTAATTTTTTATTATATTTACCTGTGTGTACACACTGATTCAAACCAGGCACAGTGTCTTACCCCATTGGTAAACCTTTCTTTTGAACGAAAATCCCCGTCTGGTTCGGGCAAACAGGCTCTGCCTACTACTGATCCACTGTGGTATTTCCCCAGCTGTCGGAGCGCAGTGACAACCCGAGTGTCCTGCCCACGCAGCTCCTTGGAACTCGCTTTCTTTCAATGGCTTGTAAACGGTCATGTCTTTAATGGTCCACGGGGCCATAAAGAAGTGCCGCTCGAGCAGCAGGAGCAGCGAGAGAGACAAATTAACATCCGACCTTATAAGGCAAGTGAAATCTCGGCTGCTGCTGGTTCCTGCAAGTGAAGAGTCATCCTCTTCAGTCGGCTTACTGTAAATTAATGCGCAGAATCAGCGATTTCTTTGTGCGCCGATGACCCCCTTTGGGAGGCTGGGACGCTGGCTTAAAACGTGGGCGGTGGATCTGGCAGATCCTGGCGGGTTGTCCGATGCATTTCCTTGGCTTAATTTATGCGCCTGCGTATTTAAGGCGTATTTGCATATTACTCAAAACAACGGACAACTGAGGCGCGACGTTGTCGCAATTTATTTATTGTTTAATGCACTTGGCCTGTCCTTTTTAGGTAGTTGCAGCAAGAAAGCATCTCCTCGTCCCGCGCTCTGTGGGGAGGGAGTTGGCTTAATCAGAATCGCATTTTGTAATTTATAAGCCACTAGCAGCGACCGCTTTCTTTGTCGATAAAATGACGTTTTCATTTGCGGACCAACACTGTACACTGTCATTGTTTATTAACCTTTTGCATTTGCCATAAAACACGCTTGCCAAGTGTTCAGCAGCAGATTAATCGACCTGGCCTGGCTCATTACTCAGGCAAGCGATGGTGACATCTTGCAACGCGGAAGTGGCCGAAAAACGCACTCCAAATATGAAAATCAATCTGAATGATAAGGCTGTTCGGCCCGGGGAATAGTTCCGCTTTCCTCATGCTTTATTGTCTCCTGATCGTTTTCAATTTCAATTGCAATCATCTTTTATTTAAATTACAAGCCATCAATTGGGCTGGCGGGCGTACGCACTGTGCGGCGACGGCGAATTCGGAGCGTGTTTGCTCGATCGCTTTGGCTCGCCTGTAAACTGGAAATGTGCGCACCGATATCGAGCGGCAGCGGTGAGCGGTGAGCGGGAGCAGCAGGCCAGCGAGCCAACCAACCGACACTTGTTCGCTGCCAACTTGTCGCTGGGCTGCTCAGTCGCAACGACAACTCGCAAGCGTATGGAGGTGCTGGCTTCATCGCTCGTCGTCGCCGCCGTCGTGCAACAACCGCCGCCAAGTGTTTTCTGAAAGAAATGTACAACAATATCTCGTCAATTATTGTTCATAATCTTCATAACAAATGCAGCTGTCAAGTGTGTGTGTGTGTGTGGCCGAGTGTGTGTGTGATTTGTGCGATTTCCCCCGTGATTTGTTTATGCATCCTGGCCAAACATAATAATTATTATTAGCGAAGACCCTGTGCCTCTGGAATTTTAATTCAAATTCAAATCCCCAAATCATTTTGAGAATTTTCAATGCTGTGCTACCAGGGGAGGCCGTTAGTAGTAGTCGCCAATGAGGCGGGGAAACAAACCTTAGGCAACACGAACTAACTAAACCATGATAAGATATCACCAACTATGACGACGCCTACGACTTATCAAAAGACGAGTTGCACTGGATGACTGTATGATTGGATAGATGGATGGATGGATGTGGACGGACTTGCTGGAACCGGACGTGCTGATTGTGCTTTTATTGAGAAAGGGATTTTGCACGCAGTTCCGATACCATTACTCATAGCGTCACAACAAGTTGGTTTTGTCTGTCGGTTCGGTTCAAACTGCTGTTTCTGTTTCTGTTTCGGGTTTTCTTGTTGTTGTTTGTTGACCCGTTTTGTGGCGACTTGTGTTTCCTTTTTGAATCAGGTTAAAAAAGTAAAAATTGTGAAAACTGGTCGGAAGAGGACCTGTTCGGCGGCACCGCCAGCCGGGTCTTTGAGCCCGTGTAGGCGCAGGCGCAGGCGCAGACACTTTCTACCAGCTTATTTCTTGCTCTTTTGGTGAATTGCATAAAGCCAAAAGCCTTAACTGGTTGCGCTTTTGGGGGTCTTATCAATGAACTTGCCACCAGTGGTTCGTGGTAGTCCGTAGTCCGTGGTCCGTTGCTAAAGGCCAATTGGATTTGCCGCAGACTAAATCGCAGCCAAGGTTCAGGGCTATTTTGGTGGCTAATTCAATTGTGGCCCTCGCTTGCGCCCCTGCTGACAGGCCAAAATGAAAACTAAATGCGGCCAGAGTGAAGTCGCACAAATGCAGCAGCCGCGACCCCGGGGGCTGATTGGGTGCCCGAAGTGAGTGGCCAAGTCATAAGCCATCGAGAACGTGTTAATTACACGCGTCTCGACCAGCAGCGGGAAAAGTGTTTGATAATTAATTGAAACAAAAGGCTAGACCAGGCCCTGGAATCTGTCTGGGTGCCGTATGTGTTGTATATGAATAGTCTACTCGGGACAGGCCAAGTGTGTGCACAGCATTGAAAATTAAGGCTAACGAAGAAAAAATTTACAAATTCAAACAGCCAGCGATATATACAAGTGATAACGATAAAGCGAGAGAGATAAGCGATCTTCGAAGTGCACGCGTTTAAAGTAAACGTTCACCAGTTTAAATTTCAACGCCAATTCTAAAAAGATCACAAGCGTCAAATAAAAATAAAATCCAACATCATTTGCCCGAAGCAAACATCGGCAATTACGAATAATTAACCAACGAGCGAGTCGCCTATTTAACAACGAAATAAAATATAATAATAGTAATAATAATAAAAAAGCTAACAAAATGCCCGTCGTTGGACAGCAGTATGGAAATGGCTTTCGGCCATATAGCTCCTTTCGAGTGCCGCGCGGTAGTTGTGGCTTCAACAACAACCACAACAGCAACAGCTCCAACGGCAGCTCCAACAACAATCCCGGCAACAGCAGCAACATGGGAGCAACTCCAGCCCAACCCCTGAGCAGCAATGGTGCAAACCGAACGATGGTGAAATCGGTGCCAGGCAGGAACAATAACATGACTGCCGGTTCATCCTCTACATCGACAGCTTCCTCGAGTTCCTCGATCCATCAGCAGGGCGTGACTAGTAACAGTAGCGGCAACTTTATTCGCCAGCAGCCCTGGCGAAGCAGCTATTGCAGCAGCAACCGCCACAAGTTGCAAGCGGACCACCAGCAGCAGCAACAGCAGCTGCAACTGCAGCCAAATCAGCGATTAGTGAGCGGCGGCAGTGTGAAACCGCTGACACCCAAACTCATCCGCCGCATCGAAACCACCTGCTCCGCCACCGGGCCCACACGCCACTGCAAAGCGAGGGCTCCGCCACCGCCGCCTATGCAGGCTCCACGCCCTGTCACTACGCCCAGCACTGCCAGGAAACAGTATCAGCCTACGGGCAATGCAACATCAATATCCCAGCAACCGTTGGGCACCCCCACCAGTCAGAAGCGAACCCACCAGGCGGGCAGGTCGGCCGCCAAGGAGAATTGTCCGGCACGAGTGGGTCAGCGATCCAGCAAGAATTACCCGGCACCGCAACCGCCTCTGCCAGCGCGCAGGCAGGTGGCCAACAATGATCTCACCAATGGAGGAGCCAGCAAGGCCACTCCTCTGGCCCAGCGCCGTCAGCTGCCGGCTACGCCCAAGCTAAGCCTGAAGCAACAGCGCAACGGGTGCACTCACAATGGAGAGGGAGCTGGCTCCTCGACTGGGTCCAGTGATTCCCACGACTCTCCGCGCCTCAAGAAGGCCTTTTCGAACAAGTTCCCCCAGGGATTGCCCTTCGAGGAGGAGTTCTACGGTCGCAATCGCTCCTACTCGCAATCCTCCAGCAACTATAGTTTCTACAGCTCCGTGGGTGCGCCTACCACTCCCCACGATGATGACGATGACGACAGGGATGTGGTACAGAATGGACGTGCCCACTGTGATGAGGATGATGAGTTCCAAAGGAAGCCAGCCACTGACGAGTCACTCTACGTGGACTTCTCGAAAATGGTGCACAGCCACCAGCAGCGTCAGTATGTGCCGGCTAGCTCCTGGATAAGAGCCTCCCCGGATGAGGATGAGCTGATCAGGACCAAGACAACAAGTCAGTTAACCCCTGCCCAGCAGCGAAGGAGGAACAGCAAGTATGCCCGCTCCATGCACGAGTATTTGTACAGCGATGAGACAGAACAGGCGAGGACCAAGCATCGTCTCTCCGTGGTGGATGAACCAGAGGATGGCTACTACAGCTATGCTGCGGGAACGCCAGAGCCACACCCTTCGCCACCGCCTACGCCCAGGACGGACATCTATGTGGCCGCAGCCTCGTGGGCGCCCAAGCCGCTCTATCCCGACCGCGTGCTGTTGCCCCCGGCGGATGGTAACAACAATCACCAGAAGCACCACCACCAGCACCAGCAACAGCAGCGTCGTCGTCCAGAGCACTTGGGGTCCACGACGTGTGAGTATAAGTGAGTGTCTCTCCAGCATGCGGAAACCAAAGATTGAAAACTGGAGCTAGCCTTGAGTGGCATTCAGCTTGCTGACTAAGCGTTCTGTCCGCACTTCATTTAAAGTCGCCTCCCCTTGCTGTGTCTTCTCCGTCTTGAGCTCGACCCAACTCAACTCAATCTCGTTCTCGATGATGTTTGTTTTCAGCTTTATTTTATTTTGTTTTTTATCCATTTGTTATTGTTGGCGTTGTGCCGCTACGATTCGGTTCAAGATCTCTCCGCCAAATTTGGTCAAGCGCACACCGCCCCTACTTGTGAGCTGCGCTCGCAAAGCATCTAAGCTCCTCCGTCCGGCTCATTAGGCAACCTAAGCGCCGGGCTGGTAAACTGCTGCCAAGTTTTTAACTTCGAGCGCCGACATACACTTCATTTTGGGAGGGAGTTTGTGCTGTCAGCCCATTTGGTGTCTCTTTGTTGACTTTGAGCCGCCCAAGAGTCTCAACCTCGTTGGGCAGTTTCCCATGTTAAAAGTTCTACCTGCCTGCATGGAGATCATTCGACAGAGCAGATGATTTCTGAATTTGTATGGCATTAAAGATTTAATCAATTAGCACATTTTAAACTACTTTATTTGAGTTAGGTTTCTTACTGGAGTAGAATTCTCGGAGTTTGTGCAAGGTCTTGAAAAATGAGATGTATAAATTAGAATTTGTTAACAATTCAATCAGTTACTTTTCTTATTGAGAACTCCCAAGTTCGTTTACTATTACGACCATTCCTTTTGAAATTCCTGACCAGGCTCTTCCTGCCTCAAAGGCATTCTTTGGTAGCCTTTGTGGAGAATATTTGTCCAGCAATTATGTCAGCATCTGGCCAAAAGAAATCCCCTCACTCTTGTCACTGTCGAAGGGAGGGGGCCCCAATGGCCTCTTAATTTACCTTTTCGTTTTGTATATTTGTCTTGCTTCTGTTTGGCTTTTGCTTGGGTTCATTTATCTGACGTTTATCGCGATCTCGGAACAAAACCGGACCTATCTCCGCAGATCCATATACGATCATAATCGCTGCTGCTACTGCCGGCCGCTGGGGCAGCCAACTAAAAGCTGACAATAAAGCTTAGATCTTGAGCTCACAGTTCTCTCGAATCAATTTCCGACAGCGCAAGGCAGGCCTACAAAAAATAAAATAAAAAGCGATCAGACCGAAAACAAAAGTGAATAATGGATGCAACTTTCAGAGCCAAACGAAATGCTTTCAATGTATTTTATTGACTTCCTATAAGCAGTCAGCCGAAAGGTGATTGACTACGCACAAAAACAAAACAGCAGGCTCGGATAAATCACGAAAATAAAATAAAATACAATGTGCAGTATTGAGAGATCTTCTAGACTTGATTTAAATTGCACAACAAAAAAATGTTTATCGCTTCCTTTTACAGAGTATGGAGAGAAGCGGGGGACATTTTGGCATATTTAATTTGGCCTGTTGTTGAATTCGCTTAACTGTTGTTTGTTTTCGTTAACAGTAATGGCCGGCCAGGTCCGATCGCGAGGGGGTAGGAGGTAAGCGATCTCGGCGTACATTTCATTACGTTCATTGAACCGGACGATCTCTCTTGTTACCCACCGATCCCAACTGACTCAGACCCAGACCCAGACCCAGACAACACTGGCTGCCTGCTTGAACCCGGCATGAGCGACGGTTGGGAAAGGCAAGCCATGACACTTCCTCCTCCTCCTCCTCAGAGCCTCCTCGGAGGCTCCTACTTCACTCTTTTTCCCCGACTGACGCACAAAGGCCGTACCATTATTATTATTATTATTTGCACTGCTGCTCATCTTGCTAAATGCCCCGCCAAGTGCTTATTGATGGTTTGTCTTCCCTCGAACTGAATGTTTGCGCAGACGCAACCAATGACCTTGCAATTGGCCAACGTCACCTCCAGAGTGCTCACCTGGAGCTGACCATCGCCCTCAATTCAAGAGCTGATGTGGTGTGCCACCCAAATGGATTTGCATAATCCGGCAGCTGTGTGTTTGGGCTGCTAACATACTTGGGCCACTTACTCATTCTTTGTTAATAATTTTAGCTTTTCCTCAGTTATATGGCAATATTTGTAACGGCATTTCTTTTGTCATTTAAGGCGCGCGACAATCATTTGCATTTTATAAAAACTCCCCGACTCCCGACCCCTTTAACTTTTGGTGGGGGACAAACCAAAAATTCCGGTTTCCCATTATGTTTCACTTGAAGACAAAGATATATGTGGTATGGTACTGCCTTCTGGCCTAATCAATGAGCAGCCAAAACAAAAACAAAAAATATCTTGGCAAATAATCACATTCAAGTTCTGGCTACCAGGGTTGGGATACCACACTTTGGGAACTGTTTAAAGTTGTAGGAAGAGAAGATAAATGGACATTTAAACATGTCATCAATGAGTGGATCGAAAATCACAATTATTCCATATTTGGTTACTCGAGAAGTCGGATTTAAATTATGGTAAATTGGAATTTAATATGAGAATTTATTGCTATTTCCGTGTGTGTCTCTAAACATTATCTGAATATTTCTATATTTAAGCGAAGTGTAAACCTTGGTTTCCTTAACAATTCTTTTGGTAAAACAAATTCCATTCATTGGCCTTTGAAGCCTACATGGAATATAGTTCATGAACCAAGAAAGTTACCCTTGGGCTTTTTATAGGTCTCGGAGGTTTATTGATCCGACTTGAAGAAATTATTTTTGGCATTCCATCTGAGATGAACTGTCCATCAAAAAACAATATGAATATTTATTGAGCTGACATGCCATAAATAGTTCACGAACCATGATGATGGCCAGCCTTGAACCATCCCTAGCATTTCTTGGGCTATTCAACCTTTTTCGGGTATTTTCTGTGCATAAAGCAAAAGTGACGCATAATGTCTGCAGTTCAATGGAAGCAAAAATTCAATTTTTGAATTCAATTGTTAACGCTTTTTTTTTGTATTTGTATAATTCGTAGGAGCATGAGGGCGCCGGGTATTGGAGGGCACATATATCGCATATGTGCGCTACGCTTTGGTTAATGTATTTATGGCATTTTCAGGGTCAACACAATAGCAACAAAAAAAAAAAAAGATGAAAAATCTTGCGAGCCGCAACAAATGTTTGTCGCCGTCGATTGGCAGTGCAGTCAGCAGCTCTGGGTTGGTGGGTTTAAAGTGTCTCAGCTGCTCTATGTAAATCATGAAACAAAAAACTGGTTTTCGAATGATTAATTTCATAATTCAATAACAGCAGTGCGAGCGTATAAGAAACTATTTTCATTGGGTTTTCTGTATGTCTCTCCAGTTGAATTCTCGTTCTCGTTCTTCTTTTAGAGAGAGAGAATTGCAAAAGTTCAGCTCGCAGGGGGTTATTGTTCTCAAAGTCAAGTTAATACTCCTATCTCAGCTGTGGGATCTTAATGCTTAAAGCAACCAGTAATCGTTGTCGCAGATTCTTAATCTCAAAAGGTGGTGCACAAGGTGTACATGATTTGTACAAATTGCAGGCCATTAAGGAAGTTGGCCAAGACAATGGGGTTTGATTATTCACCTATAATAAAGGAAAAGCTCTCTACTGTGCGGAAACCTAATTGACAACAAGACTCGGTCAAGGTCGTTGGATTCTTTCTAGGAAGTGATGGTGTCCACATGTGCGGGGAATGATGATAAGACCAGAAATGGGTTTGGCCTGGCCATAAAGTTGTTGTCTCATCTGAGTGCCTGTGCGAAAAGTCGAGGCCAACAATATAGAATCCCCGGTGTGTGCCTCAAGGGCGAGCAGTTTACTGACTGAGAAACTCCATAAATATGGGCGCGAATGCAATATTAATATAGCGACTGTTGTCGGCATAGAATAAAGATTTCTCCATCCTTGAAGATCGCTACAATCGATCACAGAATTTCACTACAGTGTGAATAGCCTCTTTAGGGCAAGTAACTTTGTATCGGGCTCGTATCTTATCTTGTTTCCCACAGGCTGTCATAACTTATTACCACGCCGGGTAATAAAACAGTCGAATTCCTACGATTACCCCACGATCAGACGAAACCCAAATCATAATCTATACCAGAGCATTCCTGGCTACCGCGGTATCATATTTTAGACTATTATTTCTCCCGATATCTTATCTCTTGTCGAGCCACCATATCAGAGTTTTCCCGGCATGACAAGGGACAATCCCTTTGTTTACATTTACACTTGGGTTTATGGTGGCGGTGGACGCGTTGAACCCATTATTTGTTCTCTTTTAGGTCAAAGATATTATTTTATGAGGCTTTTTCATTTTATTAGTCAAGCTTTCGACCTGTTGGTCGACTGCCTTGAGTGAAATATTGAGCCAATTACCTTACACAACGCCGATCTGAAATGCTCGAGTCCAAATTGGGAAGCTATTATGAACTTGCTTTGCCATTCGCTTCCTACCCGCCATCTCTGCTCCCACCCCCTCGCACACTTTGGTGTTTCGAAATCGGAATCGGATTCTGGATCTGATTCAGCCAACGAATCATTAATATCCAATTACAGTTGGCCATAAAAGCTGTTCTAATTTTCACGCAGCGCGTCATTAATCATAAATCAAAACGCCGAAAGAGTTTTGTGCTACCATGAAGCTGTTCCTTTTATTAACTCACGAGTGGCCGTAAGCGGCTTTTCGGCGACAGACGCCAGTCAGAGATCACCAATCGGTTCAATTCGGTTCGTTTCTTGGCCAAGAGTCTTTCCAGCCTACGGATAGATCCCAGATACAGAGCCCAGAGCACCGAGCGTGTGCGCTCAAGTTGATTTCTTGGAGTGTGCGCAGGCGTTGTTGAGCTTTTGTCATGTAGCTGGCAGATACTTTGAGAGTACAGATACTATAATATCTAGATGCAGCTGTGTGCAGGTCGGAACCAAAATATACGAAAAAAAAAAAACGAACGAATGTGTGTGCTCGTGTCGTACTTGTAGTCAAAGTCACTTTCAGCTTCAGTTCGTTCGGTTCTGTGTTTCTCATAATTTGTGCCCAAATTTAGATGCTTTTTGGGGGACACGTGGGCGGGTTTTCTTTCGTAATCGCTCAATGAGAGTTTGTTGGCTGGCTGGCTGACTGACTGGTTGCTTTTGCCTTATTAGCATACGGCTTCTTGACTTCTTGGTCTTCGGGCTCTCTGCATAGGTCAGTTATCTCTCGATCAGCTGATTCATGCCAAGATCTCTGCCCACCCGCACTTGGTCTGGGCTACCGGGGTGGGTGTGGTGAGTGGATGTAACATGAGCATGAACATGAGCCGCCTGCCAGCCGAGCTACCGATGTTATTGACACAGTTTCTGGCCTCGATCAAAGCTGCTGCTGGGTTGCTGGGCTCTGCCCGCTGGGAGCCAAGAGTGCTGGGCTGCTTCACATTGTGTCATTCCCCGGACCATGAAGTACTCTCAAAGGCATTTCGCTTAAAGGTGGGCCGCCGCCAGATAGCCAGCTGAGAGGTAGCCATCCGGCCGAGTTGATTAACTTGATTGGTAACGCAAAACCGATTCGCCAACACACGTCTCGCTAGCTCGCTGGCTCGTTGGCTCGCCGGCCGCCGGTGGCTTAAGAATCTGGAATCCGGCGGCAAGGCGAGGAGCGTGGAGCAGCTTAGCGGCTAAGTAGCTTTCCATGTTGTCCATGCTCTGGGCGTTGCTCCAAGGACGGCCATTCATCTGTCGCCTGGGAGGTTTATTAGGTAATAATAATTCTCGCTAATGGAACTTTCTTTTTTAATTTATTTTGCAGTTTCGATGACAGCATCTCATCCCGCCGACGCAAGGAGCGCTCGAAGCGGTCGCATCGCAAGTCGCCAGCCTCGAGCCGGCGGCAGCATAAGTACCGATATCGGGACGAGGCCTCCCATTCGAGCTCCCGTCGGAGGCACCGCGACCGCCCCAAGGACGAGCGCGACAGTGGCCGCCAGAATCGTCAGTCGCAGGCTAAGGTAAAAACTTTTCATTTTATATTCAACACACCACACATAGCAAAACAAGTGAAAATTGTAGGCAGGGCACCGAAAAAAACAAATGAAAACCAAGAAAAAAATCTTAAACTAAAGTCACAGCGAAAGCTATAAGCAAAACAAAATGGTAAAAGAACAAATTAAATCGACTAATATCACGTATACGACCGACTGTCACTTGGGACCGAACACATAGATTATTTTAGTGAATTTCTTGTTGTGCGCCTTCTGCGTGCATTGCCAAAATCAGTATGTGCCGGATCAGTATCTAGGCATCTAGAGATTGGCCCCATCCCACACAGAAAGCACTCCCATCTCCAATCCCAACCATGCTGTTCTTCAAGCGTTATCTGGAGAAGTCCCAGCAGGTGGCCGATCACTTCGAGAGCTCCCAGATTCCCTGCTACATCAAGATGCGTGAGCTGCCGGCGCCACCGTGCGTCGATCACTGCCGGGATCTGATCTTGGCTAGCTGTCCGCTGCGCTTTATGCCATACACCGAGGACTGGATAGTGGTCGAGTACTTTGCAGATCATGATAGCGATTATCTAGTAAGCATGTCCCGCCCTTTGTCACCGATCGAACCATCATGTTTTGTTATCTATCGATCCCTCGACCTCTGTCTCCCCTTTGTTGACTAACCTAATCGCTATACGCAGTGTGTTTGTGCTCGATTCTCGACTACAAGTCGTCGAGTGATGGATCAATGGAGTGGATCACTGATCATGATTGCCTGCCATTGCACTCGCCGCCGGCTCTCTTCTTTCTTATCTATGCGGCGTTGTGCTAAATTGGTCACTACAAGTGTCACATTGCCTCTGGTTGGTTCCTCTTCTTCACTTCTCTTGTGGCACAGTGGTAGTGCAATCAATGGATGAGACTCCAATTGAATGTGGAAACAATCAGGCCTTCAGGGCTCTAAGCACTTGAAATCTCTGGGAGTGCCATGAATTGATAAGATAGTAGTACTTCGGTGGACATATCTTTGCTGAGTTAAAGTGTGTTTAGCAAGTTTATGAAATTTTACTGAATACGATTGCATTTTATTACATGTTACCTAATCAATAGAAACCAGTAAAACAAACTAAAGATTAAAATTAAATGATAAGAGGTTCAGTGATCTTTATAAATGAAACTAGCTTATGCTAATAATATTACTTTAGAGATCATGATCACTAATAAAACCGAACTTAAAACAAGAAAGGAAGCTAACTTCGGCACGCCGAAGTTTATATACCCTTGCAGATAGAACTTCTATGAATAGGAATCCATACAATATAAATTATATATATTTGTGTTAAAAAACAATGAAGTAATACCTGCTTTCATTTCATTCACCTATACATATTATATTTGCAGTTTTACATCCACAGATTTGCATTTTTCCTCTACATCAAACGATCGTTTGTATGGCACCTATATGATATAGTCGTCCGATTTTTATGAAATTTGCCACAAAATTTAAGACTTATATAAAATGGCTATACCTCAAATTTGATGAAAATCAGCTGAAAACTAAAAAAGTTATAAATTTAATTGTATTAATTTCTCGATCGTTCCTATGGGAGCTATATGATATAGTAATCCGATTTTCATAAAATTTTACACAAAATTTTAGAATAATATAAAATGGCTATATTTTAAATTTGATTAAATTCTGTTGAAAACTGAAAATGTTATACTTATTAATTGAATTAATTTCTCGATCGTTCCTATGGGAGCTATATGATATAGTCGTCCGATTTTCATAAAATTTTACACAAAATTGTAGAATAATATGAAATGGCTATATCTCAAATTTGATCAAATTCTGTTGAAAACAGAAAATTTTATAATTTTTTTTGTAAAACTTTTCCGATCATTCCTATGACAGCTATATGATATAGTCGTCCGATCCGGCCCGTTCCGACATATATACGAGTGAGAGTATATAGAAGACTAACTGCAAAGTTTCATTTAGATAGCTTCAAAACTGAGAGACTAGTTTGCGTAGAAACGGACAGACGGACAGACGGACAGACGGACAGACGGACAGACGGACATGGCTAGATCGACTCGGCTGTTGATCCTGATCAAGAATATATATACTTTATATAGTCGGAGGTGCCTCCTTCACTGCGTTGCAAACTTCTGACTGAAATTATAATACCCTGCAAGGGTATAATAAAAAAGAGCCATAAAGCGGAACCTTGAGAATATGTAGAAATTGAGCAATTTCTTAACGATCTTTGACTGTCTTCTCGCAATATGTAAAAAGCTCTTAATTAAGCAAGCAAGATCTTCATAGTTTCCATTCACTGTTGATGGTTCTATATACAGTTTCCCCACCCGTCTCACAACCATACCCCGTTGCTCTAGTTATTTTCGTTAAATTGATCATTTGACATTAACTCGCTGTCGGCGGGCCGAGTTTTCTCCTCTGCTTTTGAGAGATGTGATGTACTGCTGCCTGCTCCTCGCCTGCTTTGCCAGTTGCCCATGTCGCCGCCAATTAAGTGGGCTGAGTAACGCGCATAGTATTCCCAACTCGTCATCAGTTTAGCCCCGCCAAGATTCAGTTCTTTCGGCAGTTGGAGCAGAAGCTCATCATCCGGCATGCGGCGAAAACGGCGAATGGCTTTGGCCTGGAAACGGAGCTGGAGCAGCTGCAGGAGGAGGAGGAGCAGTCTGATGAGGAGTGTGTACCCATCACCCGTTGCCTGCTACTGAAGCGGCAGCGTAATCACTTCGATCTGGTGGCTATCTGTGATATGCCCTGTGATAAGTATGCCGGCGATAATTGGATCGTTGAGGAGTACTTTGTGGACCACAATGACGATTATCTAGTGAGTCACACAGAAACCTATAGAAAAATTTGTCGTATAGAGTCATCTTGGTTTTGCATGATTGGCCGCCTTTTACCTCTACCTTGAATATGGTAATACGGCTTTGGTTGAAATAATAGCACTAAGACAGATTAGATTAGCATTAGTCTTATCAGAGTAGTTCCTTATTTTGTTATTTATTTGCTGTGCAAATCAAAACAAGTTATAATACTTTTCCTGATATAAATCCCTCAAATTAAATGTAAATTTCCTGTAAAATATCCATGTTGCAGTGCTATTATCTTGACCATAGCTATAAGTCTAGTCACAGGGCTAAATTCTCCCTAATACTAACATCATCTCTCCCAAGTCTCTTGATGCGAGAGATGCCTTTGGTGGAGTCTCCTCTCCCGTGGTCTGCGCATGTCCCCCGTTGGGATCCGTGGACCATTTGCTGCTCACAGCTGATGCTGCTGCTGATGGTTCTCCTCCTGGGAGATGCGCGCGCAGCTCCGTGGGCTTTGGGCTTCTTGGGATGTGTGTTGTTGTTTGCCATTTGCTCTAAACTGTTTTCATCTTGCGGCGCCGAAGCTGCCATCACTGCTGCCATTGGGAAATTATAAATACACGCGCGCCGCAGAAAGTTTACGCTCTGCGATCGGTGGCTCTCCTCTTCTTTGGGGCGGTTTTTTCGGCTGAGAATTTTCAAATTTGAGGAAACCGAAACAGATTCGAATCTTCGTTTGTTGGCTGTGTGTCGCCGCCACTGCTTCCATATAAAACTTTGTATATATCGTCGCCATCAGCGGTGTCGTCGCAGCGTCTTCGTCTTTGTCGTGTCACGGTATTGGGATCCCCCGCTCTCCATATACACATATATATATTTATATATATATATATCTATATATCGCCTCCTTTCGCGCACTTTGTTTATCGATGTGTGTGCCTGTGTGTGCGTTCTTGTGTTTTTCTACAACTATATTTTTCTTGTATTATTTGCTTGGGAAGAATCAGAGGAGCATTAAATCATCGAATAGAACAATATTTAGAGGTACATACTACAGGCCTATGGGTAATGCAGAAACGCATTTTTGATCCTCAAAATTCAATCTCAAACAATCGTTGGGCAGCACCGTGACATAATCAAGCAAAGAGAACTAAAACCACAACATCAGAAAACCAGAAAAAATCAACCCAAAAAACTTAAGAACATCAAGTGTTTTAAAAATAAAACTCGAAAAAAGCAACAGAAAAACGAAAACCGAAAAAAACATCAAACAAAATGCAAAGAGTGTTAAGAATAAAGTGCGCGGACTCTGAATTTGTTTAAACAAAATACGAGAGCCAAACTGTTTTTATTGACCCCCCGCGAAACGACGGTGGCGAGTAAATAATTCGAAGCGATATTAAATTTTTGGGATAAGAGCCAGCTGTGGAACATCCAAAAACCATACTGATAGTGAACTTTGCACTTTTTCATCAAGTTTTTGCAATTAGCAGCGAGGCGAAAGATACGTTTTTAGTAGGAAAAGCGCAAATGGGGGAAATGCAATCAGTACACAGGGAAAAATTGAGATTAATTGATGGTCAAGTTACTGAAAAACATGAAATTGATTTTGTTAAAATTTATTTTGATTACGAAACATGATTAATTAGGGGTTTATACCTTAATATTAAATGCAATTTGGGTTATATCCAATGAAATCTTTAAGAAAACAATATTTTTCCCTGTGTTGATGGAAAAGCTGGGGAAATGAAGGAGAAGGCAGAGGCTACGCTGCGGCCAAGCAAATCAAAACAAAAACTCAAAACTAACAAATGCAGAGCAGCAATTGGAGCACACACGTGTGTGTTCGCTGTGTGTGCCACATAGATACAAACTATGCAAGTGTGTGTGTGTGTATGCACCACAGATCGGCGGGGATTATTCATCAGGCTGGTGCTGCCACATCATCTCATAGGTGATCTCTACACCGCTCCTCCTCGGCGTTTTCCTCCTGGTTTCCACCGCTTTCCGCTTAGCTGGCGTTTTCTTTAATTTTTTTTTCTCTAAAGCTATTTTCGTAAGGCTTGCATTTATATTTAGTTGCCACAACAAACTTATAGCGAAAATCCAAGCTACAAGCTTGTACGCGATACAATTTTTGGCCATATGATGCGAACCAAAATAAAAGTCAACTGGGGTGGAAAAGTTTTCCCCCTTAGTTTTTCCAACTCGTCTCTGTGTATGAGTAAGAGATGATGTTTGTGTGTGCTTTCGGTACAGTGAAAGCCAAAGCGTTGAGAGATCAGAGATCAGGAAAATTAATGGGGGAAAAACTAAATTGAATTAAAAAATGCAATCAAGTCCAAAAGCGAATCGAAATGAGATCTCCATCGCTTGATTAAATTGATCAAACTTGTAAATTAACCACTCACCGAGGACACACTGTACTGTGGTACTGTGGCACCGTGTGTACTAGGTATACTGCCCGGCTGCGCCAATTTACGTGCGTCGTTGTCGTTGTTGTCTATTTGTTAAAAATAAAAACAGATTTCGGACGGAACACTGAATGGCAGGGATAGACATGCGGCGCCCAATGAACCCCACCGAGATATCACACATTGGCCAAAAACGATCTCACTCTCTCTCCCTCCAGGGATGGTTCACAGCGCAATATATGTACATATATCCGAGGCAAGGTAGAGAAAGATCCGGATGGGGGGCGCCATATAGTGACCAACAGTGAGCTCATTGCTGTTTACGATTTGTAATTTTGTATATGCTCTATATACCACAACAAATCGGGGGCGATATAGGCTATGTTATATATCGGATGTATGTGGGCGCCAAAGGAAAGTCTTTCAATTAGTAAATCGCGTCGCCGGACATTTGCCAAAATGCCAATGAGACATTGACATTGAGGGTGAGATCGATCTACCGATCGATCCGATCCGATCCGAGTAGTTGCTTTGCAATGTGGACCTATTTTGCGCAGGTTTCCTTTGTGGCCAGCGCTGGCAGCCTCGCGAGTCTCGCCCAGCTAGTCGAACCCAACGCAATTCGAGGGAGTCGTCAGTGCAAGATTAGATAACCAGAGTACTTTTTTCCCTTGGTATCCAGAAGGAGAACTGACCACAACCAATCACCACGACCACGAACCGGAGAGATTGCCATCCCCAGACCGCGGAATGTCCAACGAACTCAGCGAATTGATCGCTCTCGGCTGTCCGGACCTTACGGCCCAGAAGCCAGAGGGTGGTAGCACCAAGATTGAGCTGATCCTTAACACGGAGCGCCGTCTCAGCATCAAACAGATGACGGCCACGGATCTGGCAGCCCTTCGAGCAGCAGCCGCTGCCGAAGCCGAGGCCAGAGCACGGGCACAGGCGGAAGCGGAAGCCAGGGCGATAGCCCAGGAACAATTGCGCCAAGCCCGCGAGGCCGAGTCGAAGGCCAGAGCACGTGCTGCCCTCGAGGTGCAGGCCCAGTTGCAGCGGGTGATGGAGAGCGAGAAGCGCAGGGAGCGGGAAGAGCAGGAGGAACGAGACAGAAAGGCTAAACAGGAGGAAGACGAAGAAGATGAGGAGGAGGAAGACGAAGAAGAAGAAAAGGAGGAGGACTTGGCCAAGGGTTCCCTACCCTCCAATGCAGGTCCGAGGGAACGCATAACCTCGCTGCCCAACATCCTTGACGATGCCATGGAAATGCACCTCTTGAATGTCTCACAGCCCAAAGTCACATCTGGGGATGATTCTCCGCCGCGGAAGAGCACCTCCCACCTGGCCGACTCCATTGAACTGCTCCGTATGCAGCGAGCTGCACGCGATGCCAGATCCCATAATCGAACACGAGAGCGTTCCATTTCGCCGGGTTCGCGTAATCGTGAACGAAGTGCTGCTCCCGATCGTCTCCAGAGTTCTGCGAGTATGAGCAGCTTGGACTCGGCCAGTGTCAGTGCCTCGGCCTCACGACAGCCCAGCAAGGCAGAGAGTCGACGTGGCAGCACATCCAGTGCCTCTGGTGTGGAACCACCTGCGGCAGCACCTGCCCTGGCCTCCAAATTTCCACTCTCCAAAACGGTATCGGCTCCCAATATGATGAATCGAAGAAAAAGCAGTCTCACCTCTCTCTTTCCGGGACCCGCGCCACTGGTGGCCCTGAACCCATGCTGCATACCACTCCGGTGGCTCCACCGCCGGAAGAGGACCACCGTCGAGGGCGAATGGAGGATGGTTATCGTGAGATACCAAGCGGAAAGATGGTGCATCGCACAAAGACTCCACCCCCGGTTGGTGCCAATCTAGGAGTTAACCTGAAGCGAGTAACTGCGCCCAGTGGTTCCATAACTGTCAAGCCCAAGGAGTCACCCATGTTGGGTGTGGTGCTCCGAAAAGTTGAGAAGAAAGTAGTGCCACAAAAAAGTATCCTGGATGACGACAAACCACTCTATCACTTCTCCATTGTGCGCAGCGATCACAAGGAGCATGTGCCCGCCCAGAAGCCAAAGCCGAAGCCTGCTCCTCCAGCTGTTAAACCCAGTCCAGGTGGCATCCTCACCGGTCCCCAGGTGATACGCACAGCGCAGCCCAAACAACCTGTGCCCGTCAAGCCTCAGCGTCCCATGCCCGGAGTGCCCATCACAATAACCAAAATCGAAGGCGACAAGATCATCATTATCAAGAAGATTGTTGTGCCGAAGAACAGTAAGATACCGGAGCAGTATCTGCAGGTTGGTCGTCGTCCAAGTCCACGTCCTCAATGTATTGGTGCTCGCCCTGTGGTTCGTCTGGTGTTTGGTGTCTCCTCCCTTCTGTGTTCCGTACGAAATCTGTTGTATAGAATTTACCTCGATGGTTATAGAAACACACTGAAACACTTGAAATTATAGAGTTAGGCTTTAGAGATCTAAGTAGAACAGGAAGAGTGCAAAGTTATTGCTTCTGTGATTTAAATGAAAAACATGAATCAACGCACATACAAAACACACACTAAAGATAACGCGAAATGAGCTGAATATATGGATTTAGTGGAAGCGGATCCCTTTATTCATACAATCAAGTCGGTTTGCAGTGCGCGATTGTTTCCTATAGATGAGTGAAGATGCGGCCAAGCCAACAAATGCATTGCCAACAGCAGTTTCCGCCGCCCCATCGTCCAACCTAAGGACCAAGGAGGAATCCCTGCCAGCCATGCAGAAACCAACGCCACCGCCGGCCAGTACTGGTCAGCAATTCTTCCAGGTGGTCTCACCACAATTCGCCTCAGTGCTGTCGTCCAGCATACCGGAAAGCAAGTGTGCCGTCCGGTCACCGATCTCCTCACCGCTGGCCATCCGCAAGAGTCGTCCGCCACTTTTGCCGGCAAGTCCCAAGTCCACGCCACCGCTGCCTCGAAAGCATCATCCGCTGGCGTATAATGCGGCCACAGGGACAATCAGCAGTGCGGCAGGAGGTGCGTTGCCTGCACGCCTCATGGCTACCATTGCCTCGAGTCCCGCCTCCAGCATATCGGTGTCCTCCTCCAGTTCACCTTCATCCTCGCCGCCACCTCCAGTGCCCTGTAGGGCGCCAAAGCATGCCAGTAAACCCACTGCTCCTGCAGGGGCTCCTCCGCCATCCAATGAGATTACGCTGGACAAGCTGTTGCAGCAGCAACAGGAGCTGGAGGAGAAGTCGGCGGCGGCCAAGAATAGTGCGCAGATTGATGCTAATTTCTACGATGCCGAAATTGAGATGATGAACAAGTATCTGAAGAGCTTGCCCGACTACAGCGAGTTGGACAGGAAACTGCACCAGGAGTTTCAGGAGTGCGAAGATCTCTACGACAGGCTTAAGCGCCAGCAGCAGCCGCTGGCCAAGTCAATTTCGCAGCAATCGGTGACCAAGGGAACACCAGGTGCCACAGTTCCGGCCATCTCTTCCGGTCTGGCCAAGTCATCGTCCATCAATTTTGCTCATAATCCCAGCAGTCGGGGAACTGCCTCCCGGATGGCCTATCCCTCGATATTCTCACAGCCTGGAGGAGAGCCCAAACTGCAGCGTAGCATCTCTAGTTCCAATATGCCGATAAGTACGCCCACTCCAATGCGTCCGTTGCCCGCGAAGAATGGCCTGCAGAGTGGCTCGAATCTCTCCCTGAACAAGCAGCTGATGAACGAGTTCTGGAGCGAGAATCTAACCAGTTCCCATAAGCGACAAACTCCCAAGCGCACGTTCTGGAACTACGAGAAGATTTGTGGCGCCCAGTTGGGCGATGCCGGTCAGCCCTTTAAGGTGGATGCCAAGACGGCCAAGAAGCTGGCCATCTTTGACCCCACGGTAGCGGAAGCAGCACAGAAAGAGCTACAACGTCCGCAGCAACCGGCTCAGAATCAACCCCACAAGCTGCAGAAGAATGCCTCGCTGTCACACCTGGATCTTAAAGTCCGGCAGGCGGTGACCAAGGATGATTTGTACAAATTGATATGCAACGAGCAATCCCCGTCGACGGGAGCGGGTTTTGTGAGTCGCGTGCCCGTCAAGCAACAGCAGCAGCAACAGCCAGCGGTGAACCAGCAGCCGCAAGTCCTACCCAAAAGCGTGTCCATGACGCATGTACCGGGTGGCAGCCAACCCATGGGAGGAGGTCCTCTGTTGCGGACCACAAGCCGCACGCACATACCCTGCTACATGAAACACCTGCCTTCCTTGAGTAGGAGCACCTCAAACTCTGCGATAATGATTACGCCACAGCCACGCAAGGAACCGCTAACCAAGGAACCGCTTAAATCAGCTCCTGTTACGGTCCCAGCTTCTGTTCCAGCTCCTGTAACTGCTCCTGCTCCTGCTCATGTTCCTGCTCCAGCACCTGCTCCTGCTCCTGTTCCTGCCCTATCGACTTTTAACAAATCCAGTGGCGTACTAAAGAGCTCCAGTAGTTCCTGCGTTCCATCGCCACGCTGTGCCGCCGCCTTCTTTCGCCGACCGCAGGAAACTAGCAATCAACAGCAGCAGCAACAGCAACCTTTACAGCTACCGCAAAAGGCTTTGCCCACCGAGGAATCCGGGCCTGGGGACTCTGCCTCGCTCGAGCGCAAGTCGGAGAAGAGCAACAGCACGATAAGCACGAGTAGCTTTACGGTGACCAACTGTTGTACCACCCACCTGCCGCAGCTCTCCAAGTTCACCTCATCGTTCCACATTGCCCCGACCACAACATCGGCCACTACGACGACGTCAACGGCAACACCAACGGCAACGTGGAATAGTTTTGCGGGCTCCGCCATGAATGGAGCTGCTGAACCCTTCATGCAGACGCAGCAGCAACATATGCCACACCACCAACAGCGTATGCCCTACAAGCTGCAACAATCGTATTCCTCCTCCAATGTGCCAAAGCAGACGTCCAAATCGGGACTGGCCATGTTTCTGCAAAAGAATACCAACAAGGAGAACAAGTTTGGACAGCCGCTGCAGCAGCAACAGCAGCAGCAGCCGCCAGGCATGATGCCACAGATGTACGGCTACCAGGTGCCGCAGCAGCAAACGCAGTTGCCCATCTCCAAGCTGGGTTATCCCCGCATCGGCGCCCCACTGACGCACTCCGTTTCCTTCAGCTCCGCCCAGCGTCCAACGGCCCTGCTATTTCACCAGCAACATCAGCAGCAAAAACAACATCAGCAGCAGCAACAACAACAGCCGCATTCCAACTTTGGGCAGGGCATGATGAGTAGAAACTATTACAATCTGCCCAAGCAGCCGGAGCGTAAGCCGCTGCAGACCTTTGATCCCTATGCCTATCCCAAGCCGAATCAGATGCAGCCGGTCAAGTACCAGCCGCAGCCGCAGTTACAGCAACATCAGCAATCGCATCCGCATACGCAGTTTCTGAATGCTTCCGCCGGTGGCGGAGGAGGAGGAGGAGGTGGTGGCGCTGGCGCTGCCGCTGGGCTTCAATACGATCCAAATACAAATACGCAATTGTTTTACGCGTCGGCGGCGTCATCATCGGCCAATATGCAACCGCAGCAACCGCAACAGCAACTGCAACAAAGCAATTCTGTCATATTTAATCACCACCAACAACATCAACACCAGCAACATCAACAACAGCAGCAGCAGCAGCAACAGCAGCAACAGTTACAACAACAGCAACAACAGTTACATCAACAACAGTTACAACAGCAACAACAACAGTTACAACAACAGCAGAATGAAATGTCCAAGTCCGCTTTGGGACTGCACTTTATCGAGGTAGATTCTATTTGCTCCATCTTGTAATATTAACTTTAACTGAGCCTGTGTTTATTTTGTTCGTGTTGCGTTTGCTGCACATGTGTCTGAAAATTGCCCACTAACAAACATGCAACATGCTCCCGCTTTTGCTTCCAAAGAAAGTATACCCCGAAATAGGCGCGTGACTCATCCTCCAAAAGGCCTCCGACGAAGGGGAAGATGATAATGATGACGATGACGACGACTGTGCCCCCTGGTTCTCTATGTAGATCCCTCTAGCGCCTTGCCTTGGTTGGCCCCCAAAGTTCTTACTTCCTGTACTTTGCACTGAAGTGTTCCCAATGAACAGAAACACACATTCGACAGATGTAGTAGATGTAGTAGTTCCTTCCCTAGGCCCACTCTCCTTGGTGGCAACTACAACGATCTCTTGGCCTCTTGGCAGGCTCTTGCACTTGTCGACATCGACAACATTGCACAATCGACCGAAAGACTGCGGGAAATTCAATGTCAATTTCCTCGGCGGGGCACAGGCTGTCCTCTATTAATAGTCTGGCTACTCTTGATTTATGTTTGTTTACTTGATTGCAAAGCTTAAAGCATTCATTCTAACTGCCCGCGGATATGATGTGTGTTGTTTCCAAGGGTTTCTTCTGTTTGTTTAACTAATTTATTGGTAAACTGCGACCTCCAGGCCCATGTAATTGTTTTAATAATTAAAAAACACTAAACAACACGTAGCGCGTTCAGCAGAATCGAATATCTAAAAATATGTAACACTCATCGGTTGGCTCTCTCTCTGCGGATTCTCTTCCTTCTCTCTCTGAAGACTGAAATTAACTGAATCGACGACTCTTGAATACCCTAACCAGTCATAACTTGGGATGAGGATCCAATCCTCATGGATTAAGACTTGTTAGTCGATCCTGACTGATGCTAGTTGTGTTTCAGTTTATTTTTTGGGTAAAGGGTATCCATTTGGAGGAGAACTCTTTTGTGGTTAGTTCTGGCTTCCTTCTTTCGCAGCAAACAATAATAGAAACGGAAAAGAGGCAGGCGCACACTCAACGGAGCTCTCCCGCACGGATGGACCGCGGACCGCAGATCGCAGATCGCAGATCTTACGGCCGTGCTCTGGGTGCTCGACATCGGCGATATTTTCAATCTTTATAATTAGTATATGTGGCGTGCGCTTTCGTTCATGTTGCGCTGATTTCGGTTTGTTTGTTTCGACGAATGCGCAGGCAATCGGGCAATCGGGAAGATCGCTCCTCAAATATCGTCCTATAGTCCTAAAATCCCAAATCCCATAACCGGAATATTATTGCATGGCTCAAAGTGCGTGTGAGATCAGAGTTCGAAATTGAATGGAAATTGCATTCGTTGAAAACTGTCGTCGCAGTGGCGGGGGCGACCTGCAATCGCGGCGGCCTCTGTTGTGTGTTGTGTGTCTATTTCCGTCGAAGCTGCCGAATCTTAGAATCTCTTACAATTTCAATTATTTTTACACATAAAAAGTTCGCTCTGTCTATACTAGATCTCAGCGTACATGTTGCCCCTTACGCGAACGTACAATACATTTCTTTTTCTATTCTATTCTATTTGTCTACAACAATATCATCTGAATCAGAATCAGAATCATGCTCCCAACAAATACCAGAAATCAGTACAATTAATGAAATAGACCAAGTCGGAAGAGCACGATCCGTAGCCCCCCAAAAAAATCGAAATTGTGGCGGTCAGACGAGTTTTCCCACCCCCACCACCACCACCATCAACCTCTAGGAGCCCCCTCACAAAACAGTGCTAAGTACTAACGGATTGCGGATTGTCGTCATCTTTCCGCCGAGACCCACGCGAACACGACCGCAAAGAGGAGATCCGAGATTCCACATCCGAAAACCGAAATGGCCACATTTCTGAATCGTTTTCATCGCGAGAAAAGCGAAAAGATATTGCCAGCGATTGGTGAAAATGGGAAAATTGCTAAATCAGCTGACGCTGGGACAGACGCAGTGCAGCCGCAGTCGCAGCCGCAGCCGGCGGCACAGCCGCGTCCGCAGCGACGCTATATGCGGAGCGCCACGGCTGCCAGCGTGACGCAGCTGCTCTCGGAGAGCTGCAACAGTCTGTTGCAGCGATTTCGGCGCAATCCAAGCGAACGACCTGATAATAAACATCAGCAACAGCAGCAACAGCAGCAACATCAACAGCAGCAACATCAGCAGCAGCAGCAACGCAATCGGTAATCGATGCAAAAGAAATGAAGCAAAGATTTATAATTTATTTTTAATTTTGCGTGCGTTTCTTTTCTTTATACATATATATATGTACTTTTTTTGTACTTTCGTCGCCTTTCGTCAAACGAAAAACTCGGTCAAAACTCACTCACATTGCTCGCCTCTTGATTTTATTCTCTGGCGTTGAATTAAGCAAAAGTGGTCAGCGCGTAACAGCGAGTTTAGTTGCAGCGCGTCACTCCGTCGTCGAAAGTATCTCGCGGTATCGCGATATTGCATTTCCCATCTTAAGGCCAATTATGTAAACGTCTCGAGTGCGTTTTTTTTTTTTTTTTTTTCTGAGATTTTAATCGCGTTGAACTCGCTTGTGAACTTCCAGCGGCGGTGCGTCGACCACGAAAAAGTGTGAAAATCTGGTAGCCATAAATCGCGAATAATTGCCAGTGGAGACGGATTTGAGCTTGATTTTAGTGCCTGCAGTCCATGTTTTGATTTATGGCCAGCCGTTAATCAAATGGAGCTTAACCAGAGCTCTTCAACCAGTCTCATTTGCACTGGGCGTTTGAGTGCACCTGCAATTGTCAATCAGCAAAAGTCACTTAAGACCCCCCCCCCCAATGATTGATAAGCTGAAATGGATAGTGATTTGGCTTTGCTTATTAGTATTTCCATGGAAAATATCATAAAATATTCGCCTGATTATTGGTAGTACAATAAGAAAAAGTTTGAAAAACTTTTGATCGCGAAAAGCTTGAATGAAAGGAAAAGCTCTTCCCCCATTCTCTTTCATTTGCAAAGAATTTCTTGAATCTCCTCCCATCTCTCTCACTCGGCTCTATAGGTATTCTTTGGGGAATACCAAATAAATTCTCTAGCCAACTTCCTCAATACACGCACGATAGCCAGGTAGCAAGCAAATCTCTCTTGCTTTTTCCTTGCTCTTTGTTTTAAAAATTGCAATTGCTGCTTAATTATTTATATGCGAGCGCAGTTTAAAATAAAACGTAAAATGTTTCGCTTTGTTCTTTTTATTTCTTTTCCGTCAACCAGCAGCAGCAGCAGCAGCGGCAGCACTTTTATTGTTCTGCGTTTCTGTTTTCTGGTCGTTTTATCGGCGAGAGTTCAAGGCTTTTCCCGCAACGCAAAGACTTTCGATCGTTTCCCTGTTTCGCTGCTGCTGCTGCTGCTGCTGCTGCTGCTAACCTGACGGAAGCGAGAGACTTTGTGCGGTTTACACAAAGTGAAAATGCATTGCAATGGAGCGTGCGATTCGCGTGCGTCTTAAATCGCACAGCTGGCGGGGCCAGACAAAGCATCCCAAGAAGCATCGAATCCATGTCCATCTCTATGCCACCCACTCGGACTGACTACATATGTTATTCAATGTTCTCCCGCTCCCACCCACTCGCTCTCACTCTCGTTCTCTCTCTCTCTCTCTATCTCTATCTATCTCTCTGGCAAGTGCGCAATATTTTCACACTTTTCACCAAAAATAAAAACGATTCCTCAATATTTTCGGGCTGCCTCCGCCACCGCATTAATTCCTCCGTTCTTCGGATCTGCCCGCCTCTTTCATTAGACGTCGCATGAAAATTTTTCGGAAAAATTTTCCTTAGCTTTCCTCAGTTAAATTTTGGTCCGTGTCGTGGCAGCGCGTTCCGTCCGTCGTTCGTTTTGCCGCGAGCCGCGTGGATAACTGCATCCAGTTAGCCTCGACTTTCACATTGAAATCATTGGTTTTGTTGGGCTTCTCTTTCAAGTGAGGATCCGAAAGATACGACGAGACGCAGCACCTCCAGGACCCCAACGAATGACAGTAACAATAATCAGAACAACAACCACAACAACAGCAAGTCGGCCAAAAGTGGTTCAAGCAATCAGTCCCAAAAGCAGAGCAGACGTCGCCGCAGCTCGGACAAGTCCTCAGCCAGCCGGAGGCATAATCCGGAAGGGGAACACCGGGATAATAGGGATAGGGAACGAGATCGAGATAGGGATAATCGTGAACGCGATCGGGACCGGGAACGAGAGATGGCCGATCGCCATAGACGCTACTATGCAGGCGGAGGACTCGGAAGCACCGCTGGACTGGGCTATCATCCCAGCAGCAGTGGCAGCGGAAGCGGCAGCACTGCAGCTCTGATGGGCCGCTACCAGAAGAGCTCCACCACAGCCACGGCCCTGGACAGATTGCGCACCCACCTGAGTCCCGTGGGCGGTTACTACAAGCCCCTCATCCGAGGATTGGGCGGCGGTAGGCGGGATCGTGACCTGGACGACGTTAGTATAAGTAGAGTAGAGGCCACGGAAAGCGAACCGAAAGCGAGCGGTGTGCAAACCAACGGATCACAAGAGCAGACACCCAGACCCAGACCCAGACCCAGATCGAGTCCCGTGACTCACTGCCTGGGCATTTCTACTCGTATATTTTGGAAATCCGAATCATCTCACCTGTCCCATGACTCAGCGAAAGATTGAGACTGCCCTAAATGTGTGACATCTGTGACAGTTGGGAAATATGCGCAATTAAAGGGGGCTATCGAGGGTAGATACCCCGCATACTTATATGTGTCCAAAAACAGTATTGCACTATAGCTAACCACTATAGAAAGATTCCCCCGCACACACACAGAGTGAGATATATGTGCAGATATTATATTAGGGGGCCCACACGGGCGTGTTTTATAGCGCTTCTATATGCTCATTTCTATATCTTCGGCTTCATTCTTGCCGTGTGCGTTTACGTTTTCGAATTTATTTTCGATACCAACATCTCGGCGCTTTTCTCTATTTTGCTATATTTTTGTATCTCTCTACGTACGCCGCAGATGTGTATCAAGCTATTCACGATTTTTCCGACGCTTTATATATAAACTTTGAAGGTCGTCGCGCCGTGGACTTTTTTGTTTAGATTTCGCTGGGCATATTCTAGGCAGACCGAAAATACCCCAAAAAAATACGCGTAGAGAAAGCCGGAATAGAGTGGCTTTAATGGCAGTGAAATTGTGCGAAATGAAAAGGCCCAAGCACCCCATAATTAGCCATTGCCGAAAAGGCCATTTAAATGGGTCTAAGTCAGTCGTCGGGGCTTGGGTCTTGGTCTCGCTCTCTGTCTGGGCCGTCTTCTTCCGTGGAGCGTAAAGAGTTTTACGCCCATCGTCGCCAGCCAGCCCGTTACCGTTGGTTTCACACGAACGCTGCTTTTAAGCACTTTCTCTCTCCGTTAACCCCCTGAATCTGAAACCGAATTAAAGTCTAAAACTCCCGTCTCAGCGTCGAGATTTGCTCTTGGACAAAGACAGAACGCCCACCAGCTCGGCAACTGCCTCGGGAGTTGGCAAACAGTCGGCCATTTCCCGGCTGGAGAATAAATACTCGGACATCTTGGAGCGGGCTGCCGGAAGGCGTCGACATGAAGAGGATCGTGACAAAACGCTGGAGCCCGATGACTACGGTGCCAGCAGCAGCACTGCAGGACTCCTTCGCTCGGCCACCTCCCACCAGTTGGCCAAATCGAAGCTATCCTCCAGCTCCTTCAATGCCTCAGATCGCAAAGAGCGCACTCCCTACCGGACCCGAGCTCAGAGGCAACGCTACATGGCCGAGTCCAATGACAGTGGCTATCTGACCAGCAACAATCGTTTGCTGGACGAGAACTACCCCCTGGATTATGGCCAGCGGTATGATTACCACGATGCCCTGCGCCTGGGTGGTGCCACTGGTTATCCATCCAGTCGCTACGGCCGTCGAGCTGACGAGGAATCAGTCCAGTCGCCACGTGCCACCAGGGCTTATGGAAGGACAAAGACCGTGGAGAGCCTGCTGGCCGCTGAGATCCCAGATACCGGGCGATCAGCAGCGGCTGCAATCGAAGACCGTCCACTGAACTCGAGAAATCGATTTGCCCACCGACGCAAGGAGCAACCGCCGCCAGAATTGACCGCAGAAGAGCGCGAAATCTTGGCCGACGATCGATCTTCGGAGGATAACGCTGCCATCCTGATGCTGCTTCGGGAGGATAATCAGTTCCTGGAGGCAAAGAAATTTGAAGAGCGCATGCGAAAACGCCGCGAACTCAGGGATCGTGTTAAGCGAATGGAGGAGGCGGCCGAGGAGGCCAAGAAGACTGAAGCGGCTGTAGCGGCGGCCGAGGCAGAGGCAGCTGCTCTGGAACTGGAGGCCAAGAAGGCCAAGGAGACAGCAGCCGCGGCAGCATCTGCAGCGGCATCTGCAGCATCATCGGCAGCCGGGCTGGAGCCGCCACAGGAGGCGCCCAAGAAGAAGTCGCGAAGCAAAAAAGTAACTAGAGATGGTAGCGATGGCAGTGGCTCCGCCAGTACGTCGGAGAGTAGCTCCTCCGATGAGGCCGAGACAGAAACCGAGACCGATTCGGCGGCGCCCGGTGTGCCACTAACCCACACAGCAGACACACCCCAGACACAGACTCAGATCCCGTCTGTCAATGGCAGCACCACCTCCGACACCACCAAATCCCATGCCAACAACACCACCACCTCATTCTCCACCAGCTCTTCCGCTCTTTCTAACCACACACCACTGGCAGCAGCGTCGACGGCACTCTCCTCCGGCACCACCAACCAGAGCCGCTTTCTGCCCCACTCAGATCGCAACAACAATGACCTCGCCAAGTACAAGCCCAGCAACCAGCTCATGCACTCCTCCAGTTCCGGAGCCCTGGCTTTTGGCGGAATCGGAGCTCGACTGGCCGCGGCGGATGCCCGGCGCCAGCAGCAGCAGCGCTATCAGGGTGCCAGTTCCCGCACTGCCGCCGTGCTCAGTGAGTTTGATCGCTATAAGCCAGGATCCGGAACAGGAACCGGCAGTGGGTCCGGATCGAGCTACCTCCATGACTCGTACAGCGGCAGCAGTCGGCGCTCCAACGCCCTCGGCAGCTCACTGTATCCGCAGCGATCCCATTTGGACGCCTACCATCACCAGCAGCCGTCGCACCAGCAGTCATCGTCGTACCTGCAGCAGCACGACCACTATTTGCTGGCGAAGAGCGCCACCTCGTCGGCGCTGTTCAACAGGTCACGCATTCCAAAGACACTCTCGACCTTTGTAAGCAGAAGAGCCACCATCACCACCACTCCAGCCTCTGGGGTGGTTGGGATTGGATGATTCGTTAGCAGCTTTTTGTTGCGCCGCTTCATTTAACAGCAACTGCCCAAAAGCCTACAGCCCACTGCCCACTGGCCCATGGCCCATTGCCGCCCCTTTTCTCTAGAGAATCCCATTCCAACTTTTTCCCCAACAAGCGACCTGGTACAGATAAGGCTAACTGCATTGCTGCATTGCATTCCATGTTGACTTGACTAACCGATGCCATGTTTGATGCATGCTATTTTGACATTACGAAGAGAAACCATGTAAGAATACCACAGATCTCGACATTATTACGAACACACTTAATTTGTTCTTTTACCATGCCAAATTTATGAAATATTACGAAAAAAGAGAGCTATTAATGTTATTACTAAGCAAAAGATAATTTTTTAATACGGTTTGTTGTTTGTTTCGAGTGCCCGTGAAACAAGAGCACAGCTATTGGTGCATTTCCTATTTTGTATATTAATATATATATATATAATACGTTATATATGCCACTTTCGATATATACCTCTTGTGCCATTATACTATATATTATATTGTTTGTACATGTTTTGATATATTAACCATTTTTGTAAACACAAATCTCAAAAATTTGTCCGAACTAATTTTCTTATCGAACAAACGAAACGTATTTTTCTCGTGTTTTTTCTGAATATGATGATGAAAATCACAATGATGATGATGATGATGGGTTGATGATGATGATGATGTACATACAACTTGATGGGGATGATGATGAAATGATGATGATGATTGGTTGGTTTCGGGATATCTGCGACTGCGACTAAATTATTGAAACGGAATTGCGATTGCTTCGGTGCCAACGTGGGAACATGCGGATGCTCTTGAATGTGACCTGACCTTCTATCGGAATTGGAATCCCTGCCTGGAACCCCTTGGAATATAAAATTTTTGTTTCTTTTTCTCTTTCTTTTTTTGTTTCTTTTTCTCTCTTTCAAATTACATACTTTTGCCACACACGCACACACGCACCTTCTGTGTACGTCTGTAACTGCCATCGACAACCACCACGCCCCCCCCCATCTTCTTCAACAACGCGATCCAACAAATCTCGCTCGCAAACTCTCCGCTCCGTCGTCGTCGTCGCCGTCGCCGTCGTTTCACTTGCAACCTTTCAACGGATCGAATGCACCGTCCCGCGCCGCAATCGCAACCGCATCGTCGCCACAACCGCCACCACCCAACAACCACCCACAACAACGGCAACGGCAACCACTGCAACCACTTGGCTCCGCTCCGTTTCGATCCGCTCCGATCGATTGCTCGAACAGACAGCAAAGCCCGTCATTCAAGATGATGCTGATGGTCACTTAATTTACCACACCGGAGACATTCTCCATCACAGATGTTCGTGACAATTTTTTGTTTTTAATTTGTTTTTTTTTATCTCTCCATATTTATGTTTAGAGACAATCAGAAAACTTGCCAACACAAAAGAAAAGATAATCTTTATATATATATAAAAAAAAAAAACAAATTTAGAAAGGCAAAAAAAAAAAGAAAGACACCAGACCCCCACTACTTCTCTCTTCTACTCTCTTGTAAACTCTCTTTTTGTTAAAACTGTTTTCGAGTTTTCCTTATTATTTCTTAATTATTTCACAGCAAAGACCAAAAAATCACGTCGCGTGCCATCCAGAAATTAGGAAAATATTTGAGCGCGATAAAGAAAAGAGAAAGATAAACCACAATTGAAAAGTTTCACACAATTTTCGTCACTTTCGTTAAAAAGTCTTCAATTTCCGAAAATTTGTCTTTTAATTAAGCTCTTTATTGCCGACAACAAATTTTTCCCCTAACGACGAAACTCAGCAGGGAAAGTGTGTGTGAACACGAACTTGGCGCATAATTACAGAAATAATATTGAAACAAATAACTATTTAATCCGTATACACTTAGCTTAAAGTTCAAATTAGTATTTTGCCCAGACCTTATTTAAATATTTAGATACAGCTGCAGGATTAGCTTTAGAAGACACTAAAAAAATAACTAAACAAGACAGCTATCCTTTAACACTCCTAAGAGACTTGCCGGAAACACCACTACAACTTGTCTTCCTTTTCCCGAATTTCAGATAAGATCATGGCCACACTGGGCGAGGGAACTTTTGGACGTGTGGTTAAGGTCAAAGACATGGAGCGGTAAGTTTCTGTCGATAATTAACTATTCCTCTCGCTTTTAAAGTCCTTAATCTAATAACGTCGTTATTTTGTTTCTTTCAGCGATTATTGCATGGCCTTAAAGATCATTAAGAACGTGGAAAAGTACCGCGAAGCTGCCAAGCTGGAGATTAATGCCCTTGAGAAGATTGCGCAGAAGGATCCGCATTGCGATCAGTAAGTCATCAAGCTATCTATCTCTCCTTGAATTTAAACTAAATATACATTTCTTTTTCTTTTGCAGTTTGTGTGTGAAAATGATTGACTGGTTTGATTACCATGGACACATGTGTATAGTATTTGAAATGTTGGGGCTAAGTGTTTTCGATTTTCTGGTAAGCATTAAAGCATTTTCTCCTTAATAGACCGTACTAATCATGGGTTCTAATGTTATCTTGCAGCGTGAGAACAACTATGAGCCATACCCGTTGGACCAAGTGCGCCACATGGCCTATCAATTATGCTACTCTGTGAAATTTCTTCATGACAATCGTTTAACGCACACAGATCTCAAGCCGGAGAACATACTGTTCGTCGATTCGGATTATTCTTCTCACTATAATCATAAGGTTGTAAGTAAATTCATATAGTTTTGATGTTTCAATCCTGATCAAACTTTGCAATCATCTTGACTTACAGAATCGAGAGGTTCGCCGTGTCAAAAACACAGACGTCCGTCTAATTGACTTCGGCTCGGCCACCTTCGACCACGAGCACCACAGCACAATTGTCTCGACGCGACATTATCGCGCGCCTGAGGTCATACTGGAGCTGGGTTGGTCGCAACCCTGTGATGTTTGGTCCATTGGGTAAGAGTCGCATTAGAATTCCTAATTTATATTATCATTGAAATCCCCAAATGTTTCACCAAACAGGTGCATCTTGTTCGAACTGTATCTGGGCATCACGCTCTTCCAAACGCACGACAACCGCGAGCACTTGGCCATGATGGAGCGCATCTTGGGACAAATACCATATCGCATGGCACGGTAATACAATGCAGCTCATGCTTTCAATTCCCAAGGCGCAGTTCCCTTCACCGAAATCGTTTAACGTGTAGCAATCACACTCTTTACAGCAAAACCAAAACAAAGTACTTCTATCATGGTAAGTTGGATTGGGATGAGAAGTCCAGTGCGGGTCGCTACGTCCGGGATCACTGCAAGCCGCTGCAACAGTGCCAGCTGAGCGACGGTGAGGACCACTACGAGCTCTTCAGTCTAATCAAAAAGATGCTGGAGTACGAGCCTTCGTCCCGAATCACGTTAGGTAAGTTGGCGGTGCCGTTCAATTGTCTTGAATAGCTGCTTACTTTAATTTACATTACGTTCCAGGTGAGGCCCTGCGTCATCCGTTTTTCAACAAGCTGCCGCCACACCATCGGGTAGGAGAAATGGCCAATAAGCAGCCCCTGTCGTCGGGCAGCAGCAGCCGCGAGCGATCGCATAGTCTGTCCAGATGAGAATTACAGCGATTTGGTTATTGTTGACAGACAGCGCTGATTAAGCACTCAATCATGCAAACATACACACAAAGCAGTCGTCCAGCAACGTCCTGCACCGACATCGTAGAGTAGTCCCGCAATCACAACGGCAGAACCCTAATTTAAGTGCTAAAGTCTTTCAACTGACGTTTTTTTTAAACTTGACTTGTATAGATGTTTCTCATACAAAAACCCCATTCGACACATTGTTTCCTAGTACAACGTGCACACGTTGCTGTGCACCATTTAGAGCTGTGTGGCGCAACGCCTGCGCCTGTGCATTGTACCATACCCGCCAACAGTGTTTTGTTCTGTAAACAAATGATAACCAAATCGTGTATAATATAGATAGTGCGGTGCGTCCTCCCGACACTTGAACCTAACTGTAAATGTCTTGAAATGTGCGCCCCCGCGGTAGAAGAGACAATTTGAACCGACTGCAAGACCGATTAATGAAATATACAAATGTAGTTGTAACATAAGAAGTCGCTTAAACGCTAGTTGAAATGTATCCCCCACAAGTGCACAATGTCAATGGATTGGGAGCCCGACTAATTTGTAATTAATACCCCATTTCGAGAGCGTGATCTGTAAGCTAATGCGAGCCATTACTACACACATAATACACACCCCCACGCCTGTATGAATAAATGTAAATGTAAAGAGCAATTGTTATGCCGCCCTGTGTGCACGATCGCGATTCTGCGCGCATTTTGTGTAAATTCAGTAGCAGCCCCCGAGTCATTTCTCTTAAAATACGTTTGGAAATATTTAAATTTTTTGCCGGCCTGTTTTGTTCGTTTTCGTTTTTACAATCGAATATCGAAAGATAAACCCATATACATTGATACACGCATACAGCATCGTATGAACACTAGAGTATATATGCATATACTTATACATACTTAATTCAAATGATTGTGAGTTAGTTTAATATTACATAAATATTAATTATAAATTACATTATTTGCAACTTAACCCGATCAACCAGCATATAAGATAAAGAGAAAAAAAAACAATATTGTCAAGTTATTAAAAATTGAAATAAATCTTAAATAAATAAAAACATTTATGTGATTTACTTTGAATCGTAACACCCTCGATATTTCCTTCTTCACCAGCTCTAGCATATAATAATAACATTTGCTTTTTGAATTGGCTGTAGACACATTCAAAATTCCAATGTCTTCCGTATTACTAAATAGGATTTTGAGCGTGGGTGGCTCCAGCGGATCGCTGAGTCGCTTGTGGCCGCACGTAAATCAGAAAAGTGCTCCTCTAGCTATCATCAGGGAGAACAAGACAGAAGCCTGCGAGAAGCAGCAGACCTTCGACGAACCGTATGTGATATTTCAAAGCTGGCTAATCGCTGCCCAAAAACAGGCACCGCAGGTGCGTCCACGCATGGCCTGCATGGCCACCGTTGACAAAGCCGGTGAGCCTGTGACCCGTCTCACCTGTATCGAGGATGTTACTCCCGAAGGAATCACGTTCTTCACGACACTGGGCAGCCGGCAAGCGGGCGAGATCAGCGCCAATCCTCACGTATCGCTCCAGTTCAATTGGGCACCTCTCATGCGCAGCGTCCGGATCTCTGGTACCGCTCACCAATTGTCGGATGCTCAGGCTATAGAGCAATTCCGTCGATATCCACGCCATGTCCAGATGAGCATCACCCATGGACCACGCTACGCTGCTGCTGACTACCGTTACCGCTCCGGGTTCTTTCAACGGATCACCCAGAGTTTAAGAAACTTGTTTGGAAAGCCGCCAGAGGAGATACCAATGCCGGTAAACTGGGGCGGTTACTTGCTGACCCCAGTCTCTTCGAGTTTGGAATGCTCAGCGGTCCAAAGGCTGCGCGAACCCGAGTACGCTTCCGTCGCTGCCTAGAGATTCCAAGGGTAAGTCTTTTTTTATACCCTTGCAGGGTATTATAATTTCAGTCAGAAGTTTGCAACGCAGTGAAGGAGGCACCTCCGACCATATAAAGTATATATATTCTTGATCAGGATCAACAGCCGAGTCGATCTAGCCATGTCCGTCTGTCCGTCTGTCCGTTTCTACGCAAACTAGTCTCTCAGTTTTAAAGCTATCTTAATGAAACTTTGTAGTTAGCCTTCTATATACTTTCACTCATATATATGTCGGAACGGACGACTATATCATATAGCTGCCATTGGAATGACCGGAAAATTTTTACAAAAAAATTATAACATTTTCAGTTTTCAACAGATTTTTATCAAATTTGAGATATAGCCATTTAAAATCAAAAAATTTGATAAAATTAAATTTATGCCGGACCTGGCTAGATCGATTCGGCTGTTGATGCTGATCAAGAATATATATGAATAATAGGATCGGAAATGACTCCTTCACTAAGTTTCAAGCTTTCGACTGAAAGATAGGGTTTGCTTAATTATTTGGTACATAGAGCGCTCTCCTCTGCGATTCTCAAGTATTACACTTAAGAAAGGCTCTAGCTAGATGAAGTTTAGTTTTCTTCTTCTTCTTTTATATAAATTACTAATTTAGTGCTTGGTGGTTGATAGACTTTGATCAAGTGGATGCGGCAACCATGGCTAGATCGAGTCGGCTGTTGATGCTGATCAAGAATATATATGAATAATAGGATCGGAAATGACTCCTTCATTAAGTTTCAAGCTTTCGACTGAAAGATAGGCTTTGTTTAACTATTTGGTACATAGAGCGCTCTCCTCTGCGATTCTCAAGTCTTATACTTAAGCAAGGCCCTAGCTAGAGGAAGTTTAGTTTTCTTCTTCTTTTTGTGTGTTTTTTATATAAATTACTAATCTAGTGCTTGGTGGTTAATAGACTTTGATCAAGTGGATGTGGCAATCATAAAAATTATAGTCTTCTTAATTAGGGTAAGACGTTAATAAAATATCTCTTGATAATTGAAACCAAAACAAGGCCCAAAAAGTCAAGATACATGAAAATATGGTTTATATTAAATTATTGTTTAATTACCATACCCTTGGCCGTGTTGACTAGCTTATTATTGATCTTGAAAAGTCTTCCAAGATCTCTTTAAGAGCCGTGATGATCAAGACGAGCGGGGATATGGTGTCATTTATTTGTTTATAGTAAAGTATACTTAACTCCCGAATATAGTTTATTCAGCACAACTTACTAAACAAAGAACACAACAATGGTGATGATCGAAACTGCTCAACATAAAATATATATTAAAATAAGTTGATCTATATTTGTAAAGCAATTTTTTAAGAACAGAAAGTTAACATATTTCAAGCAATGCTTGTATATAATTTTTGCAAAAGTAATTCTACACACAAAAACCCGCTTAAAAAATAAGGATTTTAAGCTTGCTAATATAAGCCTATTTAGGATTTTTCCTTGATTTTTTCCTTGTTTGTTTCCTTTTTTTTTTTTATACCCTTGCAGGGTATTATAATTTCAGTCTGAAGTTTGCAACGCAGTGAAGGAGGCACCTCCGACTATATAAAGTATATATATTCTTGATCAGGATCAACAGCCGAGTCGATCTAGCCATGCCCGTCTATCCGTCTGTCCGTCTGTCCATCTGTCCGTTTCTACCCAAACTAGTCTCTCAGTTTTAAAGCTATCTGAATGAAACTTTGTAGTTAGCCTTCTATATACTCTCACTCGTATATATGTCGGAACGGACGAGTATATCATATAGCTGCCATTGGAATGACCGGAAAATTTTTACAACAAAAATTATAACATTTTCAGTTTTCAACAGATTTTCATCAAGTTTGAGGTATAGCCATTTTATATTAGTCTTAAATTTTGTGTAAAATTTCATGAAAATCGGACGACTGTGCCATACAAATGATCGTTTGATGTAGAGGAAAAATGCAAATCTGTGAACTGCAAATATAAATATGTTTAGGTGAATGAAATGAACACAGGTTTTTACATCATTGTTTTTAATCATAAATATATATAATTTATATTGTAGGGATTCCTAGTCATAGAAGTTCTATCTGCAAGAGTATATAAACTTCGGCGTGCCGAAGTTAACTTCCTTTCTTGTTTTATTTTATATTTCTATTTATTAAAATACTTTCTTTATAGGGAACAAGAATGGGCACCGTACAAGCGGAGCGAACGGATTGGGTCTATGATTCTATGGAGGAATGTGATTAATGGTGGAATACCAGAGTTAAATATTTAATTGTGGTTGATGGACAATTTATGTTAATCACGATTCATGCTTTGAATTCAAAGTGAATCAAATTGTCTGTGCAAAATTGTAATGGTGAAAATTTAACTGTTAAACTGTTAACTTAAATTTCGATACGGAATTTCAGAAAATAAGTACTTCAATTCCAAACCTTATCTACTTTACTTTGACCACGAATATTAAATCCAAATATGAATTAAAAAAGCTCAAATTTAACGGTTTTCATTGCTTAAATTAATTATTTGTTATTCGGCAATTTGCGACTGAAGTTACCGCTTTCACTGCTTACGTATTTAATGCCCTTTATGACTTTTCAAATTGGATTTGAATAAAAGCGTTGGGTCTCGCTGCACCGCAGCAATCGCATTTAAAATGCATTAAAAGCACGGCTCGCAGTCCGCTAATTGGATGTCCTTGGAGCGCCCATGTGGGTGGGCGAGCGCGGTACGTGAAAATGTAATACAATAAATGGACGAGTGCAGTCAAGCGCAAAGAGTATTGCCCGCCGGGAAATGCGGGATGACTGTGGATGGATTGCCGCACGGCTGGGATGAGCAGGGACTAGAGACAAACAACAAATAATGAAAGCTACGGCGCAAGGCCGGAAAAGCACACAGGCCCCCATATATATATTTCTTTTTTCCTCCGCCCGCTTTACAAATTTGCTTTTGCACTCCTTTGTAATTGTAGCCATCGCTCCGTCTGCCTTTCGCCTGCTTCCTTGGTTTAGTTTTTTGGCTTTCCTGTTTACTTTGTCGTCCTTTGGCGCTATGTCCTTTGCTTCGGCTCTCCGGCGTTTTGTTTTGCTCGTTCTGTTTCGGCTCTCCGCTCCCGAAAGGGTGTGTGTGGCGCTAGCTCTCCACTGTATCCTGCTCCATGCGGCTCTCTTTTGCCGAGAGAGCGAAAACTTGTTGGCAAGGATAATGAATATTTCTTATTTTCGTTGCGTGCAAGCTCTGCAGGACTGCAGGGTTGCCGGGCTTTGCTATGGAATAATTGGAATTAAAAAGGATTATTAAGCTGATTTTTAATTGTTCAAAAAATGTACTTGAGTATTAAAGACTAAAGAAACTGATTCCTTATATAATACTTAATGAAAACAAATAGTTTGTTTGTATTTAAGGACTCATCTGACAAATGAAGCATTTAAAACTTATTGTTTTTTTTTATTAGTTATCTTTAAGGAATATATATACTTATAAATTTCATTTAGTATTTCTTTTGTAATTTTTAATCTATAATCTTTTGGTAATCCTTCATAATTTCCATCACCTGACAACCCTGCTGGCTCATGGCTTTGGGCCAGGTCCACTCCCCGCTGGGCCACGCCGCACTCGGCGGCAGCTGACGGCGAACAGTGAGGGTTGCGGTCTCGTTCAGTTCGCCGCGCGGCTCCGGCAGTTTCGGTCCCAATCCCAGCCTCGGTCTCAGTCTCAGTTACTGTTCCGAAGCAAACTTCAGCGGGCAGCAGAAGGAGCAGGAGCAGGAGCGGTGGAGCCCGACCCGACTCGACCAGAAAATAAAAATAGACAAAAGACAGTAACAATAACTCGAGGCGGCGAGCTAGCGTAGAATTTGTACATATATACAATTAGTTGGCGGATGAGCGGAAGCAGGAAGTGGCGGAATAATTAAGGACAAAAACGCAATTTCAATTAACGTTAGTAATAATCTTGAATGTGAACTGTGTGAACTGAGTGTAGTGTACTTTTCCCATTTTCAAATTAGTTAGTGTGGCCTAATCAAATATATTTATAGTTAAATCGAACGGTATATACATGTGTTTATGTGCAAGTATTTTTGCTAAATTTATTAAATTGATATTAAATATATACACTTTGGATACGCAAGCAATTATTGTAATTTAAATAAGGAGACTTTGGCCGCTCTGCTTTTGAACGGACCAAGAAATAGAAACGGGATCCTTTTCGGCCCCATAAACGAGAGTGTGAGTGCGTGCGACCATTTCCTTTTGTCCCCTGAATCCGGGGGGTGTGTCCGCAGGCAAACTTGGGAGGAACATTTACATAAGCAGGACGACCAGCAGATGGGACGGCCACCTGCGGCTACAAGGCGGCAACTCAACGCAGGGTTCCCTCGATCCTAAGCACTCTGCGTGTCCTTGCAACGTGACAGCTCAATTGCCCGATTGCGCAGAAAAGTATGCTAAGCAGCGAACCCACAGCCCGAGAATGGCCCACTTAAAACTGGACACGCTGCGCGTGGAGCGTGGTCCTCGCAGCCCCCGCCGGAGCAGTCCGAGCAGTGGAAGGAGCAGCGCCTTCAGCTCCGGTAGCATCTCCCCGGTGCCCATCATCCCGATCATTGCGATCAGCCACGATGGCGACGAGTCCGAGTCGGAGTCTGAAATCGAAACGGAGCCGGCGCGTCTCTTTCAGCGTCGCATGTCCACCAAGTGCTCAAACAATCTGGTGAGTAAATTAAATCATTGTCCATTACTGACACTTATTTCCATTTGGAAAGTTAAGGGAATTTAATTTAATTTCATTTGCTATCGAATCCCTGAAACACTGATACAATCTGACACATGTGTGTGTTCAGCATTTTATCTATTTAATTATCCGTAACGGAGAGTCATGGTAAATGGTTGTAGGTGTCGATGGAGCAGGGCCATTAATTACTATTTCCCCCTAATTGATGATGTGAAATCGAGTTGATGCAATGTGGCATTGTTGACACTGTTTAGTGCAATTTTTATCTTAGTTTAAGCTACGAAATTATAGAAATGTATCTTTTGTATTTTGTAATTTCTTGCAGGGTATAATCATTTAGGTCAGAAGCTTGTAACTCCTGAAGGAGTCATTTCCGACCCTATATTTTATATATATTCTTAATCAGCCAAATCGATTTAGACATATTCAGTTAAAAAATAAATTTTTGAAATTTTTTCAAAAATTTAAAAATTTTATAAGGGGTTACATCGTTAAAATAATTAACTTTTTCAAATGTTAAATTGAGTATGCAGATTTTTTAACCTCATAAAAACTAATATAAGAACGACTTCCGAATTGAATTTAATGTTATTTTTGGCCTAGTTATGATATTTTTAAATTGTGATAAGTCGAAAAAATTGTCACCCTATAAATCATATATATTCTTGATCAGAAAGCTGTCAATCTAGACATGTCCGGTCTAAAAACAAATTTTTGAAATTTTTTCCCAATTTTGAAAATTTTTACAAGGGGTTATATCATTAAAATTTGCAAAAATTTAATATTTTTTAAATCTTAAATTGAGTATGCAGATTTATTAAACTAAGAAGAACTAACATAAGAGCGACTTCCAAATTGAAATTAATGCTTTTTTAACTTAGTTATGATATTTTTAAACTTTGATTTGTCGTATAAATCAATTGCAAACTGCAAGGATATACAGACTTCTTTGTTGTTTCTTTTTTTTTACTGTGTGACGACGATAGTCCTCCGCCTTTGTCACAGGAGGTACCATGGCGGTGCAGCAGAGCGTCCTCGCAAAACTTTCTGGAGCGGAAGTTGCATGCAAACTGGCAAACGTTAGGGGGTCCGTGGGGGAGGGACTCCTCTTTATATGCAAGTTGCGTGTGTCGAGAGTTTATGTTTCAAGTACTTTAGTGCGCTGCACCGCTGCCAAAGGTCAGAGGCGCAGTTCAAGAAGCCGATAAAATATTTTAGTGTCGCTGCCGCATAGGTCAGGGGTCAGGGCAGCCCCCATTTGATGATTGCTTGCCGGGACGCCGGGCGCCGTGCGCCGCGCCCCCTCATTCATAATTTAAATGCATTATTAAGACGTAATCCGATGCTGGTCCCCTAAGTAGAAAATTAAATAAAAATGTATCGACCACAAAACAAAGCAATAGAAGAAAAAGGCGACCTGGGCTATTCACGTATTTTAATTAAACGTTGCCATAGTTGCCCGCCGGCCAAAAAATGAAAATGATGAAATGACGAAAATAACGAGGGGGAAAGGCAAGCCCCAAAAACTCCGCGAAGCCCGAGAAAAGCTTCAATTAAGTTCTTTATGGTTTTTGGTGTTACTTTGAAGCGTCTAAGGTTAAGTATTTGGCCTCCATTTCCTCTTTGCCTCTTTCTGGGACAACGCGGCGTATGAATAATATTCCCGGGTTGCTGGTCATTTGATGTTAATTATACGCATCGTTGCACTGACACTACCCCTCAACTTTGGCCTTTGTGAAAGGATTTTCGTTGTATTTTTAGGTAGCTACCCCAAAAAAAAACAAAGCATTATGCTGCTGGGGTCGCAAAAATATCACCCCTTATCGCCAGATTGCAAGTCGGGCTTTAAGCGAAGGCATTTATTATTTGTGATTTACGGTATTTGAGGGCTGGGCAAAACACATTTGCCTGATTGTGACAGACAAGCAACATTCAAGTGCTCCCATGTGGAGAGGGGCGTGGCCCCATAAACACACACACACACACACACATCTGCGTCCTGGGTGTGCTATGTGTGTGGAGTGGGGTTTACACATGTCAAACCGCAAAACAATAAGCGAACGCCAAACAAAAGCCGCTTACTGCTCGGTCTTGATGGTTAGCGTGCTGCCATCGCCGACAGCGGCGACAATAAAGACAATGGCAAAAGCCTCAACAGTTGGCCCACTGTGCGAGTCACTAGCTTAGAAACCGTAAATTGGTCCATAAGACAGAGCATCCATAGAATTTGCATAAGCTACTGAAACAAAAACTGTAGTATCTCAAAAAATTGATTTAAATATTTAAAAACTAAAAATAAATAGCCTAGAAAAGGTCTTCAATGCTACAATTATAATAATGCTAAACTTCCTCTTTATTAAGCTCCTTAAATATATTTAGCATTTAAAATGTAGCCATTGATTCGTTCTCTTTAATATCTTAATATTATCTCAGGAGATTAGGTTACCCACATTACTGCCTGCCACTGTAACCGTTCTCAGCCATTTAAATCCAACAATAAGCAAAACCTACTGTATAAACAAAAGCCAGAAGTCTTGCCAACTCTTGGCCCCTGCCTCTGTCTTGGGTGGGCTTCTTCTTTAAGGGGGTCCCTCTTCAGTAGGCTGTTGCCGCAGTATCCTTGAGACTCGCTCCTTTCCTTTGCCACGTGCTTGGCGCAAAAAAAATACGTTTGAATTATTTACGACTATTTACACAGACAATTGACCAACTGTTTTGCGGCTCACGTGAGCCATCAAAGGATTCGCTCCCTCCAAAGTTAATTTCTTTAATTTGAAGCTGGTATTTTTTTTTGTATTGCACTTATTTTCAAAAGGTGAAAAGTCTCAGACAGAAGCTGAAACGAAGGTAGACAAAGCAAAAATCAGGGTTGGGAAGCTCTACATTATGTTTACTTGCCCGACTGAGTGAGCAGCACCAGCACCAGCAGGAGCAAGTCATATCCATATCTATGGACCGGCCTTTTTATTTATCTTGTATCTTTTTACCTGAGCAGAAACGAGGGAAGCTCGAGGGATGCTGGGAGGGAGAGGAGAGACAGAGAGGGGAAGCATTAAATCAAAATCAATACCCGGCTAACGAAAATTTCAAACTTGTTTATCATCCATCCCCTGGCTGATGGACTCTGGGCTTTGTGGGCTTTATCCTCGGCCACTTTGGCGTATACTTGATGTGTCAGCGATTGGCCTCATGGCCGTGCCACATGATTGATTGACGATGATTAATCTCGGCATGATATCCCGTAACTTTGATTTTTAGTCACAGTTTGGCTTTACTCTTGGCGCAGGAAGGGGAATTTTCAATTTAATTCAATTTTTGTCTCCCCGTTTCGGGGGTCAATAAACTTAATACAAGAGGATGCCAATAATGGTAAGGGAAAATATTGATACCAACAGTTTCACTCTTAAAGCATAGATTTCTTAGTAAAAACTTGAGTTTTAATCCTAAGATAAATACTTATTTTAAATGAAAATGAAGAAACATTTTGAGTAAATCGTGTAAGTAAACTTCTAGTGTTGCTGCTAAGTAAACATTTCCGTTTCCCCTTTTTCCATTTGCTGTTCAAACACAAAACAAAATGAAATGGCTGCAACTCGACATCGTTGCAATGTCCGTTGATTTTTCAACGATTTTTCCATTATTATTTGTCGCTGAAATTCCTTTTGGCCCCCCCTGATGGGGTGCTGGTGCTGGGTGACCTCGCCCAAAACTTAAACGGATCGGAGGATTGGGACTTTTGTGCACCCAGCCAGCGGCATTCGGATCGATTTCTATGGCCGCAGAGTTCGCTCGAATCACAAAGTTTATTTGTCGTATAATTGGCCCAGATTATTGTCACTTTTGTCGCCTTTTGGTGCCACGCTTATTTACACTTTCATACCAAGTACGTGTGAATAGGACCAAGGCGCTGTGTGTGGTCGCTCTTTGTGTGCACAATTGATTGCCGGCCATATTGACGCCCCCACTTTGGCCTTTGTTAGCCTGCAGCCAATTATTCGTGGACATCGAGCACCGAGATTGCAAGTGACGGGCCCCGCAGAGAGCGAGAGAGATCGTTGGTTGGAGTTGCTGACCGGAGTCCGCACCATTGCTCAGGGAACTGAGTCCCATCTGTGTCTGCCTTAGGTCTTTCCTCCTATTATTATTATTAACCCCGGACCATTGACTCCTATCCATGCGGCGTCAGCTCATCATTTGCTAATTGCCCCGGGCGAATCGCTGATGGAATTTGTTCATAGTCCAGCTGATATTGCACTCACTTTGTTTAAATCTTTTCTTTTCAGGCTGCCATCATCAAGGAGGGTTTTCTGCTGAAGCACACATGGTCCTTTCAGCGATGGCGACGACGCTACTTTCGCCTCAAGCGGAACATGCTCTTTTACTCCAAGGATGAGAAGGTGAGTCTAAAGTATCAATTCATTCTTATAATTGTAATATTTAAAGTTAAGTTAAGCTGGTTGTTTTCGGGCATTACTGGATGCAGTTAAGCAAATGGTACTTTTCCATTGTCTGCCAATGAATTTGAGCCTGTGGCAGACCTAACCCCCTCACATTTGTTGCCTGTCGATCGACGCGGTCCTTGTGTTTTACCTTCTCAAATTGCCATGCAGCAAATTGCAGGATACAATTACGAAATGAAATTACCGCGCAGCGCGAAAGCAAAACAATGGCGGGCGACGTGCAAGAGGGGCGCTGCGGGGGGGAAGGGGGAGCAGGTACAACAGACAGGTGAGACAGACAGCAAATTGGTTTATTGCGTGCCCTACTCTATTCATCAATAATGAACGCTTTTAAAATGCCCGCCATCCAGGGACGACGACGACGACGACGATGCCTAATAGAATCACAGAATGTGGGAGAATTTTCGATGGCCATCTATTGAGGCCAAAAGGTTGCCGGCGGGCTGATTGCAGTGGCTTTTAGTGACTCAATAAATCGAGTCGAGTCGCAGGCGCCGCCCAGTCAATGGCAACTGAACTCAATTGCGGCGTGCCAGTCATTAATCACATTAACAAAGCTAATTGCCTTATGAATCAATAATTTATGGTGGGGTCTTGAAGTTTCGACTTCGCAGGCTCTGAATTACTGAAATCAAGAGCAGCAGTGGCTTTAAACGGATTACCCAACACAACTCTAACTCGAATAAGTTCTTGGAAATGTGCCGATTGACGGGCTTCTGACTGACGTCAATATCGGTTTGAAAACACGCTTCAAATGCAATTATTTCAAGAACTTTGAAACAAGCAACCGGCACTTTGGCTCTGATTCTCTGCTTTGCCTTACGAAAGCGCTATGAATGCATTACGTATACGCCACGTAAGGCTTTTATGAAATGTGAAGCATTGGAGTGCATTCTGGGCTTGCTTTGTGCCCCAATGACGCATTTCCATTATGCAGTAGTCGAATGCGTTGCTGAGGTTTAAGATGTTGTTTACCTGAATAGGCTTATATTAATTGGATAATATCTAAAATCCCAGCAACGTCCACGTAATGGATAGCCAGCAAGCATAACGCAAGTGCGTCATTGCAGGACATAACAAAACTCTCTAATGCTTAGCCTTGCATAAAAGCCTTAAGTATGCCTAATGCGCTTTATGAATATATGAATATTTAATAGTATACATTAATGAAAGGATAATACATTTATTTTTGTTTTGAATAAATCAAGCCATATAATGTAAGCCACCAGTCTTAGTATAGGCTACTTTTACATCGTGTACAGAGTTATAAGGAAATCATTAGTCATTCATAACAAGAAATAAAACTAATTTGCGGAAAGTTAAAGTTTATATACCCTTTCGGCTTGCGGTTTGTAGGATCAAACCGGAAATAAATCATAAATAAATAACCTTTGAAAATTCGCTTTCTTTTAATAGCTTATAATACATATTTTTATATGATCTTTTTATTGACAATTCAAAATTAAAAAATCTCATAACTAAGCCAAAAATGAATTAATTTCAATTCGGAAGTCGTTCCTATGTTAGTTTTTCTTAGGTTAACAAATGTGCATACTCAATTTAACATTTAAAAAAATTAAAATTTTTGTAATTTTTTGGCAATTTTAATTATCATTTTATTTTATCATTTTTTGCAAAAATCTAAAAAATATCGAAAATTTATTTTTCGACCGGACATGACTAGTTCGATCCTGCTGTTAATGCTAATCACGAAGATATATGATTTATAGGATCGGAAATGACTCCTTCGTGAGTTACAAGCTTCTGAATCTTATAATAATACCCTTTACAAGGGTACATTTAGAAACCTTTAAGGACTTAAGGGTGACAAAATATCTACGCTATGGTAACCATGGAATGAATGCCCCGGGATGCCAAAATAATTAGCCCATTAGCGATTGACGCCCCACGGGGGAAGTCAAACGAACCACCGGCATTTATTTTGATTAAAAATTCTGTTTGATGCTCGATAAATAGACCTTAAGGTGGCTCTTTATTAAAAGGTTAATATCGCCGCCGTTTGCATTCCTTGGCGGACCGAAAAGTGCCTGGGAACTCATTAAACGTAGGCACGAAATTTCAATTATAATTACGCATACGCCATGTTGCGCCCAAGCGGCTGCCACGGTGGCCAATTTGTTGCCTGGCGTCCGTAGTAAACTCTAATAAAAACGAATGGCAAGATGGGAAAACAAAGCCAGGAAAACGGAGGACGGATGGCTGAAAACTGAAAACTACGCGTGCCAGACAAATACGCGGCCGCGTCTAAGCCGCTTCTGAGTTGAGGCACAAAAGGGATAAGCCTTTGGCTGGCTGCTTAAAAAAGAAAAAGAATGAGGAAAAACCATTTCCAGGGGACAGCTAGCTGATGTTGATGCTCATGTTGATGATGGCTCTGCTGCTCGTAAAAGCGCAAATTTTTGTTTGCATTGTTTTCATCGTAGCCTTCTACTTAGACCTCACGATTTTCACCGCCTCCTCCAACCCCCCTTCACCCCGACAGGTCCTTGTTGTTTTGGCCCGCAAAACTTACGAAGCTCTTTTCGGCTGGCTCTGCTTCTTCTTAGCATTGCACGCGACCCGGCAACAAGAACAACAACATCTGGCCAAAACGAAACCCACCACAGTTGTAAAGTTGTAGTACTCGGCTTTGGGCCATGTGCGAGCTACCGAGCCAAAAGGATGGGGATGCTGTGTGCGGGATTTGTTTTGAAACGTGAAAGCTTCCTCCCCCTAACCCAAAGAGAGAGAGCGAGCCAGAGAGGTCCTTCAAAAGAGAGAAAGCTTTTGGTTTCGGGTTACCAGGGTATCCTGAAATAATCGTCTTCAAAGGATTATAATTTATTAACAAGTTTATTATATAAATTCATCATAAACAATGTTAAAAGGAACATTTTATACAACTAAAGTTAAACTAGAAAACTAAACCCCATAGTCTCCAGTACTTCTCACTGATTTCTCTCAGTGTCTTCTCAAGAGAGCTTTGGTCCTAGAGCACCCACCACCCGCTTGGCGCACCTGTAAATATTTGTATCCTTTCGGGGCGCATGGCAGGCAGATGGAGAGGCAGACTGCCTGCCAGCATGTCCTGTGCGTGGTGAATTCCGAAAGGCGGCCAATAAAAGCGACTGCCTCGCAGGACCTCAGCTCAGTTCGAACTCAACGAAGCGATGTGCCACAACTCAGCGACTTCAACAGCAGCATCCACATCCGATATCAACAGTCACATCAACATCACAGAAGCCGAGGAGAGGGCCTATCGGTCCGAGTAATTAATTATTTAACCGCAAGGAAACACAACATCGATAAAGTTACATAAAACAATCATTTACGTTTAGGAAGGAGGTCGAAGCAAAAAAATTAATTATTTAGTTTCGAGGCGGCGGCGCGGCCGTTGCCAGCGCCAAAAAATTTTGCGCGTGAATTAAAGTTTCAGTTTGAGTGAGATGTAAGATGTGAGACGAAAAGAACAGGAGAACTTTCCGCCGGAAACGCAAAGAAGCAACAGTTCCAAAAAACCATAAACTAAACGCCCAAGTCACCACTAAATCAATAGTCTGTGTGTGTTATTTTGGGGTAAGTTAAGCCCGCTTTTGTGCCCTCCTCCATTTATATATCCATTTCCATGCCGCTTTCGGGCCAAATTATTTGTCCGGGGTTTAACAAAAGTTTCCAACGGCTTTCGCTCGCATTAATCCCGGAACAAATACATTTATATGTGGAGATTTGTGAGCCTGTCAAAAACTTTTAATTGGCTAATTTAATTAATGTTCGCTAGTTGAGGAAAATGCCTCGTTTGGGGGGCTTAAGACATTTATTTAAACTTGGCCGGAACAGAGAGCTATTTATATTCTAATGGAATGGCTGTCTCGTCTCATTGGCATTGGGTTGGGTTGAAGTATAATATCAGCCGCAGACAAATATCTAATTGACTCCGAACAGTTAACGCAAACACACGCAATCAATTCTGTGGGGAGCAGTGACCTTTCGTCTGGTCGGGATGTCTGGTTGCGAACTGTGCTGGCAACTTCTCGTTCATCCTCCCATCATTCTAGGTAGTACCCGTTCCCCGAACCAAAACAGGGGGCACTTTCTGGCTAATTACAACGCACACACACAGACGGTCCTGGCTGAGGAGCATATGCGTATTAAATGGCAACAAGAGGCTGCCAAACAATCAGCCAAAGTGACATTTCTGCCAGGATAATTGTGTGCATATTTATCAAGGGCCCCAACGGAGGGCAGTGAACAAATTAAAAGACGAGGAAGGAGGACATGTGTGCCGCTCTGAATGCGATACACGAGCACGCTCTCTGGTCTGTCCGATAATGGACTGTAGGTATTACCTGGAGCATATTGTCCTGCTAGCTCTTACACTTGGCAGAATAATTGTTGTACTGTACATTTATCTGTAACAAAGGTATTTACCTTTTAAAATACTAAGCTTGCATAAGGGTTTTGCACTTTTTCATACAATTAAAATGTATTTAAATGTTTCTGAGAATAAATGTAGTTATGGTCTTAATTCAAATTGGTTTCAAGGAAATCATAACAGTCTAAGGCAATTTCTGGCCAAGTGACTTTTCGAGCAATCTTTGCCAAAGTCAAACATAATATCTCTTTGGATATAAGAATAAATTTCAACTGTAATAAATATATTTTTACTAATAATAAAAAGATAAGGTTTTCAAGAAACCAATCACATAGAATACCTTCTTAGGAAAGTCAGCTTAAATAAAGTGGCTTTGGTTAGGTTCTTGGAACTTAAAGAAAAGTTATTTTCCAAAGAAGTTGTAGATACATTATTCCCATTTGTAATATCCTTTTCCTGATCATTTTTCGAAGTGCACTGCCTTTGTGTATGTGTGTCGTGCCTGCGGCCAATGATAGCGTGCCTCGAATGCTATCAGCACTTTTGTCCTGGCATGTGCGTGTCC